GGGGCGGGAAGGATGAACATAAGAACCAGGACGGGGACACACGACTTGGCTTATAAAGTAGGGGCGACGGGGGGCCACCATTCAAGATTACCTACCTACCTACGTATAGGCACCTGTAGACGCCATATATCTACACGATTCAACCCGTTGCTCATCCCCCAGTCATACCAACCAGTATGCATGCGCTGCTGTCACGTTATATACTATATATATATACATATATATATACCTCCTCTACACAGGTACCTAGGTAGGTATTACAAGAAAGTTACCTGTAACCCTCGATGCTCTCCACTTGCGTTACGAGCTTTCCAGAATCGGAGGCGGGCAACTTATCAAAGGTCCGGTGGACAGTACGAATCCATGCCGGTAACTGTAGTAGCATCTGGGTCCACATAGTACCAAACTAACTTCCATATATGTCCATACCTGCCTACCCAAGGTACCTACCTACCTACCTACCTACCTCTACCTACCTACCTACATACATACTACATACTACGTTGTATGTACAAGTAGAACGGCAATATGTAATGTACGTGCTGTGTGTGATTTGGCAAGGGGCGGAAGGGTTGCTGGGTCTCTTAGCTCCCCACCTTGACCTCCTAAGGTTCCTATGTACAGGCCTACGTGAGGTACCTATGCAAGTATGTGATGGGCCTCGACATATGGCCACCACATGTACGTGCAGGGAGTGCCCGCATTGGGTGGTGCGCTAGGTCGGCAGTACGTCCCTCATAGTGCCTTAATGTGTTGTATATAGGTAGGTATGTATATGTAAGCATGTAGTCCCAGCTAACGGGACAACGCGAGCCATCCGTCAATGGAAATACGGGTTCCGCTGGACTCCACGGAAGTCCTATAAGAGGAGCAAGGTACCTACAGGTGCATACCTACCTAGCTCTAGGGTACCTCCTACACACACTGACCTGCCTGGGTACCTAGGTATACATGTGTGTACACATGTAAGGTATGTACGTACCTGCTTCACCCCATCCTGCATATGCACCTATCACCCAATTTTGCAATGTACAATAGGGCAGGGGTTAGCAGGTACCTACCTCCTCTTAGCCTATGTGGCTAGGGGACGCCGTCAAGCCAGATCGAGCAGTTGAAGCAGAGCAGTTGTTAGCCCTACAGACTGTCTTCTCCCTCTCACTTACTCACACTCACTCACTCACTCACTCTCTCTCTCTCTCTCTCTCATCCTCTGGTCCCTCTTCCTCTGGGCATTTCGCTTCTTCGCACGGCGCCGCGACAGCAATAAGGACGGCAAAGCGTGCCCATCGAGTGCTCGGCGCTCAAGCTCATTTTCCGCCGCGGTTGCGGTTGTGAGGTCCGAACATGACGCATGTGTACGTAACTATACGTGTATGTGTGTGCTCTCTGTATCCGGAACCTGGGTCGTGGAGAGTCACCGCTAAGAGAATACCGGGGCCGCACACCTTGGATCCCTGATGCCAGAAATGATACTACCTACCAGATGGTAATGCCATCCTTGTCGCACAAAGGCCCTCTCCCTCTGCCTGCTATGCCGGGAGTCCGGGTCAAAAAAAAAAGTTCAGATGACGGATGCAACGATGGGACGGTCCACACAGACCGCGAACCAGATATTGCAAATTTGAACCCTCTCACCCGTTGCGAGAGGATCATTCCGAACAAGTCCTGCGACGTCCCCTTCTTCTGTCGGTGCTGTGTACGTAGAACTTGGGGCAGGTCACGGCAGTCCCCGTCCGAGAGAAGGAAAACAGAGTGAAGGAGGGAGAGACGATGCTAGTCGAGACAATCATTGCGTCCTCGCCAGGCCCCCCTCGATCAAACCGCGGTCTGCGAGCTGGGCCGCGCAATCCGGTCCCTGTCGATCCCGATCAACTGCGAGGGCGGAGGGCAAAGGAGGATAGTTATCAAGTGGTGGTATTCCCCATACGCCGTGGCAATTCCCGCGCGAGATGTTCGTTCCCGTCTGCGGACGCGGTTTCGATGAAGCTTGAGATGTCTGGCATCCGGGTCGGGCTCCCCAGCCTCCTCGAAAAAGAGACAGGAGCTGTTCTCCTGCTTATCTGGCATACGTACATGCGTACATACATACCAGGCCAAACTTCCCCGTCCCCATGCGTCAGAGTCGTCACAGATAGTCTACCAATACTACGGAGTCGACCCCTTAGGGGGGGTCGATCGATCCGTCAATCAGCTTGCATTCTGCGAATGCACAGTCTACGAGCCTCACCGTTTTTTCTCCCCCTTGTGCTTCCACGAAGTGGGCTGCCTATGCCGGCCCTGCTGTAATGCATATTACATTTGAAATATGTATTCTGGCTTCTCTGGCTTGTGCCGGGGTGCGGACGTGGGCACCCTCCCTCGCCCAGTCCCCGGGGATCTTAGGGGTTCTCTAAAGAGGGACCCCTTGTCGCTGGTAAGTCCAATCAGGAGAAACCGATGGCTTCCCACAGCGGTTCCATCCTAAAAAGGCTCATTCCAGCACCGTTCTGTTCTGCAGCTCGATACATACGTACATACATCTACCTACATACCATGTGTGTGTGTACGTACGTACCCAGCATCGACAGCCACAAGCTAAAATAAGGGCTCTCACGGGCTAAAAGGACCGGGCCTACGACATCACCAGATTTCCGACCATTGACTCGACAAGCCCCCGAGCAACGTACACGCTCCTCCCCCCCCCTCCCTTGAAGGCCCCCATTCTAAAAATGCTTGAGGGACTCCGCCGGTCGATAGTAGACGTTCAACACCGTACCGCCGCGCTCGGTCTTCTAGCTAGCCCCCAGATGATTTAAACATCGGGAGCCTGGTCGCGTTGGGGACGCTACCCGCACCACACTAGGACTCTTTAGTCAGTTCGGTGGCGAGATCTTCGTATTTGTTACAATCAGCTACTTGTAGTGCTACTTGTGGTGGCGCGTCGAGGTGGTGTGTGTGAGAGTGCGAGTGTGAGGGTGCGAGTGTCAGTGTGTGAGCGAGCGTGTGTGTTGTCTGGATGCGCAGAGTGTTGGCAGCTGAAGCACTCAGGCCTCAGGCTCTCTTTTCCGTCTGGCGCGTGTGAGATCAACAGATCGAATACCTCCTGCCAGCCGTCGTTGGTCAGTCAAATTCGCGTGGTAGGATCTTGTGCAGTCCTCCCTCCTCCCCGGTGCGTGTGCCCCAGTTCCCCGCTGCCCTTCTCGCTGGGCAACCCCATGACTGGATGAAGAACCCTGGGCCTGGCCTACCGTGGTCTTGTCCCATCTCTTTGTAAAACGGCTGTTTGACAGCATCCTCAACCTCCTTCGCTCACTGCATATACTAGTTCCTCTCCCTGCGGGTTGGCCTTGCCGCCGTAGATAACGACAAGTCGAAGCATCCTCCGTCGCCGTCGTGGAAATACAACTACTACGACGCCGAATCCGCTTGGCAGGAAGCAAGGGCAATATCAGATGGCTGCGTGTCATCGGTCCATCTCCCTGATATCCCGACCTCTGCCCACCCAGTAGTTACCTCTTCCTCGTCCAGGGTCCATCCCCCCTGTTCTAGCGCCAGCCGGATATCCTCAGGCGGAACAACTCTTATTGCGTACTGGGTGTACGTACTTCACATCGGCCTCTACATACCGGGGGGGCTACTGGGCTAAGGTTATTCGATTTACCCACGCCTTCATTAGATCGTTGTCTCTTCGCAGACGGCAAATTCCTCCAACCCAGTAAAACCTAGGATCAAGGCGGCTCCTGAATACATAACACCTCGAGTACGTACTACGTACTATGTAGAAGTCATCATCATCTGGTCCTCGATGAGAACTCTCCTGGGTGAACCGGGCAGACAGGGTCGGACCGTATCCTTGACGCACACAATCTTACACGCTCATCCAGCGGAGAAAACGCGGATACCCCTAAAGCCATCGACCCTCTCAAAATCTCGATCCTAAAATACTTCCGAATTGACCGACGCTCCGTTGCTTCTCTGTCGTCCATCCGTCCCTTGATATCCGCACGCTTGCTGGCATAGATGGAACTCCCCGGCACTATTAGCAGAAGCTCCCATGCTTTGACGTTGAAGATCTAGTACTGTTGACAATCCGGTCCATCCAACGCCCCTTAGACTCTCGCCAACAGGGGCGGGCCTGAGAGCAGCGAGGAAAACGGGCTTGGTTCGCATTGGATTCCATCAGCATTGACGGACGGTTGATTGCTCGCTAGCATTCGACGTTGATTTTCCTAGGCTCCAACCTCAGCGCAATTCTAAATTGTGGTGTTTCCAGCCCACCAACCCCCGAAGGAGCAACGCGCCGAAACCCAAGACCGGCTCCTATTCTACGGCACCTTGCCCTCGCCTTCTTGGTTATCCGCTGCATAAAGAAGCCCCGCTATAGCTATCATCCCGTCAGCAGATCTTCAAGGCCCTGCTCCTCATAGGTACGGGCTCAGCAACGCTAGGGGAACTCCTGCAAGGTGTACTACTACGTACGAGAGACCCACAACCATTTTATCTTCAAGGCTTCCCGGTCACGGTAGCCATAGCTGTCAAGCTCCTGGATTGGTTGTAACTACCGTGAACGGCACAAGAAGGCCAGTCAAGCCGAAGCACGACAGCGGTTCCGGGAAAACGTCCAGGCGTAAATCGTCCTCTCCTCTGCTAACTACACCTACAGACCATCATCTACATACAAGTCTCCCTCCCTTCCCCCCTACCCTATGAAAACCTCTCATGTTGGGGGAAGACCAGGACGGACGAGTCGAAGTGCCAGGGACGAAAAGGCAGCGCCATAAAGTGTAGAGGTCACGTCGAATAAGCTCATTGGCCCAAAGCATTTCCTACTCGATGATTATATTGGGTCGAATATTCGCTTTCCACCTCAAATTATTAAGATTAAGGCCCCTCTGATTCTTAAATTCCTTTTGCGCGATCGGCCCCCTTGGGTTGAGTATCCTAAAGACAGGTTGAGGCCGGGCGTCTGGTTGGCGAGACCCTCTTTGCCCTAGCACAACCCTTTTTTGAGATCATCCTCTCTCTCGCTTTCTCTCTCGCTTTACCTTCCCCAGTCCAGAAGAAACTACACATCGCTCCGATTCATTTACGATCACTCCCCTCTAAAAGCCGATCCGTGTTGAGGCGGCGCGGCGTATCTTTCCCACGGAGGTGTTTTGAACTTTAGTGCCCAAATATCTCCCGCCTTAAACACTTAACTCGCCGAAAAACCCCCCTCAATGAGCGACTACTATCAGCAGTATATCCCCTCGATGGCGGGGACGGGGGAGTCGCCGAACCCGAATCCCCAAGATGCCCAATATCCGCCTCAGCAGCCCTCCACGCATATGGGGGGCATCGGCCCACCTCTGCCTACACCATACCAAAATCTAGGGTTCTTTGCTGGTTTTTCTAATCCCATAATGTTCCAAGCCCCTAGAACCCAGAACATTCGAAACCGCAAGAAATCCACGCCCGGGACGGATCACGTCAAACATCGCCGAACACGGTCGGGATGTTATACCTGCCGAAGTAGACGAGTCAAAGTAAGTGTCAGTTCTCCCGGATCCATAAGGCGATACTAAGCTCGACATCAGTGCGACGAAACCCATCCTATCTGTGAACGTAGGTGCAACGGTCATCATCTGTCCCCTCTACGCCCCTCTCCGGCACTCCCTTTCCCTCAAATTGACACCACAAACTCAAGCTGATGGCCCCAGGCTGCCGTAAGGGCAAGAGAGACTGTGTTTACCCCGAACCCTCTTCCGCAAAGGGGCAAGCAGCCGGGCCAAGCTCATCGAAGGACTCGGCGTCATTAACTCAAGAGCCAAGCCCAAGCTCTTCGCAGGATGATTTAGACGACGAAGTGGATGGGAACATCAAACTTGAACCCATTGTTGACGAAGAGGAACCTAATGAGGTGGCGTCTCCGTCCTCGCACCCCTTGGTGGGATTGCGGAGAACTAGCACGACTTCGTCCTCAAATATCCAGAAGGCCGTAACACGCCACAGCTCCGAGACACCTTCGTTAGAAGGTACCAAAAGCGCCTCACCAGCGGTTTCAACGAGCACGAGTGCTAGCTTTGCGACATCTTTCCAAATCCCTGACCCCCCGCTTGAGTCTGGCATATCCCGTCCGGACTGGTCCCATCTGCCGATCGATATACAATATCACTTAGCTTACTATTGTGAACGCGTCGCCCATTACAACTATGGAATGGCGAACGATCCAGACGACTTCTTCGGCTCGATCCTGCCTAGTTTGGCTGTGCAAAGGGGAAACGATGCGCTCTTGAACGCAGTAGTAGGGTTTTCGGCATACCACCGAACGATTCAAACCCCCAACGGCGAAATTCGAGATTTCCTTCGATATTATAACAGAAGCGTTACACTACTCCTCAGCTACCTACAGAGGCGGGACAACCAGAATGTTGCGACGCTATTAACTATATTGCAGCTTGCAACCATGGAGGTACACTTGGTTCCACATCCAGTTGTATTACACCCGTTGCTAACCAAAATAAAAAAGGAGTACCTGGGCGATTGGGTAAATCTCATGGGACACCAAAGGGCCGCGTACGATATCTTGACCCGGCTATTTACGCCAGAGACGATTTTAAACTCCGCCACAACTCGGATAATTTTGACTTGGTACATTCGATTCGACGTGTTCGTGGGGATGATGGGAGGGTTCGAAACTAACCTTCCGCGAGAGTGGTTCTCGGCAGCGGTGCAATTCTGCCGGGATCGTCTGGTGAGGGAGCCGAGCAATCTAAAAATGAAGATTGAGCTCCACGCCTCAGATCTGCGGTTGATCTCTAGGGACATGTCGATACTGTATGCTAGAGGCGGCCGAGGCGAGCTGTCGGGCGCCGATTTCGCCGCAGAGCATGGCTACATCACACATCGGCTGTACGAATGGAGGGCCAAATTGGACCCGGCCTTGACCGATCAGACCTACCTTATAACTGACTTCAAGCACAGAGCTCCGGTGGCTGAGGACGATATAGTCGACCCCTACAAACCCGGTTACCTGTACGATTTTCCATTATTCTCCATGACGGTTCTGACGGCGGAGTGGCACTCGATCCTCGTCATGCATAAGAGCCAGGAAGCTTTTGCACTACAGCAGAAGCCATCGGATGAATTGAGAGGCTTGGCGTTTGCAATATGCGAAATCTTCGAAACAGTGGAATTCTTCCCCTCGGCGCCGAGCAGCGCTCTCATACCGATCCAGGCTTGTCTCGCTATAGCCGCACTATTCCTCCCCCGAGATACGAGATACAACATGTGGTTGAGACGGAAATATGCGGTACTAGAATCTTTAGGGTGAGCATCTAACCAACTTTTTTTTTCCTTCTTCCCTATGTTTAATTTGGGGCCTAGATGATATGCAAGGGTACATCTAGGTGCTCAGCGATGCCGTTGGTGGATTCAAACCTGGCCCAAGGGACGATTCATATAATATTGTATGATCTACAACTTGGGAACAACGAGGCTAATCTTTCCGTATCACGTATAATTAGGTACGTCTTCCCGCTTACCGTGCGAACTCGGATGGCAGAGATATTTCGCGACCCCTCCTGTATACAATGGTGGTTACCAAACGACGAGGGACTAAGCCCTATATTACGGAGCGTTCGTGCTTTCGCAGAAGAGCGCAATGGGAGTCCCGGTTCCCCACAAACGAAGTCTCTCCGAGAGGTCAGTTCTATCTTTGCGAAGATGCGTCTCGACCACGAATACGAAGGGGTGTCTTCCCCCGGTGGATCTATCAGCGGCTCTTCTTCATTTTAATGCGCGGAAAGAGGCCTCAAGACTGTGTTTTTTGAGGGGGAGGGTATAGGGCTCGAATACCGGTCAGTTTTGCGGCGCAAGATGACACAACCCGGGAGGCTTCCTAGCAGACCCGCGTTGTTTTGGCAACGAGTGTGAACCCAATCGGTTGTCAAGTATCCAGCTCTGCCCGCGGATACCGACTAGTTCGAATAACCAGAGCCAATGCTGCCACATAGGCGGCCTATGTGGTGGTTCGGTGTGCAGCGATGTCGCGGGCGACTAGGGTGTGAAACGATGTTGTCTCGATGCGGCGAAAACCGACCCGGAATAGTGGCCGAGCCGGGATGCAACTCTGCACTGCGGGGCCGGGGGGACAGTAAGAAGTGAGGAGACCGACTATGCGGCCTGGTATTACAACGTCAGGACATATCTAAAATTGGGGATCCTACGGCACGGCCATACCAAGCGCAACCCTTACCTGTACCCGTACCATGGCACGAGGGCCTCACGGCTCTTGTTGGATGCTGTGGTCTAATTTTCCGCCCCCCTTTCGGCTCTCCTCCCTTCCTCCCCCCTTCTAGCGTATCGGACGAACCAGCTACCCGCGCTCGCAGGTCCAAAGGCCAGACGGTCGGGAATAGGCTGGCTGGCGACGAATCCAAGGCCCTGGGGCTTGGCCAAGACATAGTCCCCCGATTATTACGGCGGATTGGAGAATTGTGCGAGATGGATGCAGCGTGGAGTCTTCGGTCTGAACCAGCAAGCGCCGCTGTCACCATCCCATAACACCCGTACTTCGCCCAAAGCAGGGGCCCGGATTCACGGCACCTCCAATTACTTCTCCACATCAACGCCGTCGTGGTGATACACAAACCCCGGGTGTAGCAGGACAAGGTCTCCGCACATCTGCACCCCATCTGTGGGCAGATCTGCACTGCGGATAAGAGATCACTTGGTCGTGGTCCTGTTCGGGACCGGCAGTTTAGGGGCCTCTGCATTATATGTACGCTGGAAACCAACCCCCGAGTTGGCATACGAGTGGCGTCAGCACGAAACGTCACAGACTCGAAACAACCACTCCTCGTCGTGAAGATCAACGCGTCCTTTCTTCCACACGCAAACTATGGCACGCACAAGCGTAGGTACATAACCTACATGTACACTTGAGAGAGTTCAGATATGATAATTCCCTCTCTGACCGTCAGAGTTGACTGGGAAAAAAATTTTTGGCTGCATTTATACACGGCACGTACGGTACTGTAGATCAGGGACGGGACCAACGGGTCGGAGGCGCAAATGGAGGGTGGAGGAGAGGGGACGAGGGGGGGGAGAAAGAGAGAGAAGGGTATGAGGGGTAAGGAGAGGGGGAAAGAAAGAAAGAAGGCTACGGGATGGGAAATGGCGTCATCCGGAACAGAAAAGGAGAGGATGAAGGAGAAGAGGCGCTTGATGTGCTTCTGGAAAAGGTTCCAGATCCAATGGACCGTATGCCTAGATTGCGTGTCGTAATGTAATGCTCGGGGGATAGGGCGAGCAACAAACATAGTTCTATCGGTTGGGTAGTAGCCAGAGCAGGTTGTGCTCGGGACAGATGGCAATGGGATAGATAAAAATAACACAAGAAACACGGGACAAGATCAAATTGGGCGCTCCGATGCGCTTTTCGCCTGGATCCTCTCCCTATGTGACATCCGGAGACGGGGGAGGGGTTAAGACGATAAATATGGCGTCACGGCGAAGCGACGATAGGACCAAGTAGCTACGAATAATAAGTCGAGGGCGCGATCTTGGCTGCGGAAACACGACGCGAGACGCTCGCTGCTCCTCGACGAGCTCGCGGCGTCGTGCCGAATTGCTACCCTAGCCTAGTCTAGTCTAACCTCATGCGTCAGCTCGCTCTCCTGTAACCTCTACTTCTCCTTTTCTGTAATCCATAGGCGCGTTATCGACGTTACGCTATACACAGGCATCTCTCTCCCTCTCCGAATCCTGAGGTGGGAGAAGAACCTAACCTAAACACTACTCGCTAATTTTTTTTTTCGCTCACTCCTTTCTTTCTTCATCTCTTACCTCCTAAAACAACCTAGCCCGTTTACGAGGCCTGGGCCCTTCGACGAGGACCTCCGCGTCCGGCTCGAACTCGTCCTAGTCCTCCTCGTCCGAGCCCTCGTCTGAGTCCTTATCCTCGTCCGAGTCCTCATCCTCGTCCGAGCTATCCTCGTCCGAGTCCGCATCCTCGTCCGAGTCCTCGCCTTCATCCTCGTATTCATCATCGTCTTCATTATCGTCTTTATCGTCGTCTTTATCCTCCTCCTCGTCTTTATCGTTGTCTTTATCCTCATCCTCGTCCGAGTTCTCATCCTCGTCCGAGCTATCCTCGTCCGAGTCCGCATCCTCGTCCGAGTCCTCGTCTTCGCCCAAGTCTTCGTCCTCGTATTTATCGTCGTCTTTATTATCGTCTTTATCGTCGTCTTCATCCTTCTCCTTATCTTTATCGTCTTCGTTCTCATCCTCATCCGAGTCCTCATCCGAGTCCTCGTCTTCATCCGAGTCCTCGTCCGCCTCCGCCTCCGCGGCGTCAGTGTGGATCCATTGGCGCCAGAGCAGCTCAAGACCCTACCCGGCCCTCGCGGGTATGGCGTCCACGTCGGCCAGGTCGGTCAGCATGGCTTCCCCGAGCCGCTCCGGGCCGGCTACGGACCCCTATTCCGTACTCGCCTTCTTCTCCGGCCCCGACCCGTCTTCTTCCTCGGCAGCCGCCTGCTCCGCCGCCTCCGCCTCCACCTCCGCCGTTCCCGCCTTCTCCGCTCCCACGACTTCCTCTCCGCGGGCTTCCGCCGCGGGCTTCGCGGACTCGGACGCGCTCGGCTCGGTTCCCGCGACGCCCTCCACCGGCGTTTCCGCCGCCGCCGCCGTGGCCGGCTCCAAGATCTTTCCCTCGACGTCCAACTCCGAGTCCAACGGAGGGGCGGCATCTTGGCCGCCCTCGCGCGGCTCCTTTTCGTCTTCATCGCGGGCCTCGAGCTCCACGAGTATGCCCCTCTGCGCATTTACATTCACGCCCTGGGGCGGCGCGCCGGCGTCGTGCTCGACGGCTCGAGGCTCGCTTGCCACCCGAGCTGTAGGAGGATTCTCGCCGAAATCGCCCTCAACGATGACGGGCACCTCGACCTCGGACTCCTCCTCGACCGTCTCGGGGGCCGAGATGTGCATGGCGTTGAGCCTGTTGGCGACGCTCGTTTGATCGTCTTCCCGCTCCTCGATGACGGTCGTGACGGCGCTGCCGGTTGACGGCCGGCTTGAGTGTCTGGCCGTATTGCTCCGGCGGGAATGTAGGCCGTGCCGATCGTCGTCGTACTCGGCGCCCTCGTGCTGCTGCTGCGACAGCGGCTTGACGATGGCGGTCACCACGGATTTCTTCTCTTCCCTCTCGGGCAGCACCGGTTCGAGGCCCTCAGCCTCCGGTGGGAGCTTGTAGTTCTCGGCCGGCAGAAGGTCGTACATGTCGCAGACGGTTTTGAAGAACGCATATAGGCCCGTCTGAGCCTCAACCAACCAGAACACGCCTCTATGCTGGAACCACGCGTGCGCGAATATCCTATGGAGCCGGCGGAATACGTTGACGAGGTTCTTTAGCGCGGCACTCTTGTCGTGGCCGTCCGACAGTACTACAAACCTGCTGGGGAAGATCTTGTGACTGGTAACTATATTTGCTGCCCAGTCGAGAGTGTGGCAGCAGTAGTCGATAGCGCAGCAGCTCTTTGGCTGGTCGTGGACGGCACACAAAAACTGCCACTCCGAGGCGCGCATCTCGGGACACGTCGCCGAGGAGCAGGGCGGCGTGTCGAAGAGGAAGCCGACTATCAGTCTGTTACACTGGGCGATCAGGAAGCGGCAGAGTTCGTAGAGCCATAGCGTGCGGTCGACGCCCGGGGGGGGCGTAGCTAGCTGGAGAGCAGTCGCTCGGGTTATGGGCGTCGTCTCGGACTCGGTGTGATGGTAGTGCAGCGCCGCGAGGTGTTCCTGGAGCTGGAAGGCCGAGTCGAGCTGCAAGTGTTCCCGGTCAGTGGAAGAAATGGCAGCACGACATCTGCCTAGATCATGTACGGACCTCGCCTAGGGGGACCAGCGGCGGCCCGGCAGCCATGTCCTCGGACTTGGTGCCGGGATGTATCCGCCTCTTCGAATTCGCGTCGGCGGTGATCTGCTCCATCTGTTGTGCTTGGCGGCTGGCGGTGGTTCCCAGCCCTGGCGACTTAGGACCGATCTGAATTTCGGCGGGAGGTGGTGGACTCGGTAGTCGGGGCGAGCCCTGCGCTAGAGACATGGCTGCGTAGGGGTTCCTGGGGCCTCGGAGGCAAGTTAGTTGCTGTGGGAACTGCGGTCGACGTCGTGGCTCTATTGCTAATCGTTATGTGTAATGTTGGTTGTGGTGGATTGGTTCCCATCCCGGTGTCCATCGACCGTATGTTTGCGTTATCGAGATGTTGACACAGTAACTACCCAGGTAAGTAAGATAGTTGGCGGTAAACAAATAAGGTTACCATTACGAGAGGGTAGATATAATTATAGCTAGAATTAGTATATTAATCTTGTTATTTGTTTTTAGTATAATTTTAATATAATATTTAAGTAAATATTTATAAATATAAAAAAATTTTATTATTAATTTAAATTAAATTATATTTATATAATTTCTGATTATGAAATTTTTAAAATAATATAATTATCCTATCCAGAAGATAGTTATAATACGTTAAACCCCTTATTATGCTAATTAATTACGGGGTTAAATACCTCTGTAAATACCTATATAAATACAGAGTTATTTAGAGGATACTTTATTTTTATTAGCTAAAAGTTCGTATATGCTGTTTTAATTAGTTAAAAGTTCGTATGGCTAATTTAAAAGGGATGTATCTAATAAAACCGCAGCATACGCGTCTATCTATTGAACAGGAGCAGCGTGGGCACGCTGACGGAGGCACGAAAAGGGCTACCCAACTGCCAACAACTGGCCTAGTGCCGATTAACTAAGATTATAGCTGTAAACAGCTGTAATCGGTTGATCGGCCAGCTGAAAACGGCAGCTGGGAAAGGGGACTGGAAAGGCAAAGACGAGGATGGCTAGAAAGGCATGGCAAGAAACGAGTGAATGGCTGTAGGTCCTGATATCTACAGGTCTAAGTCTAACTAATGAAAATATAAGTGCGCGACCCATATAAATATACATCGAAAAGGCTACGTGGCCTAGATCCACCGCACTACTACAGCCTCCCCAGTTTAATTAATCCGTAAGGAGTAATTAAACTCCCTATATAACAATAGGTACGGTAGCTCTCGTTCCTATTGAACCTAATCAACCTAATCCCGATTAACCCTAATTAACTAAAAGCTAGCCAGTTTAATTAAAGGCTAATAGGATAAGTTAGGAAATAAGGCCAACTGGGAACGATTGCAATAGCAACAAGTAGGTAGTGGGGTAGGTAACTGCAACCGTACCTAATCCTGAACCTAATTCCTAATCAATCCCGAACCTATTCAATCGCTACTAACTAGGAGCTAAGCCAGTTTAACCAACGATTAATAGGAAATAGGAAAGATCTGATAATAAGAACTAGGCTGGCGGAGCTATAACCTATAAACTAACCTAATCAACCTATTCCTAATTAACCCTAATTAACTGGGAGCGAGCCAGGTCCATTAGGGCCACTAAGAAATAACAGGGATCAATCGGAAAACAGGAACTATAACGGGCAGGTAAAACAAGCGTAGCTCCCGTAAGAAACGAAAGAAACAATCCCATACGATGCAACGTAATCTCCGTCCTTCTCGTCCATGGCTATTACCGATCCTTTTCAACTAATCCTAATCCTATAAACTAACTAATATATCCTGTTTATGCCTGACTATTTCCGTAACTCGTTTCTGGCTATTCTCGACTATTATTCGTCCGGCAGCATCTACCGGGCTTCCCTTAACCCTCGATCCCTCCCCTATACGTAGTTCTAGGGGCTCTCTGGGCTCTTCCTACCAACTATATATCGGTAAAGGCGATAAGAGGGGTCTCCGGGCATTATCATGGCTGTTTCCGACTATGACTTATGACTGTTTTTTCTAGGCTTTCTTGTTTAATATCTTATTTAATTCGTATATCGCGGTATCGTCTATATAGGTCTCTTGATCCTGATCGGTACGTTCCCGATTAGGCTTGTAGCGTGGGTATAAGGTCTGTCGGAATCTTCGTGTAGTAAATAAGGGCATCGTAGTACCTATCGGTTAGGGAGGCAAGGAGAAACCTCCCCAGGTGCCGTAACTAGCTAGCAGGGATAAAACAAAGGCAATCGAGCTATCGGCAAGCCTCTTATAATTAAAATAGACCGATCGGAAAGGACTAACTACCTTCAAGCGCGTGTTATAAAAAGGGGGTAGTAGCGGTAACGGTATCAGATCAACTAAGAGAAAAACTGCCATCTAGGCACTGTTGAAAAACGACGGAGGCAAAACCAGGTAAAACGGGCACAGCTCCCTCAAAAGAGATAACTAAGAAACGAGGATAGGATAGATCCACTAATCGGCGAACGAGCTTTTAGGTAAGCTAATCAAAAGCTAATGGGAGGGCGTAGTTATTGATGGTCGCCATGGTTATCTGCCCTTCCCGTTAATCCAGCCACCTAAAAAAGGCTCAATCCGAAAGCCACGAAAAACGGCTCTGATCAACTAAAAAACAGGGAATCTCCTGATCGTCGTATCCTAAACCTAATGACTACAAAAACGGTCGCAAAAGGTCACTCCTAAGGCTGAGGTAAGGACGAGCTACTAGGTAGTCGCCACTGAACAGGAGCAGCGTAGGCACGCTAACGGAGGCACGAAACAAGGACTACCCAACTGCCAACAACTGGCCCAGTACCGATCGAACCTAGATCACAGCTATAAACAGCTATAATCGGTTAATCGGCCAGCTAAAAACGGCAGCTAGGAAAGGAAGGACTGGAAAGGCAAAAGGAGGAGGATGGCTAGAAAGGCATGGCAAGAAACGAGTAAATGGCTATAGGTCCTAATATCTACAGGTCTAAGTCTAACTAATGAAAATATGAGTACGCGACCCATATAAATACACATCGAAAAGGCTACGTGGCCTAGATCCACCGCACCACTACACTATTTACTTATTAACGCGTTCAATTCTATTTCCTACCTATTTCAATCCTATTTATATACAAATTAATCTAAGTTAGTTTCTCGTTCAATCCAGGTTAGTTTCTCCTCGTTTAATCAAGAGTCGATTGCTAATCAATCCCTTTTCGCAGTTCAAACGTCGATTCTTACTTACCTCTTTTTCCCTAGCCTTTGAAGAGGTCCTAAGTTTTCAGTACGAAAACCTAAAGAAGCGCAGAGTGCTTCGACGTATTTTATATATTTATAAACTAATAATAGCATTTTTATATGAATATAAAGGTACGTACCTAGCTACAATCTATAGGGTATGTAAGCTATTTATAAAGCTTTGATAATTTTTACTACAGGTACTGAAAGTATATAAGTACCTAGGTGCTCAAACTCAGGCGACCTGATCGTGTTGTACCTAAGTATCTAGGTACCGAACCAGGGTCTCAAGACCTTAGTGGGGCAAATGCGAGCCAATGATATAGCTTTGATTGGTCCGGGATGCTCCCCCACAGAAGATACAAAGATACATAGGTACCTACTTATGTACATAGCACCCCCTAATGCCGGGGCATAAAGGTTCCAAGTAGGTACCTAGGTACCTAGGCACCTGACCTATCTCAACATAAATATGCCCATAGGAAGTTGCTGCTAGATGTACGATGACGCGGATCGGAGGGACAGGGACCTCCCATACATCTGCATACCAGACCTGTGTGATGCCATTCATTGCACCTCTCACCTCTAGTCGTCCCTAGGAGTCTTCGCTACTAGTCCCCAAACCCGGGAAGACGGGAACATATCGCGTAGATCTATCCATCGACCCTCGAACAAAGCTGATCGCCACCATGAATTTCGACGAAGACCTCCCCCCCGACCTTGTCGAGGCTGATACGAGCTCGCAAGACGACAAGCTCGTCAAGGTACCCATTACCATCGTCACTGGCAAGCTGATAATAGACCACGAGTGGGAGCCGTGTTTATCGCCGCCACTAACCTCGCAAGCAGGCTACCTCGGGGCCGGGAAGACCACCCTTCTAAATTACATCCTCACTGCCCGTCATGGAAAGAGGATCGCCGTCATAATGAACGAGTTTGGCGACTGTCGGTGCAGAAATTCCCACAGACAGCGCCACGCCACAAAACTGACTTCACCGCAGCACTCGATATCGAAAAGTCCCTGACTATCAACAAAGGTGGCGAACAGGTTGAAGAATGGCTCGACGTCGGCAACGGTTGCATTTGCTGCTCTGTGAAGTACCACTGCGTCGTGCTACGCCCAGAGGAGACGTTCTAATCTCAGCCCAGGGATTCCGGAGTAAACGCAATCGAGTCCCTGATGGAGAAAAAGGGTGCATTTGACTACATCCTCTTGGAAACCACAGGACTAGCGGACCCGGGTAACCTAGCCCCCCTATTCTGGGTTGATGACGGGTTGGGGAGTACCATCTACCTAGACGGCATCGTCACGTTAGTAGATGCGAAGAACATCCTGCGGAGCTTGGAAGACCCGTCGGGGAAAGCAGAAGGCCACGAAGACCATGACGGCCACGGGCCCGTCATGACGACCGCCCACGTCCAGATTTCTCACGCGGATGTTATCGTGATCAATAAGTCGGACTTGGTCGATGCGGCGGAACTAGAAGATATCCAAGCGCGGATTCGGGCAATCAACGGTCTCGCGAAGATTCACGTGACGAAGCAGAGTGCCGTACCCCAGTTGGAAGGGTTCCTGCTGGATTTGCATGCATACGACCAAGTCGATGATGCGCTGAATGCCGTAAAGAAGGGGCATAGTCACCTTGACCCTGTCCGTGCAACCACGCTCCTCTCCTAGCTGCGGGCTTGAGCTGACCTCCATGTCAAAGACTATTTCCACAGTTGCCGTTGATGTGCCACCCTTGGCACCCCAACAACTCGAGCACGTCGACGCCTGGCTAAGATCTGTGCTGTGGGAAAGCGAGGTACCAGGAGAAACTACCAGTCCAACCCGCCCCGTTGAAATCCATCGCCTGAAAGCCCGTCTAGTCTTTGACAACGGCGATGTGAAGATGGTGCAAGGTGTCAGAGAGATTTTTGAGATTTTTGACTTAGACTCACCCTCGGATCCAGACGGCGGCACGGCGCAAGCCGGAAAGGTTGTTCTCATCGGAAGGGGTATTCAAGAGGTCAACTTTGAGCGGAGTCTGCTAGAGGCAGTCCGAGGCCGGTAAAGCCAGGTTCTATGGGGATACGCCTGTGGGCTTCAAACTGCCGAAGCTCTACGATGGTTTATGGGATATAGGGCGGCCCACAGATGCCAACGGGAGCGGCTCCCATGACGTCGGTGGTTCGGTTGGTTGCCCTGAGCCGCCGTTCGTAACATGACTGACAACTGCTAAACCTCGACGGAGACGGCGTCGGCTCCGAAGGTGTTAGATTCGGTGCAGTACCTCGGGAATTCCGTAGATATGCATAAATTAAAAATCCCCCCCTCGCGCGCCGTTTTGAACCCATTACACCGCGCGTCCGACAGACATTATCTATATACCTGCCGGCTCGGTCTCCACTGAGCACGTGAGGTATCAGGGTGGGAAATGGCCTACAGCAGATTCATGCTAATGAGGATACAATTCGTACAGAACACGTATCGAATGGAGATTTGTCCTCCAGTCCCTACTCACCTTCTCGTCGCCAATGCAGGTATACCTAGTCCGAATGCTGGGCTGAGGACGCGTGAGGAGGATATTGTGCTCTTCGAAAACATAGTCCGGGATTTATGTCAACCATAGGGGTAAGCTTAGGTAAGTAAGATAGCTCTCTACTGGGGAGGTATGCCTACGTGACACATAGGTATACTCCAATTTGTCTAATATCCCAATTTTTCCAGGTGTCGAAGGCGTTTATTTAGAGTAGATGCCTTTCCGCGCGAAACATACTAGGAGTTCCCTGAGGGGGGTTAATTGTCGGGTTAGGTTATCGACTCATACGCGTTACACATGAAGGGGAAATCAACAACTTGGACAGCTGCGCGACGGTGCTAAGCCAAAAGCCTCTATGCCCTAACCCATCAACTTGAGTACGGTTGTTTACAGGCGAGTCCCCTCTTTGGCAATAGGAAGATTTCGACTCTGCTTGATACTTGTTCCCAACCCTGTGCCGTGTGTCTGAAGGTGGTACCTAGTTGATATTGATGCCGAACTAAATGCCTACCTATACACTCCGACTAATACAGGTAGGTATTATGTCTACCTAGGCTTTTCGCGGGGACAATTTACCTACGTATTGCGATCCGTTAATCTTACTAGCACCTTACTGCCTACCTAGGTACGTAATATACCTAGGTATATCAACTGCGGAGAATATAGGTAGGGCAATAGTACCTAAATAAACTGGTGCGATCTGCGCCAAAGAAAAATAAAGGAAAGCTGAGGAACGGAGTCTTTGCATCATTGCATCACATGCCGGCCGGCCTCCGGTACCTATTATAGGCACGTAGGCAGTACCTCTGGGTAGGCCACCGTAAAGTGTTCGGGTCAGGGTTGGTGGTCGCAAGGCTGGTGGCTGTGCCAGGGTGTAATTTTGGCATGTATCGTGCAAGGTACATCGGGAAACCGTGGAGGTACCTGGACATGGAGCTGTGAGCATCAGAGGCTGCGTGCATTCCAGTTTTGGGCGAAGTACCCAAGGCGCCTACGTATGTATCACGTCTTACGGCGCGAGGTGTGCGTCTATCCGCCTCTAGCCACCCCCTAGCCTAGCGAGGCAGATGCGGTGTGCACGTAGTGATGGGGAGATGCAGGACTAACGCGCTTAGGTCTAGCGGGCGGTCTCGTAGGACGGGGTCTCCAGCTTGCCTTTCAGCGATCGCAAAGCTTCTACTTGCCTAAATCTCCATTGCCATTTCGCAGAGTACAACCTCGCTCACCACCCAGACGGCCCCCTCGCACGATATCCTCTCCGACCCCCCGACGACTTGATCCATCGAGAGCCTCTTCCCCCCCCTCGAGAGTCCACGCCGGAACATCTCTGTCTCGGCATCGTAGTCATGAACCGACCAGGTAGTTGCTGACCCTCTCCCTCCCTCTGCCTCGCGTGCCCCGCCTGTTTGCTTTCCATCGTAACGTCGACCGATTTCGCCTTGTCGCGCGTGCCGTCTCGAATACCCGATCTCCCTGGGCCACCTCGCTATGCTCTGCGACGCGCAGCACCGGCCGCCACGCGGGCCATTGGCTGCCCCGGGGCAGTAGACACCGCTTCCGAAGGGGCCTTCTCCTCGTCCCTCCGCCTTCAGCCTTCTCGCGAAGTCTTCAGCCTCGCCCCGGCCGCTGAGGAGAGGTCGCGTGTGCTTGTCGCGCTTCGGATGCTATACGTATACACGGCCGATCGACGGAACCCCTTGATGCGATCCATCCGATCCCCCGCCCTGCTCCCCCGCCTCCTCCTCCGCCTCCTCCTCGTCATGTTGCCGACGACGTCTATAACTTTGGCTAATGGTGGACGTCCCCAGGAGCCGTACCGCAAACCCTTCGAGGGATGCCGACTGGATTCGGCAGCCAGCAACAATCACAGCAACCAGGCAGGACGGTATCGACTAGGTTACCAAATGGGAAAATAGGTATGGTTGCGCGCCGTCCGGGTGCTTGGGCCTGAAGCTGATAACTCGTCTCGGCGGCAAAGCGAATAATAGTGCTGTGTGGGCATTTGGTGCTGTACCTATGGGTGCTGCTGGTCTTCGGGGATCGTCTGGCCAACTTGGGGGCAACCTCAGTTTTGCTCAGAGCCTGAGTGGTTCACAACCAGCGACACCCCTTGATCTCTCGTAGGTTGTGTTTTTCTTAAAACAATATTTATATACCGTTTGTTTGTCCCCCCTTTCCCCCACCCTCTCCCTTTTATATGGATTTGCCATCCGATAGACTGCCGTTGTTCTGGCCACTGTATTTCGTGTGAATATTCCTCAGCCTCGACTTTACTCCACCTCATCTGGACCCTCTGTTTCCTTCATTCCAGCCTCGCCATCGTGATCAGGACACCAGAGACCATGGCTCCCAAGTCAAAGGCTAGGAAACCCAAACTTTCACACAAGACCCGAAACCAACCAGCCACAGCTCCAGCCTCCAAGGTGTCGAAAGGGTTGCCGTATGCCACTGTCGCTGCTAAACCTGCAGCTGAGCCAACCCCAGAGGCTTCTGCAGAGGCTTCCACGGCTGCTTCAGGAAGCAATGAACCCCCCTTCTCTCTTGAGCGGTAATGAATCGTTACAATGGCGTTCTATATCCTGCTATACTCATCTTTCTAAAACATGACACCTCACCCCAACCTCCTCTTCTCCATACTGGTTCTCTATTATGACAGATGGCTGATTTTTCTAGTAGCGACTTTCCGTCGCTGGGAAATACTTCCCAGCTACCAGCCGCAAGCTCCCCTTCATGGTCAACTGCGGGATCGAGATCGATGGGTGGGGCGATACAAAGAAATCAACCTACCCCTCTGTCCTCTCAACCATCGCAACAGGAAGACTTCTTCTCCCCTTCACGAATGGGTTCCGGCCAAGGCCAATATAGGTTTAGCAACCAATCCAACGTGGCCCAGTCCTCCCAACCTCAACCCAGCAGCATTGACGAATTCCCGCCTCTGAGTAACAATAGTCATCGAAACGGCAACGGCGAGATTGGCCAGGAACGTGGCTCTAATCTAATGTCATCACTCAGCTTCAGTGCTCAGGGCAGCGCCACTCCTAGTTCCTTGCAAGGTTCTAGATCGGGCAACGGCCTGCTGAACGCGTTGTCCGCCAACACTCGAACGTCCGACGTTCGTTCCCCGGACGGATCCGCTGCGCCAGGTATATATGTCGAGCGATGTCCATGCTGTCTCGTGCTGACCGATTCGTAGGTGCCTCAAGACCTCAAGATACCCGAAATGTCGGAACCGGAGCTAGCGAAGAAGGCCGGCAAAAACCACCCGGTTTCCGAGAAGAAAATCTGGCTTCCCAGTCATCCCCTCAAGACCCGAGTCCTTCGGCTGACGGACGAAATCCCCACGGAGCAATTGGCAGTAACGAGGCTACCTCGAGCAAGACGACCGAGCAGAAAGAGGATCAATCCCCGGCTGTGCACGACCCCCTAGCAGGCATGGCTCCCATCGACCGATGGGGAATCAAAGGTCTGCGTACGTTAATGAACAACTATCCCGACTACAATGCTGCGGTTATGGGGGTGGATCCCAGCTCGTTCGGTATAGATTTCTCGGCACCCGGGTAATTTTCCTATTGCTATCTCGTATTGGAATCCTCGTGCTAATAAATTCTAGTCTGATATCGACGCAAATATTCTCCTACTTCAGCGACGTTCCGCCGCGACCAGCCATTCCCGAATATCGTCTGCCAGAGTGCTATAACGTGAACAACGTACAGCCTCTAGAGAACAAGATCAGCAACTTCAACGAGGAGACATTGATGTGGATATTCTACAGCTGTCCCGGGGACATCAAACAGCACTTGGCCGCACACGAACTGTACGGGCACCCACCTTTGTCGAGAAGCTCCTGGTGCTGACTCTTACACTAGGTACAGCCGCGCCTGGCGATGGCACAAGAAGCTGAAGATATGGTTGACCAAGGACGAGATCATGCATCCCCGAATCCTCAGTACGCAACACGAGGAAGGGTACTACATCATTTGGAACACGGCCGAGTGGCGTAAGGAGCGCGTAAGTCCCGACCTGGGTCGAATGATTCCCATCTTCGAAAAGTCCCGTGCTGACAATTTCTCCACAAGCGAACCCTTACGCTTCACTACGCAGACCTAGAGACTAACAACCCGGCTCTGGCGTGAGGATTAGGAGTTTCTCGATCACATTACACGCGGTATGGGGGCTCTCGCAAACCGGCTGGCGTTGGATTTGACGGGGTACACCCCCCTTGGGGACCTAAGGGTAATTGTAGTGATACGGTGACTTGATGCATGGTAGACGTGGGCGTCGCATATGCCCAGGTCGGCAGATAGGCTTTTGCATGGGGCGTTCTGATGCCTCCGAGATATCAATACAGGACCGCTGGATCCTCGCACACCCTAGGCTTCTCGGCCGAAAGAAGCGCCTCTAGATTCGTCTTGCACCGAGATTGCTTGATTTCGTGATTCGGCGTCGCCGGAGAGACCGGCTACCGTAATCTGATCTGTAGTGTGGCCAGGTAGGGATGGGCCGTGTTCAGACTCGCGCGATACGCATAAGGAGTGGTGCTGGAACTCGCGCCCACGTGATGGTCATCCGGCCGGTCGAGTCCGGCGAAGGAACGATGGGACGGCTCCGATCCTCAGTATAAGATCCCGACGGGCCCCGGCCCTGGCTCCTCCTCATTTTCTCTTCTCCTCTCTCTCTCATTTTGCGCCGGGGGGATAATTTGCTCTTCTGCGTGATTTTGCGACGTGGCTTTCCTTCGTGTCGGGCATTTCTTGTTCCGTTGTCTCCTGGGGTAGGTAGCTAGAGACGAAGAGTCTAACCGGCCGTCGGCGCCGTGCTTTAAGGAACTGAATACAGGAGAGCAGGCTAACTACATATTCAAGCCGAGTCCTATCTCCCCTTTTCTTTCTCGACTCGATTTGGAGACGCGCTTAGCGCCTCTCCCCGCCTTGCCCCCAGACCCTCCTTCCGGCTCCACCAGGCGAAGTATCGTTACCTTCCTTCAACGTACGCCTTTAGGTCGCGCGCCTGGGCCTCGAACGCAGCCTGCAGCCGCTTCTTGAGCAGGGCGATGGCGCCGGTGGTCCAGCCGGAGTAGTAGGTCTCGTAGGAGAGGAGGTGCGTGGAGCCGTTGCGTAGGTCGACGAGGACGTTGGGGTGCTCGGCGCGGGAGCCGATGCCGCCGATGCCGTCGTCGTAGCGCCAGACGACGAGGTAGGCGTCCCGGACCGAGGAGGGAGGGGAGGCGAGGGAGGAGAAGTAAGTGAGGACCTCGGCGCTGGTGGTGTTGAGGCTGCCGAGGAGGCCGCGCGAGGTGAAGCGCATGGGCATTTCGGGGTAGAGGTCGTCGGGGGTGGCGGAGACGTTGGCGGGCAGGGCGACGTCGACGACGAACGAGTTCCAGCGGCCGTAGGACTGGAAGTCGAGGATAGCAGCAAGGAGGGCGTGCGACGGCACATCGACCACGAGCTGGGCGCAGACCCCGAAGACGGCCCCGTCGATCCCGTAGGTCGGCGTCGGCAGCGTACTCGCGCCATCCTCGGGGCAGCGCAGCGACCCGTAGTCAACGTCGACGCTGCCGCGGGTAGGCCGGGCGGAGACGCCGGGGGCGAGGGCGAGGGCGAGGGCGGAGGACAAGAGCATGACGGCGGCGGCGTCTGTGAGCTACTGCTGCTCCTTCTGGCTTTCGTTTCCACAGAGGGAGATAATATTCCAAGTAGAGAGCGAGAGAGATATCAGCATGCGCGCGACTGTCGCGTAAATCTGGGAGATCGATCTCGTGGCCGATCACTTCCCATATGGTCCTACTGACCCTCCCTCGTTCGTATTCCCATATGGATCACAAGCATCGCCTGCGCGGCCGCGTGATGAAGGGGGGCCCTTGGGGCTAGCCACACACTGCACGCCCCGAGAACGCTACCGCCTGCCCATTTGTCCGCCTATAGAATCCGAAACAAATCGCCCTCCCTCCCCTCTCCGCCCCCCCACCGCGATGAGCAGTAGAGTGGAGTGGGGAGTTTCGCTGTGCCGCTGTCCCGATGCTATTTCTGGCGGTGGTCATCGCGTACACATAGCTCGGTTGAGAAGGGGAGGGGGCAAGCCCTGCTTGCTGCCCTATAAACCACGCACATGGAGGCGTCGACGGCCGTCTCTTCCCTGGGCACTCGGTCACGAGAGTGCTTCGGAAAAGGGCTTATACGGGGAGGAGGAAGTTCCGCGTAGCAGTTCACGAGGAGAGACACATAGCTCGAGCTTTGCTCTGGCTCTTTTATCTTCAACATCCTCGTTACTTCCTCTCTCTCCCCTCCCTCTCCATCTATTCATTTTCTAGATTCTCCCTCCTCCATCGTTTATCTTCATCCTGCTCTGTTCTGCTTTGCCCTCTGCTTCTCCCGACTCCTTGGGGTGTATGAAGGCTGTTCATTACGTTAGGTTACCGAGGGGTATTGCTACCGAATCTCTCCTTGTAAGATATCTGTAATTTCGAAGCCGCCCAACCGCTGATGCGAATAGCGGGAGGGGGGCTGGAGTGGGTATCCGTGAATACCAACGTCGGGCATCTCAATGAAGAGGGCCATGGCCAGATGGTATCGCGATATTAGGATATGCGTAGATGTTAAAACCGGCATGTCGCGAGGGGAAGAGAGATAGGGAGGGAGGAGAGAAAGATAGGGAGAGGGAGGGAGAGGGAGGGAGGAGAGAAAGATAGGGAGAGGGAGGGAGAGGGAGCGAGGTGGAAATACCTCTCTTAGGTAAGGTAGGGTATGTACCTTAGGTACCTACCTCTAGGCACCTAGTACCTTAGGAGGTACCTCTTCTTAGGCCGGAATGGAACACGGAGTACTCGTAAATCAGGTATGCAGGTGCGTTAGGTAATCAGGATTCATAAATGAAGGCACAACCCACATTGACCCGCAGTGGCCCAAGCTCCTATGTTTACACTGAATTCGGCGCTGGCCAATGGGCGCTCGCCAATCCCTCTTTTGCTTCCCTCTTTTCCATTTCCCGTTCCTCTCTCCGCTCCCGCGCCCGCAATCCCGTCCCTTGCCCTGCCTTGCCCTACCTCGTCTCGTCTCTACCTCTCTCTACGTACAGAGCTCTGCCTTTTTCAACTTCTATCCACCAAATTCACCAACCTACCTGCCCGTCCAGCCCGGCACTGACCTTCCAACTTGCCAGGCAAGACTCGTCTACGCGCGGTCGACAACCTCTCAGCTCCTACCTCTCGCCCCCCAACATACTGCAACCTGCTCTGGAATTGCTTCGGGTAGCCATGCTTCGTTGAACGCGCATCGATTGTCTCTACCCCCCTACCTTTCTCTGCTACGCCTTGACCTCATTTTTACGCGATTCTGCGCACATTTGACGCGTTCTTTTTGACCAAAAAACCTACCATGGCCGCGGCACGACGAGCGCGTCTGCCTGTCGGCTCCGCGCCGTGGATCTCGGAGGAGAGATCCTCTGCTCTGCAGATTGTGCAGTCAGAGGTCGACGAGTTCTCATTCTCGGCTCGGAACGACTTCGACTGGCTCAACGAGCATATGGCTGAGGTATTCAGCGAAAACCAGATGTATGCACGCCCGCTTGGAAATAGCCTCGAGTTTCCCTTCTCGCTAACTCCTGCGGCAGCAATGTTGCCGATGTCTTCAAAACCCCTGGCAAGTTACGAGGCAAGACGCCTCGAACTGCTCGGAAACTCAACGCGGGAGATGCACGCGTCGTAAGTCCATCCCGGGCAGCTTTAGAGCCGCTTTCTCCCCCCAGTATTACTGACCATGCGCCAGCCGCTCTCTGATCTCTTCTCTGCTACGCCCAAGGGAGCACCGAATCCCTTTGCGATGCCTAGTATTAATCGACATAACACGCCCAAGATTGAGATTGCTGCGGACCCCCAGCCGTCTTCTCCCAAACCGATGGGCCCAGCAAGCTCCTCGAGACACGCATCACCTGCTAAGCCCGTGCTCGCGGCCTCGAAGCCGCCAGTCTCCATGGTGGATTCTGGCTATCATGGAAGCCAATCCCAGGACGCGATGGACGTAGATGATGCTGCTCTCGTTGACGACGAAGCAACGCAGCCCTTTAGCCCACACACGGATTTGCCGAGCGATCATGTTACGTTCCAAATCTCCTCTGACCATCACGAATATGATAGTCCTACCCGTCACTCACCTAATCCTGCTCCTGATATGACCACTGGCGATCATTCCACACAGTATTTCACTGCTCACGTCGCGGCGGGAACATCGCCTACCACCAGGAATGGTCCGCCACATGAGAGCACTACCCCTGCAGGCTCCCCTCTGCGATCACCTAAACCTAGTCTAGAAAGCACGTCGCCCGTGAAGTCCTTGGAAGCCGAACATACATCGCCCGCTCCTGAGGACCAGATAGCCGAGCCTGAAGAAATGGAGATAGTGCCTGAGGAACCATCAAGGTCTCCGTCTGATGGCTCAAGCCCGATTCGACCCATTGTGCGAAAGAGCAGCCTCAATTTTGCATCTCTACCCGCACGCGAGCCTATTACCCATAAGAGCATAGGGAATCGGGCATCACGGACAAGTCACCTAGAACAGACCCGAACCAGCTACTACAGCAGACACACAGAGGGAAGAAGTCTAGGGAATGCGAAGCACGATCTTACAGACGACGAGAACGACGATATGGATACAGATGAGGATCCCTTTGGTCAGGACCCTGAACTCCAGTCGCAGTCCGATGCACTCGCACACAACAAAACCTACACCCAGCGTCTGCAAGACCAGATCAGCAAACTGGGGCAATTGCAACCGCAAGTCTCACGACCATCAAAGTCAATCCCGGATGTCCTGACTGCCCAGCCCGCAGCACCGCAGTCTCAGGCGAGGCCATTCCCTTCACCGCAGAAGACCACAACCCCAGGGGCATTCCCAGATGACGAAGATGACTGGATTCAACCTCTGGGGCCGCCTGATGATGCTTCCGACATGCGAAGCCCCCGGCCAGCGCTGCCCAAGAGTCATTCTGCCGACGTGATGGAGGGTGTATCTGGAAAAGATACTATTGGCGGCGGCGATATCATGGTGCCTAAGGCTCGCCCGCGCACGAGCCGATCCAGATCTCCCGAGCGCGCCCCCATGTCAGACAGGTCGGCTAACACGTTCAGCCACCACAAGTCTGCATCGGTTCCTGTGTTACCTCTGAAAGGGTTGACGAACAGTGAAGGAGACAGTCTCAAGAAAACTATTACGGTGTCCAACCCGGCTCTTGCTGCCGTTTCTAAGGCGGACCAACCCTCTACTCCTATGAAGTCGCCGGCCCGTAGCCTCAGAGATAGCCCGTTAAAGCAGGTGAAGAATAAGTTGTCATCGATCCTCAAGAGTTCCAAGGGGCTGTTGGCCAGTAGTGCTGCCATAAGTGCCGAAGGAAAAACCTCTCTCTTGTCCCCATCGACTGCCAGACTAGGGTTGCACAGGGACCCCCCCACAGATACATTTGCATCTCCTAAGAGTTCCCCCAAGAGCAAGGAGGCGCATCCTTTATATCCGGATCTGTCACGTCATGCCGCCGACACGGAGGCTCCGGTGTGCGCGCCTAGCCCGACGCGCGCCGAAGGCAGAAAGACCAGGGCCTCAACCGAGCGCGAGAAAGCTGAGGAGAAGCGGAAGGAGAAAGAGGCTAAAGAGGCACGCCTGATGGCTGAGCAGATGGAGAAACTAGAAAAGGCCCGCGAGAAGGAGCGTGAGAAGGCTCGAGTGTTTAGCGAGGAACAAGAGAAGGCCGCCGCGATGGAGAAGCAAGTTGCTGCACAAAGGGACCAGGAGAAGAGGATGGCGGTACAAACCCCGGGGAATACGAAGCCAACCCGAGTCAGTCCGCGGAGAATCAAGAAACAGCCGACGGCAGATAAGAGAACAGCGGCTACGGTCTATTCAGACGAGACGCAGGCGGATATCGATATGACGGATGCACCGAGTATCATGCCACCGCCATCGGCCGCTCGTCCTCTCGCACCTGCTTCAGCCACCAAGGGCCGGGAGATCAAGCGTCCCATTCGACCGGCCAAGGAGCCGGTAGCCAAACCGAAGCAGGCACCCACCGTCATTCGAGTCAACACGGGATCGCAGCATCCTCAATTCCACCCTTCTAACAGCACTCTCTCGTCGAACCTCCATGAGACGCTTTCCCAGCCTCAACCCAAAGGCAAGGCTAGCCAGCCGGCATTGCAAACGAAGCCCTCGCTTCAGAGCCTCAAGAGCTCTACATCATCGTTAGGGAGGCCGAAAGCGCTCGATGCTGCAGCTCGAAGAAAGGAGCAGGAAGAGCGCGAGGCGCAACGCAAGCGTGATGCCAAGGCAGAGTTAGAGCGGAAGAGGACAGCCATGCAGGAAGAAGAGAGACGCCAAGAGCAGCAGCGGAAGGCGGAGGCTGAGAGACAGAAAGAGGAAGAGCGGAAGCAAGCAGATGCGAAGAAGAACGCACAACGGCAGGCAATGCTGGAGAAAGCGAAGCAAACGAGAGCGCCTCCGCCAGCCGTGCGGAGCCAACCGAACGGGCCACCCGACTACAGTCGGTCTGAAATCGGTGCTCCTCGACCGCCCTCTCGTTTGACTACTCAGCGCCCTCAGGAGGACACCGGGCGCCCGGTCAACGCTGTGCTGTCGACCGCCTCCAAGGCGAACACAAAACGACCTCTTCAGCAGGAACCCAACGACGATAATGCCTCATATCAAGCTACCGCTCGTGGTGCTAACGGCTATCAGCCGAAGGATCCGAAGCGAATGCGTATGTCAGATGAGATGGACGACGGCATGGAAGTAGAAAAACAGCCAAACCTGAAGGGAGCACCCGTCCGACCGTCGGGTGGCTACAAAAAGGTAAGTCGAAAATATCCCGAAACAAGCCGTAATGAGGAAACTAACGAGCCACTAGGATATGCCGGTCAAGTCGCTTTTCCCTTCGGGATACGCCAGTGCTTCTTTGAATAATAACAGAGACCTGTTTAAGGCTACCGTGACCAGCCAGCACAACAGCCAACTCAAGACAGCTCACCCACTAGACATGACTCAGGTCTCCAAGGCACCCATCCCCTTCGCTCCCAACCCGAGCACCGCCGGATCGTCGTACAAGACGCCCGCTCGGCCTCAAGGAGGGGCAGTTGCCAAGTCCACCGTCAAGTCGGCGACTCGATCGTCGCCGCGATTCCAGAATGGCGACTCGATCGAGTTGCCGGAGATCAACACGGACGACGACGACGACGATGACGACGACGATGACGGGGTCAGAGATGCGATCGCCTCTTGGGCCGACTCGCCAAACCTTAGGAAGGCACTCGTCAGGCAGGAAACTCAGGATCCCATGCAAGTGTTCGGGGTACCGGCGCCGCTGAACATGGAGGAAGTGTTCGCCAAGAGCAAGGACCGGTTCCACAAGTTCCGTGCTAGGACTTCGAGCGCGAACTGGAGTGGTTCGGATAGGCTGACGGAGGAGGATATCCGCAAGGACATGGCCGCCAGAGACCAGATCAGGCGGGACGGCGGCTGGTCCTACCAAACGGTTATAGATTATGAGCGTAGCGCGAGGAGGGAGTGATGGCGGCGTCGAGATTCGAGGCCCGGGGGGGGAGGGGTTGGAAGATGGACCGGCGAGAAAAGCTGGTGGGTAACGGGGTCGGGGACCGGCTACAGCAATTGTTGCATCAGACAGGTGTTTTTGGTTTCGTCTGGGCCAGGACGCAGGCGGGCGCAGCTACGAGGGAGTTATACGGAGTTTTGTAGTACTACGGCGTGTCATCATTACCTATTACCTATCAGCATACAAGGCGACATAAAATGGGAGAGGTGTATTAGGGCTCTGGCGAAATACAGGCAGGCCTCGACCGAGACCGTTCAGAGGTAGTCGACGACTCGCAAGGTGTGACGGCAGTGCTCGGTTCCATCTGTCTGGTGACATGTATATGCGTGTCTGCTCACGACGACGAGGGCATTTCGCAGTGGCCAGATGCGCCGTGACGTTTTCGTAGGCCCCTCCCCAGCGTCCCCATCCAGTTATATTGAAATACGCATGTAGCAAGGCACAGAGTATGCGCGTAGCGCAATCCACGAGGGTTGCGCGTATTCTGTATCTATACTCTCGCTGGCATCGGAGGGTCTCCCTATCGGGCAACAGGACGGCAGCCTGCGTTGGCGACGGCGTTAGGAAGGAATGAATGGAGACCACCCCGACGTACACACACGCGATACACGCACGCACATACACACGCACATACACACGCACATCGCAAGGGAACCGATCGTTCGGGATGCAGGCTAATGCTGGTGCCCGCCGGCCAACTCGCGCGGAGGGTCAGTAGTGACGACCTCGAGACGCGGTGCAGAGAGGGGGTTTTTAAGGTGGTATTCTAGATTCGCGACAACGTAAATATCTGCACGCCCAGCATGCCCAGCATTAATAGAACGGGGCGCGGGCATTCGGTCCCAAGACGGCGTGCGGGTGCGTATCGAGATGCGACACGGTCAAGTGACTCCTTATCATCTCTGTTCCGCATGTGCGTATGAGCAGGAGGTATGCGCTGGCACGCGGGCCTGGACCTGGAAAGCAAGCCACGACGTGTTCGAGGCGGCAAAGGGGATGAGCAGCGGCAGCCAGGTGGGGGAGCGGGTTCGGACCTCACATGCTAGAAGTCAGGCGCTGACAGGTCGGGACCGTTTATCACGGCACACGGTGTACCTCGCGTTTACTACGGTTACGACGGGTTGGTGAGCCGGAAGCCGTCGCAGCGGTAAGGTTGGATGGCAAGCCGGTCAGCGCCTGGGGGCTGCGACGCGCCTAGGCACCTAGGTAGGCGCCTAAGGAGGTAGGCCAGGTCCCGAAGGACCTCAGGTAGTATTTCTGTGCTGTGCACAGGAGGGATGCATCGGAGGTTAGGAGGTTTAGGAATATTAGCACAGATATTACGATGTTGGGTTGGTTCGCATTTATCCAAAATTACCTCAGGCACCTAGGTAGAGGTCGATCTGCGAAGCCTGCTAAAGATACCAGGCACCTACCTACCTACCTGCCTACCTAGGTAGGTAGGTATATACACTCACTCCCCGGGACCCTCCTCTCGCATCGCTCGCCGTGTCTAGGGCTGATCGCAGGATAGCAGGACGCCGTCGCAGTCGAGCCACCAAGAATACGGTGATGTCATTTCTCGTCTCGTGGCAGGGGTTGTGAGGTAGGAGGGTAATGTAGGTACCTAGGTAGGTAGGTAGGTAGGCAGGTAGGCACGCTGCAGTACCGAATGCGCACATATTCGCAGGGCGGGTACCTGGTCCAGACCTTGTGCGTATGTACATGGATGGGACGGGTACCTTAGCAGGTAGGAGGTAACCTACCTCGCCTACCTGCTACCTATATAAGCTCACTGGATGACCTGCATATGCTGCATCTGATGACATGCGCCTAGGAGGGGGGGGTTCGGATCCATTCAGGGTGCAGGGGAGGGGCACCGTTGCGTGTACTCATAGATAGGTATAACTACTTAGGTAGGTATCCCCTACCATCGTATCCTTCTATCCGCTGTTAGCCATGCGGAGTAGGTTACGTAGGTACCTAAGGTGAACGGGATAGAATGCAGCATCCCCATTCGCGCAGGCCAAGTGTAAATATAGGTACTCATAGTCCTAACCGCCCCCTGGCGGCTGAGAGGCGAGGAGAACAAGTAAGGCACACTATACAATAATATACCTATTTAGGGAGTGCCTCGTTACGTCGACTGTGTCCCTACCTTCCATCTCATGTACGGGAATTTAGATACATTTACCCCTACCTACCTCCTTATCTCCTAGGTTAATAGGAGGTACTCAAGCGTCCTTCTGTCGTAAGCACGTGAGGTCCCTTACTGACTCCTACTACCTCCTAAAGGTGCAGGAGGTACCTGTAGGCAGGTATGTAGGTACCTACTAAGGTACCTTAACGTAGGGGCGTAGAGGTGGCTAGGTACAATGGATTGATCGAATCCGGCTAGCCCCCGCACTGCCCGGTACAATTCATCCCGTCACTATTAGCGCCGATACGAGTGCCTACATGTAGACACGCATTGCGCTCACGACTTTCGCACACGCACGAGCAGACGTCCGCAGGTCCATGTATTCGCAGCGGATGGCCGAGAGAGATGGGTACCAAGTGGGTAATTACCACGCAGCGTGTACCTGTACGCAGTAGAGGTAGCTATTGCAAGTATGCCACTGGGTTAGGTGCCTGTACGTATCTAGGTGCGAAGTCGGTAGGTACTTCATAGGTAGGTACCTCCTACTCTAGGTACCCTACAGGTACCTAACCTCCTAGAGGCAGGCTTCGACACTTAGGCAGGTACCCCGCCCTGGGTTGCCTTGCCTTATGCCCTTTCTGTCCGTTCTTAATACCCCATCCTCTTACCCCGACAACCTGCCAGCGGCACGGGAGAAACACAAAAGTCAACACGACCGAGTTTTTAACCCATTTTCATCCAGCATCTCATCTCCCTTCTCCTCGCAACCGCTGCCTGGACAACTCCAACATTTTTCCGGTTGGCAATTTCTGGCTGAGGCGCTGCCACCTGAGCACAGATACTTAGACATCTTCTCTCTTTTCTATCGCCCTCTTTTGGCTCGCCGCAGCATTCCCGTTCAGTTTGCCCTTCTTCCTCTGACCTCATCGTTTCCTCCTCTCCCCACCAAGACACACACCCTCAGCCGTGCCCGCTCGCTTGCGTCGTCAACGCCAACAACAACAAACCCTCGCCCGTTTCCACCTCGTCCCCCACCTCATCCAACACGCCCATCACAACATACCACATCACATCCGCTTATCCCCTCTCCGGCCTCGTCTCCCTCGGGTCCTTAACACATCTGCTTGCGGCTGTACTGCCGCTGTCCGCTAGGGCCATCGTTGGAATGACAGTTTGGAGGAGACCGTCCTTCTGCTGCATATCGAGCATCCGCTTCTCCAGCTCTTGACTTCCCTTGCTAGCGCCGCCATCATGCCGAAGTGGGACAAGACCCGCGACTACTATTCGGACCTGGAGGTCTCTGCAAATGCCTCCGCAGAGGAGATCAAGAAGCAATTTAGAAAACTGGGCAAGTTGATCCGAGTTCTCCTCATCGTCGAGTTACCCCCTCGATTTGTTCCTAGCTAACCGCCTGCTTTTTCCCTCCTTCTCCCCGCATCAGCCCTCAAGTACCACCCCGACCGAAACCCGGGCAGAGAAGCCGAAGTGAACTCAAAATTCCAAGTAATCCAGTCAGCTCAGGAGATTTTGACAGACGACACCCTAAGACGCCAGTACGATGAGGCCCGCAAGATATACAGCTCGCGCTTCCCTAAAGCGTCGGGCGTTCGGGGCAACCCGTGGCAGGATTTTGGCAAGGAGTATCAACCACCTCCCACGAGACAGCCCGCTCAGACAGCTTCGAATCGCCCTCACTCTGGTGCTCAGCGCTACGCTAGCTTCACCAACAATATACCTCGAGCATCCAAGCCAACGCCTAGAGATGACCCCCAAGCGCGTAAGAGCTACGCCGACGCCTGGGATAACATGAGATCTTCCTCTACCCGGCGAGCGCCGCCTCAGGCTCCCGGCCGGGCACCTACATCCGCAGCCAGGGATACGAAATCATCCGACTCGGAGGCTGTCCCGCCTCGAACAGCCTATCAGCAACAGAAGGCAGAGGCGTCCTTTGGCAGCAGGAGAACCGGCTTCGTCCCGCGCTCGCCGGGCGTGGCTGACGAACCCCCCGTTACCAGCAAGAACTACTTCACAACTCGAACGCACTCTAACATCTTTAATGACCCGAGTCCGGATCCGACACAACCTGCTCCGACTTCCCATCCTACCACCTCAATTCCTAAGGATCCACTCTCGCAATTTCGCGAGAACTTCGGGGACTCGCGCCATAGCACCCCGTACCATACGCCTGGCGGCGAGAAGACGAGTCTGTTTGATGACGGACCCGGAGTGGACCGTTCTACGAGTACGCGGTCACCTCGAAGACCAAATATGCCCGGCGCGTTCCCGGCATCACGCCAGCGAAGCTCCAGTACTCCGAGAAGCTCAAGCAACGACGGAGGCTCCGAGGATTCGACAAAACCGGGCGGCCGAAGGACGCCCAACAATAGCACCGCTTTCCAGACGCGGCTTGGCGATCGACAAAAGACCAAGCCGGGAGTGAACGGCAGCACTGCCCAACCAGCTCGGCCAGCAACAGCTGGCAATCCCTCGACAACCACGACCGCGTCTACAGATGGAGCGAAGTGTATGGCCCTCTAGTCCCCACCGCGCCGCGTAGCATACTGATCTTGTGATAATAACTAGTCTCGACTGCAGCTGGAGGTTCAAGCGAGGCCAATAAAGGCCCCTCATTGTATGCACCGCCGTCTACGAACCCCTCTACCTCGGCCCATCCCAAAAGCCAGGCTACCAGACCGGAGGCCGGACGTGCACCCTCTTTTGCGTCCCGGCAGCCGGGCTGGCTTCCTCACTTCTCTGATTACAAGCCTGATGACCCTTCGAGTGGAGGAGTCAAGCATAAGCCCTCTCTATCGCTCTTCGAGAAAATGCAGCGGAACGATCTCGATTGGCTCATTGACGGAAAGAAAGTGGACAAGAGTGCATTCGAGGCAACCGATGGGGCTGCCCATGTCCCTATTTCTTCAGCTAAGAGAACCAAAACCGAATACCGTACTAACGATGCGCCCCATTCTAGCTTCAACATCCCGGTCGGAAGCAACATATCTAACGGAGGTACTGACATGGACGGACTCTCCGGGCACAGTGCTGATAATATCAACACCAAATTCGTCGAGGACGAACATCCGGATGACTGGAAGTTTAGCGCAGGCACGACCTCAGCAGGCGAGCCGGTGACGCCTACCAAAGCGCGGGCACCGTCGCGCAACCGGATCAATCGCCGACAGACGGCAAAGCCCCGACCTGCCCAGCCAGAACGCATGCCATCGATGCAGGAGAACTTTGCCAACGCTACCCAGCAGGGGTTCTCGGCAGGCGAATGGAGCGACAAGATAGGATCGCAGCACTTTGAGCCCCAGCCCCCTCGTAGCACATCGAATTCGCCGACCCGTCGCGCCAACGCTAAGAAATCCAGGCCTGTCAAGATGACTGCAGGTTCGGCAGGATTGGTGGACGACGAACTGAACGAAGGCCGGCCAGAGAAAACCCCGCCGCCCTCGGGCACCGTGCCGACCAGTGCCGACAGCTCAACGGCCATGGACATCGATACGCCGCCTTCGCAAAAGGTCGATGGTACTCCGAAGGCTTCCCATGCCAATGATGCTCGCAAGATTCCTGTCGAGCCCCACAGAGAAGAATGGAGGGCAGGCGATGTCAATGGCGTACATCCCAAGCCTCCGAGTCCAACTCGAGACGGAAATCCCACCCAGGACCACGCTGCCGCAGCGTCAATTCCCGCGCCAACCCCCTTCGTCGCCCAGCACGGCGGCTCGGAGGATTCCGAAGACTTCCGCACCACGTTCTCCGACTTCAACAACGTGGCACCGTTCGCCGCCTCAGCTCCCACCGGCCTCAAGGACCTTGGCGACCTAAAGTCGACATTGCCCTTCCCGAGCCGACCCTCGGAGCAGATCCCGTTGGAGAGAGAGCAGCTGCCCAAGTTCGTGCCACTCAGCTTCCCCACGCCGCCGGTGGCCCCACGTCTCCCTCAGACGTCTGTCGGATACCGTTCGAACCACGCAAATTTCCGCAAGTACGCCCAGGATTTCTATCAGTATATGGAGAAGTGGGAGAACTTCAACACGAAAATCATGCGTCATTTCTCTACGCGCCAGGAGCATTTTGTGCTCCGCCGCCAACAACGCGGATCGGCTTGGCTTGACGCGACGGCACAAGGCGACGGCGCGAAAGAGTACCTCCAAGAACTCGAGCAGGACCAGGCCGTTCGAACGCAATGGGCCAATGCTTTCGCAGACCATCAGGCCAAGCTCCGCGAATTCATGACGTTCAGAGACGAGGTTAGATAGGACTACCTGGTGAGCGGGTGTGAGTACAAGCCCTTTTACGCCGAGGGACATACCGACTTCGGACACGGGCGCCGGTGAGGGAGCATCTGAGCGGGCCGCGCAAGCGTGGCGCGAGGCGCTTGATAGTTGGCCTATATACGCAAACATCGCAAATTAGCGGCACGTGGGTTAAGAAGATATACGAGAACGCAAAAGGTTGGTGGTCACGGCGTCTGTAACCTGTTGGTGATAGGCGGGGCCGTTGGAACAGCTCGGGCCGGGATGGTTGCGAGGGTTCTCTGTCTGTAGCAGGGGTGGCTTTTGATTGCAGCAGACCTGGCTTTTTGGGCCGGGAGACGGCATTCGGTTCGGGAGGGATATTATCGTGAGCATTGCGCGCCCACGATGGCGAAAGTTGAGATACCCATGGAGAGAGAGAGAGAGAGAGAGAGGGAGAGGGAGAGTCTTGGAGGTTGGGAGAGTGAGGAGGATCGGTCTGGTTTTATGGGCTTGGCGGCTAGACATGCTGGGATCTTGCGGCGCGGTTGATACCAGGGAGGGTTGCGCGGGCGGTCGGTTCGTAGGCGGCCGCGCTCGGCTCGAGACGCGACGAGACGAGATAACGACCTTTTTCCTCTTCTACCCCGTGTTGCTCTAGTTTATCGCAACGCGCCAACCCCGCGGTACCGGCGAGCTCCGGATGCCCACCCGGTCGGTGCGTGCGAGGAGCGGATAGGTTGGTCGATAACCCCCCCCCCAACTCTCCCCTTTCCCGGCAGCGGGCCCCCGCTGCACGATGATGGCAGGGAGAGAGAGAAAGGCGGAGAGGAAGAGACGGAGGGAGGTATATCCAGCACGGATGTCTGCTGCTGCTGCCGTTACGAGTTGCTTTTGAACCTTTGCAATAATACATACTGTTGACTGCGTGCGTGCGTGCGCGCCCACGATGCCGCTGCGTAACTAACCCACCCTCGTCACCCCGAGAGAAACCCCTTTCCATCCCTCTTCCTTCCCTAGGACTGCCCGTCTTCCTTCTCCCCCTTATTCTCACTCTCTAGGTTGTCTACCCAGCGGCACGGGGCGAGGCGACCTATTCTTCATCTCTACCCAGTCCGTCTACCCTTGTAATCAAAGCCATCACACCAAGACTGAAAGGGGGGGGGGCGGGGGACCTCACAATCCCAGTCGACGCGGATCGCGCCCCCTTACCTAGGCCTCCCAACAACGCTTGGGTTCACCGGAAGCACGTAGATGATGCGAGTCAGCACAGCACAAAAAAAGCAATGGGAAATTCAGCCCCGGATATTAGGATCCCAGCCGTGAAAGTGTGTATATGTATTGGCTGGTACTTGACTGATCCGACTCTCGAAATCGCCAGGTTTCGACGTCCGACTTCAACCTCCGACCTTAAAACTTCTGATGATGTGCGCGCACGCGACATGAACAAACCTACCTACCTAGCCACCATACCAGTAAATCGCCTTCATCCACTATGCAAAGCAAGACAACAAGTACCACGTTGCCTCGTAGTTTGCTAGCCGCCACCCCACCTGTACGTAGATGAAAATCACCCTACAAACGCCAACCGGCACGATGTCACAGCACGTACATGGGCCCCCTTCCACTTTCCTCTGTCTCGCCTTTTTTTCTTAAAACTTTTCCCTCTTCGGTTCCCACTCCTTCACCAGTCGATGGGGTCCTTCAGCGGCTGGCCACGGTTTGTCGTGGGGACGGGTACCGCCTTCGCGGCAAGCTTGCCGCCCTGACCCTTACGCCTGAGGTAGGCCGTACCATCGACCCAAGGGGTATTCGCTGAGACGCGCCGCTCGTACTCGACAATTTTATCCTCGAGCTGCAGCGTGAGCCCGATGTCGTCGAGGCCGTTGACGAGGCAATGTTTACGGAACTCCTCGACCTCGAACTGGCAGATCTCAACGCCGTCCGCATCACGGATTACCTGGTTCGGCAGGTCCACCTCGATCTCCCGCCCTGCCCCCGCCTCTGTCGCGATCCGCTCGAGCTCGGTCGCGTTCCTGATCGCGATGGGTAGCATGCCGTTCTTGAACGTATTGTTGAAGAAGATGTCGGCGAAAGATGGCGCGATGACGCACCGGATACCAAAGTCGTTGAGCGCCCAGGGGGCGTGCTCGCGGGAGCTTCCGCAGCCGAAGTTGGCCCCCGTGCAGACCAAGATCTTGGCCTTCGTCCACGGTTCCTGATTGAGGATGAAGTCGGGGTTCGGCGACCCGTCTTCCTTGGTTCTCCAGTCATGGAAGAGAGCGGTTCCGAGGCCTGTGCGTTTGATGGTCTTGAGGAACTGCTTGGGAATGATGGCATCGGTATCGACGTTGGGTCGATCCAAGCGGGCGGCGATGCCCCTGTGGACAAGGAATTTCGGCAGACCTTGAGATCCAGTTGCCTCCGCGACAAGCGTGTTGACCTGAGGCGAGGAATCCTCGGGCTGGTCCCCGAGTCTTTCTCTAGCGGTATCGTCATCCTCGATGGCCTCATCGGCATGCGCCTTGCCCGGCGTCGAGGTATTGAGTTTGTAAGCTTCGATGTGTGGGCTAGCCTTGTACTCTGTCAATTTCCGGACGTCGGAAAGCTTGCCAGTAATGGCTGCCGCCGCGGCCATGACCGGGGACATGAGGTGGGTTCTGCTCTGGGCCCCTTGTCTGCCCTCGAAGTTTCGGTTGCTCGTGCTCGCGCATCGCTCCTTTGGGGCCAAGATATCGGGGTTCATGCCCAGGCACATGCTGCATCCAGCCTCCCTCCATTCAAACCCGGCGTCTAGGAAGATCTTGTCGAGACCCTCGGCCTCGGCTTGGCCCTTCACTATCCCGGAGCCGGGAACAATCATGGCACGCTTGACGTTGTCAGCCTTTTTCTTGCCCTTGACGACCTGCGCGGCGGCCCGAAGGTCTTCGATTCGCGAGTTCGTGCAGGAACCGATGAAGACCTTGTCGACGGGGATATCTTGCATCGGGGTACCAGGGGTGAGGCCCATGTACTCCAGCATCCTGCGGCCAGCTGCCTTCTTTGACTCGCTCTTGAACGTCTCGGGGTCGGGAACGCTTCCAGTAATCGGCACGACATCCTCGGGGCTTGTGCCCCAGGTCACGGTGGGGACGATGTCCTTGGCATCGATCTGAACGTCGATGTCATACTTGGCGCCGGGGTCAGAGTGAAGGCTACGCCAGTACTTGATCGCGCGCTCCCAGCCCGGCGTTCCGTAGACCGGCGCTAACGGCTTCCCCTTGAGGTATTCGAAGGTAATGTCGTCAGGCGCAACCATGCCAGCTCGAGCACCAGCCTCGATAGCCATGTTGCAGATAGACATGCGGGCTTCCATGCTCAGGCTACGAATGACGGAGCCACAGAACTCGATGACGGAGCCGGTGCCGCCGGCGGTCCCGATCAAACCGATGGCGTAGAGCACGACATCTTTGGAGCTCACACCGGGGGCGAGCTCGCCATTGACCTGTATCCTCATGTTCTTGCTCCTCTTTGTGATGAGGCACTGGGTAGCCAAGACGTGCTCGACCTCGCTGGTGCCGATGCCCATGGCAAAGCAACCGAACGCGCCATGCGTAGAAGTGTGGCTGTCGCCGCAGACGAGGGTGGTGCCCGGGAGGGTGAAGCCCTGCTCAGGGCCGATGACGTGGACGATGCCCTGGCGCTTATCGCCCAGGCCGAAGTAGGTGATGTCGAAGTCCTTGACGTTTTCCTCGAGGGTCGTACATTGTAGGCGCGAGTCGTCCTCCTTGATGAAGGTGGCAATATCCTTGATACCTTTTCGCGAGGTGGTGGGGACGTTCTGGCAACGGGGGTCAGCATTCGCAAATCGGCGATCCGAGCGAGACCTGGAGGAGACAAGGTTTGACGTACGTGGTCTGTGGTAGCGAGGGTGCAGTCTGGCCTTCGCACCTTGCGCTTGGCATTCTTCAAGCCCTCGAAGGCTTGCTGTGGCTCAGGTCAGTTCTCAAAAGGTCCAGCGCATATGCAGGGCTTGCTTATTCGCAGTGTCACATACAGGCGACGTGACTTCGTGGACGAGGTGTCTGTCTGTAGCGTGCGGGGTGACGTAGTTAGCATAGGGGCGACCGTGTACGCGAGACCTCTCTCATCCCTCGTCCGCCCCCAATTGGCCTCGCTTACCGATATATAACAGCACCGTGCCATCGAGCTTCTCATCTACGACATGGGCAGCTAGGATCTTGTCGTACAAGGTCTGCGGAACACCTTCGGCAACGGGCATATTGGAGACGGAGTTCTTCTTCTTCTGTCTCGCGACCTCTCAAGAATGCCGACGGCTGTGCCCCGGAGCTGCAGGCTGGCACGCAACGATCTCGACCCGACGAGATGCGGTAAATATCACGACGAGAGCTCTTTTTTTTTTCTCGACGGCGAGGCGCAGGTGTGGGATAAGGCAGGGGGGGTGTATCAGTAGGCAGGCAGTTCGGTGGGCGAGAATGGCTTTAAGTGCGGGGAGAGGCTAAATATGTAGGTATCGGACAGCAGCAAGCTGAGGCCGAGACGGGTCCGGCTTTGAGGCGAGCCAGCAACGAAGCCGGGTAGTATTCGGGGGAGTAGGGAGGGTGGGAGGAGGGGAGGCGGACGAGGGTGAAGAGGTTGGACAGGCAAAAAAAGCCCTAGGCAGGTCGGTATATCTAGTTTCTATAGGTACGTGCTTGGCCTCGCCTGCTGCTCCTCCTCTCTCTTCGTAACGCTCGCGTTCTTCCGCCCTTTCCTCTTTCCTTTTTTTTCTCTCTTTTTTTCTTGCCTTTCGTCTTGCCTCTTTCCTTCTTTCGCTCGCTCTCGCTCTGGCTACCGCCGAAGATCGGACAATGCGTGCCTGGTCTCCGGTAGCGGGGATGCGTGCGAAGGGGCCTCGATTTGAATCTTGCCACGCCTGATTGGCCCCAGACTACCGACCCCCCCCTTCTGCCCCCCGTCACGCCTACATTAGTACCGCTACATGCCTGCGCACACCGCACTTGTTGGTGCTAGGTAGGCACTACATTGCATTAGGCGCCCAGCTGCCCGCGGGCACCACTGGGCCCGGCGGTACTCTGTACGGGCGCGGGCGCCCAGGCTACTTGTGTACGAGGTAGCATACCACGGCCGCAAGCAACGGCAGACCCCAGGCCTACCCCACGTGAGGGGCATCGGGTGCGAGTCAACCGCATCAAAACGCTGACGATTGCATCCAGACCGTCCATCCAGACCGTCCGATCAGGGAGAGAGAGAGGGCTTTCCTGGCTACTCTGCAGCAGAGCGGCATTTGCTTCCCTCTTCTCGGTAATGACCCGCCGACGCACCCGTTCAGGCAGGAAGGTAAGACTATTCCAAGGCAACTGCGGTAAAGGCCGCTTGTACGTTACGTGCAACATGTACTCGAGGTACCTATTGTAGGAGGTATCATTACATCGTACAGGTCTAACTTCTGCGGCGAGCTCAAAGGCTTTTATACTCCTTATCTGCCAGGTGCCTAGGAGGCCGGTAGGTAGGTATGCATGTGCGTCACTTTCTCTCTCGATGTCTCTACCTTATAGGAGGTAGGTAGGTAGGTACCTAGGTACCTCTTTACCCCTCTAGGAGGTACCTACCTCCTACCTCTCTAAGGTCCCAGAAGTAACGTCGGTGTACCAATGTACCGCCTCCGCCACCAGAAAAACAGCAACGCGCGCCCAGGATGATGTCACTAGAGCAGCACCGCTCTGGGTCGTGCTCGGCGACCGCAGCCACCCCGCTAGGCCTGGCTCGGCTAGACGTGCCCGGACGTCCTCTTCGTACGGGTATAAGCCAGCACGTTCCAGCCAGCCAGACCGACGGGAGCTCCATGTCAGCAGCATCTCTCCACCCGCCATACGTGTGTATCTGCGGATGGGCCTTTGTGGGCGGCCGCTTGGTGCCCATCCGCCGGCCGGACCCTAACCGTGCAATCCAGCAGCATCCCCGCCGATCCCACAATGTCGTGTCGCTGAGCGGCGCCTCTCGTACGCAAACGAGGGGGGGCAGACGCCCCGGCGGACGGGTAGGTTATGTACCTAGTAGCATCTGGCTCTCGGGTACTGTAGGCGAGCTCGGCCATTTCGTGCCCCCGATATGAGAGTGAGCGAGATCGGCAATGGGGACCGAGTGCGACCTGTTGCTACTACGACGGGTACCGGTGCGTCTTCTCTGCGTGGCCGGGCTGGGAGAGGTAGGCATCTCAAGCAGCTCAGGCATCTCAGGCACCTTAGGTTCTAAGTTATACTATCGAGGTTCTGGTCCCCAACGCATGCGTGGGAATACGTGACGTGCTTCTTGTGAACGGGCACGTGTACATATAAGTTGCCAGAGCGGGAGTCTTGATGCCATCTGGGTAACAGAAATACCTTGCGGTGCGACCCGCATCATGGCTCGAGCGCTCTCTGCCGTCGTTTCTTTCCCCCATGGTGGATGGCAGATCGGTACCTTACCCCCCTCCGATTCCGCTTTCCCGTCTTGGCCCAATTCCTTTTTTTTTCCTTCCCCTTTTTCCCTTCTCGCCTCCGTTACTCGCCATCGGCGTTTGTCGGAGCTCTCGGAGCTCAGCTCTAAGCCCTCCTTTTTGCAACACTCACCTCTGCCCCTCCTCGACGAGGCCGTAGTGATAATTCCTATTTTCGGATCCCGACGCCGCCCACTCTCCTCCCTCCTATCCTTGCACATCAACCTCTCTACCGAAATCGTTCACAAGAATACCAGGCCGCAAACATATAAGGTGGCCGGTACGTAGGGAAGAGCGTAGGTAATACGAGGCAGTATTAGCTCGGTCCTCATCTTTCCCTCCCTACCGTACGCATAGTAAGTAGGCAAGTTATAGTAGGTGGCGGGGTTGTAGGTAGCAGTACGGTAAACGTAGGTATACCCGATTTCGCATGCGTCGCTTGCACTCGCGCTACTCCGCGTCTGTCCACCGAAGCGTTTGCGTCGCGCACCAGTAGCACGCCGCGCCGGCGACGTAGAACGCGCCCACCGATGCGAAGACGCCCACGTCCTTCCACGTGGTCTGCTTTGTCTGTCTCCGTCGTTGGAGCGAGCTCTGGCGGTCGAACGCCGGCCGCGCCACCATCCACCACGTACACGCTAGGCCCACCAACATGACCGAGATCTTACAGAACTCCGTCACCGCTGCCGCCGCCATCGGCGTCCCGATGTCCCCTCTGATGCTGCCGTGCCGCTGCGCTCGAGTCGCGCGCGGGCCGACGTGCTCGAGCTCGGGATATGCCCTGGTGCTTGCCTCGTCTTCATCGAGACACTTTCTCGTAAGATGTCTACGCCGGGATGGCTCGTTATCTGGCTCAACGTCTTTGTCGCAGGCCGCCTGCTCACCTGGATGGCGGGTCTGGTTGTTGGACCAGCTCGCTTCGTGGCTGGTTGGCTTGTCTTCGGCCGTCTCTTCCGTCCTCGAACGTAGCGCGGCCACATGTGCTTCCGCTTCTACCGTGCTCATCCTTCGATTCTGACGCGACAGGCACTGCCGTGCTTTCCGGGGAGATGTTTCCCGCGCTGGAGAAGGATCTGGGCTGTGAATTTTCCGGACTATCTTCCGGACCCGTGTCTCTAGGTGGCTTATCCTCTTGGGTACCAGGCATTGGGGAATCTCGATCATGATGCCCTCTGCTTTCCCAGCCGTTCTTGCCTTCTCCTCGACGCTCTCTTGGATGAGACGACGTAGCAGTGGGGTCGTGGGCGCGGGCGTGGAGCTTCGGGTCGGCTGCTCCCTCATCGTCGTAGGGCGAGGTGATGTAGTAGCGATTTCGACTGGTTCCCAGTCCGGCGCGGGATTCGGCGAGCCGCTCCGCGGTGTGTTGAGAGGGGAGCACATCATGCGCTCCACTGACGTCTGGGCCGACGCGGCGCAACGCTCGTCCCTGTATAGGGATGTCGGAGACGTTGTAGCTTCGGCTTGCCTCAAGAGGCCCGACTGGTTCTGCGTATCTAGAGCGGATCCAGCAGTGATGGTGATGCGTGTGGACGCAGATCCGTTCCGGCCTAGCCCGGTGTACTCTCCTGAGGCGACGTGTTGATGGTGTGTTTGTCGGTCCTGTCCCGTATGTACGACCCCCGATATCGGCTCTGGTACTGCGGGATGTTTTTCGGGCGATCGCCGGGACTGTGATTGCGAGATTCGGCGGTCTTCAAATAGGGGATATGCGGTCCCTGTCTCTCGGGGTTGGACGGGACCCAAGTGATTTGAGACTCTCCTTCGCCGGCTGAAGGGATGTCTCATGGTCTCTTTGAGCCTTGAGGGGGATGTGATCGTTGTAGCTTCGCTTATCCCTTGGTCAATTTTTCCGTCTTCCGCGGGGACTGGCTCTGCCGCTGAGGACGGCGCTGCCCTGCTCTTGCTTATCATCACTGACGAATTCGGGCTCGCCGTTGTCGGCGGCGACTCGTCCGAAAGAGTGGGCCGGTCGCCGGTCACGTCTGTCGGCTCCGGGGTTAGGAGGTGGAGGTGACAATCCGGGATTTCTATATCTGGGAAGTGATCTATCTGTGCGTGCTTTATCGAACCGGATTTCGGGATCCCGTCTGTTATATATTTCCCGGGTTCTATTATCGGTCTCGCAACCGGGGTTCCCGAGTTGGCTGCCCGGTTGCACTCCCATAAAAAATGCTTCCCACCCTTAGTTCGTCGTGAGTCTACCCAAGAGGTATCTACCGACGGGTCGGCTGGCTGCTCCTAGGAGAGACAGATGTCTAGGTTGAGACTTTGGTAGCGAGCTGTGGGTAATCGTATCGGTCGATTGATCTCGATAATGCCGATGCCTCCGGGGTTGCTTGGTCTCGGAACTTTGCCGCCCGGACTGGCCCAGTAGGTGGTAACCCTTTCCCGAAGCCGGTGGACAATTGAGACGGGAGGAATTAGGGACCGGCTCTGTGGCGATGTTGGTATCTAATGGCAAAATACCTGTCAGCGGTCACCTGGAAAGATGGCCAATAGCCGGCTGCAGAGAGTGCTCACCACTTTTGATCGCCGCGCTGTCCGGAGACTGAGCAATGGGACTCGGATTGTACTCGACGGCGGATGACCATCGCCATTCATGTTCACACCATTTTTCCAAATGGCGTTCCCGCCTAAGATCTACTTTCACTTGTTTAATTTTTTTGAGCTTAGGCTTGCTTTTCTCTAACTTGGCCTCATCCTTTTCTTGTTCCTCTAGCAGTTGGGCCTGCTCGTACTAGAGCCTTGCAGCTTTCTTTTGTGACAAGTTGGCTAATCTCGGGAGTATCTTATTGAAGAAACTAGCAAGAGAAGTCGCCCACTTCTGGCGGGGCGACGGCTCCGCATGAGCTGAATTCTTTCTGGGGCTCATCCTCGTCGGCCTGCGCTGCCGAATCGGCGGCGGCGGTGGTAGTAGTGGTGGTTGGCCCAAAAGGGGGAGGCATCCAACCCAATCCGAACTTATACGGCCCGGCTGCAATGACGACGGGGGTGGCGATAAAGGCTGCTCGTGTCGTCCTGAAGATAATATCACTCTGTCGATCTCACCACCGGCTCCCTCATCCCCGGGTGCGGGCGAGAGCAGTATACGGCGGCTACACATCTTATTGGAAGGGGGGGATGGTGGGAATGGGGGGAAATCGAGCTGAGGTGGGAATTGATCTTTCCCGCCCGCTCAAGACCGGGAAAAACGGCAGTGGCGGCGGTAGCGGAAGTGGTGATACGAAGGACGCTACTCGCGCGGTGCGTGGTCAGTCTCGATCGCGAGCCGACAACTGGGTAGGTGGGTAAACAGGACAGGCAGGGCGAACCGAAGTTGGAAGCGAGAGGACCCAGATGCTTTCAAGGTCGGGTTGGATACGGCCGGCTTAGAAGAAAGCAAGTTGATGAAAGCTCACCGGAACGTGAGGAGAGGGACGCATTTAGGCTCTGGCCTGCGACCGCGTACCTAAATGAAGGTTAAACCCAGGGGCCGCACGGTTTCTCCCCATAAGATAAGCACCTAGAGTGAGGCAGGTGGTAAACATTGTAGGTATCCATCACAATACAGCGTCGCTTACAGCGAACTGGAATAAAACATCGCAACCCGGAAGGGTAAGGATGGGATGACTATGTGCGGATAAAGGGGGGCCCGCAGGATGGGCACGTCCTGACAGCTTCTCTTCCTTGACGCAGCAAGCGCCGCCTGCTACTCAGCAGGTATTACCTAGCTCTGTCATCTTCTACAGATGCAGCTCCTATTCATACATACAAACGCCGACGAATGCATGCAAAAAAAAAAAAGAGAGAAAATGAACAGGAAACGGGGAAGAAAGCATAGTTTGGTACGGATGGATGTCGTATGGAAGAAGCAATCCAGCTTGTCCGCTCCGCGCCCTCGCCCCGGTTTCCCCCTCCCGATGCCCCGACATACGCAACATGCATTTTTCCTATCATATCTATGCCACAATCCCATGAGCCATCGCGGTCGAGGTGTCTACCCCTATCGCCACATCGAAGGATATCTTTCGAATTGCGAGGGCACAGGCTGGGGCCTTCCCCACAGATTATTCGCCGACGCCTGGGACTGCAGGGTCCCCGCGCTTCTCCTAGCGCCCTTAGAAGGGCTCGCGCTGCGGTCCCTTGCCGACCGATACTGCTCGAGCTGCGCCATCTCGCTGTTGTTCCGCGGCGATCTGAACTGAAGCTCGCCGAGGCTAGGCGCCTTTTTCAGGGGTGACTTCGGGTGTGTGAACACACCCATGTAGCCGCCGTCGCCGCTACCCTGGTTGCCAATGGCCGCGGTAGAGATCGAATTGGAGAAATTAACAGACGATGTAGATGTAGTGGCCCCGACTCGGGACGAGTTAGGGTTAAATTGCGATGGACGTCCCGGAGTATGTCTCCGCTGCGACTGAGAGGCTAGCGACGATCGGTCTCTAAGGTCGCCGCTAAAGGCATCCGCATGCCTGGTGGACACCGGGGGGGTGAAGAGACCGGAACTGCCGCTCCCGGAGTTTCCGATCCCCGACGAGCCGGTGCCGTCAGGATCGATATGTTTGATGTAGTTTGGGTTCGGTCGCGTTTGGAAACCTCGACGAAGTTGGACCGTGGGAGTGCCGACCTCAACAAACTCCAGAACGGTATTCTCGCTATCGGCTGGCGATAGCTGCGTTGCCGCATCCCTGACAGTAGGGTATAGACGGGGATGGACAAATTTGGAGTCGTATTCGCGCATCACCTGTTTCTGGATAATGGACGTGTCCTTGTTCTGCTGCGCGAATCTGGACTGGAAGTATAGAAGCTGTCCCGACAGGATGAGCTGGAGGACGATGCAGTTGAAGACAGTGACGCTTGGTCGCATGTCCAGAGGGGCCAGGGGAAGGAATATGGTATAGACGAGGACGTGGCCAGGGCTGAACAAGCAAAATATGCGCAGAGATATCGGCAGCGGATCCCAGACTGAGATTTCCCACACGTCTCGACTCGGGTCAGGATGCGCCCTCGACTCCGCGCTGTCGCCGTTCACCAGGTCCGTTAGGTATCGCATGGGCGACGACGAGACGGGCGAAGATTGCACGCGGACGCGATGCGCCGAAGGGGTCTGGGGTTCCTTTTCGACGTTCGCCTCAAACAGCCGGTAGTTACGGGACCGGTACATGGTGTAGATCGCGTTGACGGTCGAGAAGCCGATGAGGAACCACACGAGGGTGCCAACCTATACACAATATCCACGCGTGGACCATTAGTCTCTGGAAAGACGGCGCCCAAGACGGCATTAGAAAACGAGCGACGGCGAAGCTTACGAGGAAACTAAACCACCCCGAGACAGCACCGTCATCAAAGACGGGGTCGGCGACGCGTGAGCCACCGCTGTTGGCCATAGCGAGCAGAAAAACGAAGTTCATGGCCAGGCCGAGCTGGGTACCGACTAGGTTGGAGTCCCAGTCGTGCGTCTCGATCTCCTCGGATAGCCATAGCAGGAAGTCCATGGGGTTGAGCAGGGACTTGACGCGCTCTAGAAGCGGTCTCCTACGGACCAGTCGCGGCGCCATCTTTATTTTTGTTTCTCCCCCTCCCGGGTAGAAGCAGGCGGGCGAGATACACTACTGCTCCTGACTACCTATGTACTGTTGGTCGTCGTCGCTGATGCTTTCAGGCGAATCGTTCGCTCGCTCGCCGCCTTAGTGGGCGGTAGGTGAGGTCGATGCCGTATCGCGACTCTCTTTTACATATGTGAGCAATGGAGCGAAGCGAAGCGTGTGTGGTTGTTACACGCAGTCGGAGCCTCTCGCATGGGCGCGAAAAGGCGTCGCGTTGATCGTCGGCGTTGGCTGGTTAGCCTGCGTGGCTGAGATCGGGTTTCCGCGACTTGGGGGTTTTATGGCTTTGTTGACTTTGTAGAAAGATGTAGAGCAACGTCCCGTATAGACGACGAGATTAGGAGGTAGACAACGGAGAGAGAAAACATACACAGGGTCATTGGTTGGTACAAGTTTGCGACCCACATGGAGCCCAGAAGTACCTACATGGTCAGCCTACGCCGTGCCTAACGCGGGTGCACACCAGTACGGGAGGTACCTAGGTTAGGTACCTTTAGGTATATGCCCAGTGCCCATCGACCCCCAATGGCGGGGTTGCCTTAGGTACTTACCTACATAGGTACTTACCTACACGTACCACCTAATATACGGTTACAGGTAACAGACAGTTGGGCATGTGTGACTTCGCTGTAGATAGGCGGTCTAGACCTTCCAGCTCCTCTCGTCCAATTCATCTGCCCATCCTCATATAGCCTGTCAGCACCGCCGCCGCCCCGTACACGTATTACACGGCATGGCGTTCGGCTTACCTAGCTGGCCTCATCAACTACACCCCCTAACCCATCTGGCTGGTCCCACGTCCGGGCTGCTTCCAATTCCGATCGATAAACTCACAGGGACGACACTCACTACGCGCGGTTAGCCACAGCAGCAGAACTTGCCATGGCGTCTCAGGCAGACTACAAGGACAGGCAATTCCTCGCTGTCATCGGGGACGAGGTGCGTACACGCCGCGCGATACATATACCCGCAGCTTTGGCTGGCTGATTGGCTACCTACCTGCCTGCCTGCCTACCTATATACCCGCCCGAAACGGCCCTTCCACCGCCGTCGGCGTATATTGACTGGGACATCGAGCGTGACTAGGATTCGGTAACGGGATTGCTACTGGCTGGTATCGGCGTACGTTAAGCTCGCCCTCTGTTTCTATCTACGAACCTAAGACTTAGTTGCCTGTCTACTTTCGACGAGAACCAACCGACAAATTGTCAACTCTCTCCTGCTGATTGCTGACTTCACTCACCGCACGAGTCTTAGCACGTTACGAATCCGCCCGACTCGCAAAAGAACTTCCTAGTCGTCGACGGCAAGACAGAGACCGCTGCTATCGAGGCCGCCTTCGACTCCTTCACCACCCAGCGCAAGGACATTGGCATCGTCCTCATCAACCAGCATGTTGGTCCCCCCTCCGTCTCATACATATAACCCAGAGGAAGAACACGAGGGACAAGACACCACCCTCACTCTCATATTTTTCACTAATCAAGTGTACCGTCCTTTCGCCTCGCCTCCGCAGGTCGCCGACAAGATCCGATATCGAATCGATACGTACACGGCCGCCTTTCCCGCCATCCTCGAGATCCCTAGCAAGGAGCATCCATACGACCCCGAGAAAGACAGCGTCTTGAGGAGGGTCCGGCGTCTATTTGGGGAGTAAATATCATTGCACGACGAGCTCGGGCGGGCTGTACACGCATACCATAAATATGGGGACTGCGAAAGCTACTCGCGGCTTGCATACGGGCAGAAGTCAGGAACCAGAAACTCCTATTCAGGCCAGGGGGCTTAAAATTCGACAAGCTGAAGGAGATCTAAGCGGGATATGTGCATCAGTTGTATGTGTGCGCGACGAGCACTACGTACACGCCTTGGGCGCCGCCTCCATTATTCGGTACCGATAAGATTAGGAAACAGCACAAGTTAACGGTGGCTAAATCAAACTGGGATGCTCCCCGATCCATACAAACGCAGACTTAGAAGAGCACAGAGAGAGGCCCCAAAAAAAAAGAGACGCCCATACGTTCCGTCAAAGGAGTACCATACAATCGTGCTCATCGTCAATCCAGCCCTCTCGTTCCGGTCTTGCTCTCTCAGGTGATGATGTGACGACAGTATAGTTGAGGTAGTGGTAAGAGGTGGTGGTATGTCCTAATCGTAAGCAATCTACAAATCGCCGGGCGAGCTGCCACCGAACTTCACCGATGCCTGGAGGCAGGTGATGGGCTTCTTATCGGCGTTGATAACCTCGGCGTAGACGTTGTAGGTTCCCTAAATCACTCGTCAATAACCATCACGAACCGAACTAAACGTAACACCACGCGCGATACGGTGCAGCTATAGTACTTTGCTAGGAGGTGGACGATCGCGTACCGGAGGGACTTCCTTGGGTATGTCGACGGTCTTGGTGATGGTCAGGACACCCTTCTCGATGGGGCACTCGAGGTCGACGTTCTGTATTTGCTCGCAGAGATCGGCCCGGGTGCTGACGAGTCGGATCAGGCCGAACTTGACGACGAGATTAACGTAAGCGCCCTGGGTGACGGGTTCGTACACGGTGCCGGTGGCGTGGATAACTAGCTGCGAGCCCCTATATGCATGCATCGTGCGTTAGTTGCGTCATTGTCAATTGGTCTCTTGTCCATCTCCTTCTTCGTCCGTCGCGACTCCGCATATGCTTATTCGGGTAGATGAGGTGATGGGTGGAGGGAAGATGGGGGTATTTCCCCATGATGAAACGCAGAGCGGGACAGACAAGGCAGTGATCACGGAGACGAGCAAGTAGATCGGTAAGTAAATTAACGTACGGCTGGGGGGGATTCGGCTGGAGGTCGACGCTCTCAATCCTGACGACGTCTTTGCTGTGATCGGAGTCGCAGAACTCGAGGGGCGAGTCGCCGGGGACCTTCTGGGCGTCGTCTGTAATAACCTCTTGGAGGCCGCCGAACCAACTTCCCGCGGAGACGAGGCTAGCGGACATAGCCGCGACGCAGGCAGTCGAGAACCTCATGGCGAATTACGCAGGAGAGGGCAACGCTCTCCGGTCTTTGAAGCAGATGAAATATTTGAGTTGTTATCGAGGAAGATGGCTCTACAAGTAGCTAGCAAGAATTGATACGGGGGGTGAAGTTGCTGAGTCTGTCCAACCCGACAACAGACGGAGGATAATGGGGGAGGTCGGCGGTGGAGCGATAGGCCAAGGGTAATATGAGTAGTAAGGTAGTTTTACTTGACCTACATGGGGAAAGTGAAAACGCTCTGTACTACTGCCGATACGACTGCACACGAGGTACATATCTACAGTGCAGGTACCTAAGGTGGGGAATGAGGTTACTAAGGCGGGAGGTACCTCCTAATTGGAATACAAGGTGTGCATGGCCGTGTACAGCGAAGGTACAATGGGTAGAGTGCCTGGGAGGCTATGGACCTAGGTAGGATGTAAGTAGTGGCATCGAAGGGTGACAGATGTAGACTGATAATGTAAATGTAGGTAAAGGTCGGGGGGTGGTGGGACGTCATGGGACACCTGTGCGCTGCCTTGATTGGCCGGTATGACGCCAGCCTCGGCCATTCTCACGTTCTCAGCCAGAAGGGGGTCCACGGGTTGCGGGTGATTACATAACCGGCTAGAGGCAGGCAGCCTATTAGAAGTACGAAGGCTCTCACCTTTCACTAGTTACTAGGTACCTGTAGGTACCTATAACCCCCCCCAACCTACCTGGAGGAGGTACCTAAGGGACCTACACGGCGATACCATACCCTATTCAAACATGGCTCACCATCACCACCCTCCTCTCTCTCTCTCTCTCTCTCTCCACGCTTTCGGATCGACTTGTCCCAACAACTCTCCACCCGCGTATCCACACCTGCACACATCCTGTAGGCCAGGAACATCCGGTCGATTACATGAGACACTTCTCAGACAGCGGAAGTCCGTATTCACCCTAGACATCACACGTATTTGGACATCGTTTATTTCATAACTATGGAGAACGGGGTATTAGAGGGACAGCGTGACAGATAAAAAGCTTCAACCTCTTCGTCAGGCATCCGGGTCTACGTAAGAAAGACATCGGTACTCCTGGTCGGCGACACCCAACCTTCGAGTCTCATCCTTCGTCATCTCCCACCACGGCCCTGCATTATCAAGATTGCAAAGAGAAAAAAAAAGGGAGGGAAAAGTCGCGGTCAGCTCGGTCCGAAATTAACACCAGTCGCGGTCGATATCAACTACCGATATTTGCCATTCGCACCCTCAGGTCGAGCACGATGAGGCATCCTAAAAGACCCATACCTCACGCCTGGGTTCCGCTCAGTAGTAAATCTTCTCCTCCCAGACGGGCGGCCGCACCGTCTCTGTATCCCACTCTAGCTTGTTCTTTTCACTCAACGTGCACCCTTCGTCGGTGATCGGGATTACCTTCCCGGTGTCCCGGACCTCCTGCTTTGAGATACCCATAGGGTCCTCGGGGATCCAGAGCAGCGGCGTCCCACTGCTGACAGACGGCGGGAAGTAGGCGTTGCGCTCGACTTCCTCTGTATACATGCTACTCGTGTCCAGACTATCGTGAGGTACCAGCTTCCGCATCGCCTCGTAATCGCAATACTGCCACGGCTTCAGGAACTTGGCGATGAATCCGCCCTTCTTCCGGTCAACAGCAGTTTTACCGGAAGACAGCCTCGTCGCGATGCCGTCCTGGTCGCCGTTCTTGATGATGGGGCTCTCGGCATCCTGAAACTTCGATTCCGCCTCAACCTCGAGAGTCCTAGGCAAGTTGTACAGAAGCGGGTCGAGGGCGTTATTGATGGTCACGTGGAACAGAGCCGTGAAAACGAGGAAAATAATCATAAGAACAAGGGGGCCGATAGCCACGGAAGCGCCGAAGAGCCCGATCATGCACAACTCGGCAATATAAACACCGACAAACAGCTGTTGCAAAGCTCGGGGGTAGATCAACCCGCGGGTGTCAACTTCGGTGTCTGTGACGAAGAAGATATTGTAACGCCACGCGAGATAGAACATCAAGAGACCGATGGTGGCGAAACCCAGCATCAACGGAGAGATAGCGGCATACGTGATACCTAGGACAGTCATTAGTAGGGCATACGGGATTTGCCGGGTCTGTGCAGGGGACTTACTGATCACAGCAATGTTAGTGTAGACCGGCAGCACACTACCCCACGAGATGGCGCTCAGATTTGCCCACTTCGTGTACAGGGAACGCGGAGTGCCCGACAGAAATTTGTACATGAGCGTAAAGATAACGAAGCCAGAGACCTGGGCGAGTACGCCCGAGGCAACACCGAGACCCTGCACAATGAAGTACGAGATGTAGAAATTGGACGACTTGGGAAGATTCTCAGCCAGGACGGAGGTGGCCGACGCGGGGTCCTGGGCGATCTGCGCTCCGACGGACGATGCAGACGAGGTCACCGTCGTCACTAAGAAGACCTGGATAACTTGAAAAGCAAAGTAGGCGTTCTGGGTGAACAACTCGACTCGCGACAGGGAAGGTTCTCCGGAGAGTTTGGCACATACTAGATTATGATGATCAGTTGAGTTTCGGCTTGAAGAAAGCGAGGGTTCTCTAAGAGTCAAAGACTTACGCCTCATGATAATAGGGACGAGGGACATGAGGAAAGCGAGAGCGACGGAGGGTAGCAGGCCAGATATGAAGCCGAGAATGATCTCGGGAATCGACAGAAGCCAGTTGAGGAAGAAAACTTGCGTCGCAAGGTAGGTAACGTTGGAAATCACACCGACAACAGCGACGGGAATTGCCCAGAAGATGACGAGAGCAGAAATGAAACCTAGGACTGCGAACCTGCGGACAACCCTCTGCCACCACGAGATCTTTAGCGCGCTCCAAACAACCTCGCCGGGGGTGACCCCGATATACTTGGAGGACATGCGTAGAGCCTGGTGGTGGGCCAAGACTTGATATGCCGACTCGGCCTCGGCCTGGTGGTAGAATTCGACGAAGACGCTGGAGCCTTTCTTGTAGTGCCCGCTGCGGTATTGGTTTTGGGCGGCATCGACGGCAGGGATGATTCGCCCCAATTCCGTTCGGCACCAGTTGATAGTGTCAACCTTCCTACCCACGAGACCAAGAAGCCCAAGTCGGTGGGTTGGCCGCTTCTTCTGGGGGACCCAGCGAGCGGCCAAACTACCCGATTCCGCGTCCGCGGGCGCCTCCGTTCTCTCGGCCGCGCCGCCCCCCTTCTTGGCCAGTTTGATGCGCTCGGCGTTAGCAAGCTTCAGGAGCTTGACCTCGGCCTTTTCCAACCTCATAGCAACCTTGTCGCGTTCCTTAACCAGCTTGTCGAGTTCCTCTGTGTCTCCGGTGATCCAGACGTGCTTCGCGGAGTCACCGAAAATCTTACGCAACCGAGCCTCGTCAAGATATTCTTCGGGGACGGAAATGAAGAGCACGGTTCGAGAGGAGATGCGGTTGGCGTAATAAGGCGAGAGCAGGAACGCCTGGCGCAGATTGATGTAGTAGATGGACTCTCTCAGGATCATGTACATGACGAACCCATAGAAGATCCAGGCCATGAACGTATGGGCATAGTAGCGGTTCGACTGCGTTCTCTGGTCCACGTTGGAATAGGAGAGTATGTCGATCTGCTCCGCGCCGCCACTGCCAGTCGCATTCACGGGGAAAAGCACCGGCCAAAGTATACAACAGCCCACAAAGCAGATGATAACCAGAATGCGCATGAATCGCAGGAAGAGGTACGCATCCAAGGACTGGTGTTGCAGCGGATGGAGATCGGAAATCTTCAAGAACGGGCCGATCCAGTTGAACAGGCCGCCGGGTAGGGCAGGTGAGCGTTCGCTAGCCAGTCAAACCGAGTTAGCAGCAGGCTCTGGCGACTTCGTATGGATTCATCGACTCACCTCTGGCGAAGACTGCCCAGGTACGTCCGCGGAGCATAGTACCGTCTTTGACTCTTCCGCAGAATCAAGAAAATAACAAAGTAGACGGCAGCAACAACAGCGACAGGCCCTAAAGTGAGGTAAAGAGCTACAATCGAACTCCGTCAGCAAGCTCCCACGCAGCAAGACGAGACGAGATTATGCTCTTACTCTGAGCCGAGACCGATGGAGTATCACGCGACGACCCGATATTCGGATCTAGTTCGCTCATCTCGCCGGTTTACGATGTGTGCGCGTCCAACGTCGGCGTCGTCTGGGGTTGGAGGAGGGATCGACGAGGATTGAGAGTATAGCCAGCTAAACAGGGGAACAGGACCCAATTCAGCACCTGGCGAAAAGGGGAGTGGCGTTAAGAGGGCAGAAAATCCCACGAAAGTTTCGGGTGTGATGGTTTCCGTCTATCTACCTATAAGCCACCCATTCAAATAATAACAAAAAAAAAGGAACAAAAAGCGAAGGGAGGAAGGAAACGAAAAGAAAAGCAAATTAGGTACGCACACGTACCAACGCAGGCGATTGGAATGACAGAGAAAACAACTAAACAAGGCCAAAGAGATCGTCAGCGATCGTCGTGCCTTCAGGTCCGACAAGTTTATATCGTGCAATGGCGCTGAGCAGCGGCCGGGGTAAAGCGGGAGCGGTGGGATTGAACACAGAGGAATATAGAGAACCGGTCTTCTCGTGGTGGTTTCCCGATCCCAAGCCTCACCTTTACATGCCCAGATTCCCCCAGGTTGTTTGAGGGTCTCCGGTCTGGCAGGTGGATGGGTAGGGCAGGCTAAAACAGGTATTTGAGGATTTCGGGACCGCCCCCTGGCCACGATCTTCACAGGCTTGTCTGATAGAAGACCCTGCCGGGGTCGGGTGATGGGAGGGGAGAACGCAATGACGGTGATTCGATGTCACCCCTGCGGAGCTGATCCATGCCTGCGTAGAAACCTGCCAATCTCTTCACGGATTTCGACTTACCCCGGTCTCGTTAGGTCTTGTTGCCGTCGTTCTTCTTCGACCACTCCTGCTCTTTGTCCGGCTAGAATCAAGATTTCGATATTTACCGATTACGCGCGCAGGAACTTCCTCGTATAGGAAGCAGCTCGAGCTCGAGAAGAGAGTAACGGTCTCTTCTATTTGTTTAGGAGCAGGGTGGGGGGAACACGCATCGAACAAGGGGCGGGGGGGGGGGGGATAAATAGAAGGTTCATGCAGATACCTCTATATAGGCGAGACTTCGACTTGTGTGTGATATTCCCGCAATTAGCTCTCGGGATGACCAGGCACGTTGCAATGCTCTCGGGCTCGGGCGTGTTGCAGGTGCCTGGGTAGGTAACTCTACAGTCGAGATACAGTCGGAGGACGAAAACAGCAGGGCTACGAAGGAGCTGAGATGTCAAGGATAAGGTTCACCATCCCATCCGTTCTAGCCTCTCGGCTCTTCTTTCGCCATCCCTTCCATTCTTCAATCCATGACATCAGACTATCGGTGGGCTATTTTGAGACTATTACTACTCATGTTACGTGGTAGTCGTGTCTGTACTGGTCACCTATGAGTGGGAGTAGGAGTCGGTAGTATCTACATAGTAGGGCCGGGCAGGGTCCCGCTTTCGCCTAGGGACCTCGCTAGGGCCGCTCGTCAATCCCTGCGCCTTCATTCCATCGAGCAAATGAACAAGTGATCTATGCAGCTCGCAACCGCTCGTCGACCATGCCCATTCTTGGGCCTTATTTTCCCTGTGTCGACCTGCAGAGGCGGCTGAGATCGTCGCGTCGCGAGGACGGACGGGCAGAGGATCTTCGCGAGAATCTCGCGAACGATAAACTTTTTTTTTCTCTTATCTTCTTCTTCCTCTTCTCCCCTCTACCTTCTTATCATACTGCTACCACTACTTACCACCACTGCTGGTACTGTTGTCATGGTTGTTGTTTTCTTGGGGCTGTGACGGACACCCACGAGTATAGTACGTTGACCAGCCCCACCCGCACAGCTGGAGCTCGTGGCTTGATGGCGGCCGGGCTAGTCAGCGTCCGTCATGGACCGGTCCAGTGCTGGCTCTCCAATCCTTATAACCGATCACAGCTACGTCGTCGTGTCAGCGTAACCAACGGCGCTGCCAATTACCGTAACACGAACGGCGGCGTTCGATATTGTGCGTCGTGGCAAGGCACGCATACACCTATCTTCGCTTACACTCCAGTGGTGGGCTAAGAAACCATATCGGGGTATTGGTACAGCAGCTTGGCAGCATGCTCCCAATACTCGACCCATTTCCGTCTGAAGATTCATGAGCCAGCAAAGCGGACGTGTTGTTGTGGGGCTTTACCAGATCTATAGAGCATCCCCGACCCGCTTACAAAGACCGGGATACCACGTAGCTACGCCTTCATATTCATGTGATATCCATATGATCAGCGTCTATGGGTGTCTAGTCTTGCAGGCAACCGCCAAAGAATCAAAGTAAAACAAATAACAACAAAAACGAAAAGATCTTCCGGGCACCACCGCCAACAGTAAGCCGGCTCGACGCACTGCAGCACGATATCTCAGTTGTGTGCGTGGGAGGGCAACCGACCACCCAAGACCGAAAGCAGCAGCGTTAGCCGCTGCGTGAGTAAGGAGGCCGCCCGGTCAAGCGTGTAGCTGGGAAATGTGGCTGCGGTCTTGGACATCGGCCGAGCTTCAGCTTTACTCCCTAGTTCAGCTATCCGCCCGTTCATTCATTCCAGTTCTTTGTGATGCAGAACTTGGCCGGATTCGGCCAGTCGCGCAAAATCCGTCGGCTAGCCGCAAGTCGACACGCCCATTGCTGCTGCTCTGCGATGTATTGGCCATTGCGAAGCGAGGCCGTATCCGTCGTGCAATGCGTTGCCCTCGAAGGAATCGTCCGACCTAGATGGGTGCGTCTCACCGGTTCTCGCATTTTCGCCGGGATTTTGGGGCGGAACCTGTGGGAGTCGGCGGGACACTTCTCATTTCTCATACTTGACCACCTGGTGCTAGAAAATGCTTCCGGGGAGAGGTGTAGATCTACCTTCTCCTGTGCCGCTTTCATTGTTCTGTTGGATTTCCCACTTGCTGTTTTGGTGTTCGGATGGCATTGATGCTCAAGGGATTGTCTCGACGCTTTGATAACATGAAGTGATCTCTTTCTTCCTTTTTAGGCTTCATCAATAGCGATGATCATGGACGTGCTAATCTATCCCTCGCCGCCGCCCGATCTTTACCTTCTTGTCCCTCTCGACGCCTCCCCTTGAGAGATATCTATCCGCCTCACTTGTGCACTTGTAGAAACGTTGCCTTTCTCCTTGCCTCGGGCTACTTGGTAGTGCGCTAAGCAAAGCTGTCGTCACCATGGCCAGCGACGGGATCAAAGACGTCCACGAAAACATGCCCGGCTACATCGAGGCCAACCACTGGGCGATTCCTTACTGCAGTAATCACCATATCGAAAACCCCCAGTTGAATCTCAAGATGCTCCAGCATGTCAACTGTAGCTACCTGTCGACTCCAGGCCGTCCACCGACGTTAGAAGCCCTGAAGCAGCACGCCCAGTCTCTGACCGTGCTGATATCGTCTTTGGCACCGAACGCATTCTCGGCTGAAATCGACAATGAAAATAATGGCGGGAGGGTGCAACAGCAGTTCCAGAGGCATGAAGCCTTCGACTGGCTCAATAACTTGAAGATCCCCTACGACAATATCGATAAGGCGCATCGGCTGCCTCTCAACAGCCTGGCGAACTTGGTGAGACGGAACAACGACGTCGAAGGGGTCGAGTTCCATTGCCCCTTGACGCTGGCTCCCCAACGGGCCGAGCAGAACTCGCATCGGGAGGCTTCTCGTCCGTATAGTACTCATATGAACTTGCTGATGCACGCCAACGACTGCCTCGAGCGGCTCGACCACGAGTACTCGGCCATGGGCGGGATCCTCTCGATTATCCCTAGCGATAGGGAAGACGTGGGCGAGCGTCCGGATCTTGAAGATGCCAAGCGCACGCTGGTCGGCCAGTGGATCTTGGGCACGCAGCACCTCTTCGGGCGCATGCACGAGCTCGAGATCGCGTACGCCAACGCGATCGATCTCCTCGCCACCGAGGCTTACGTGCCGGCGCAAAGTCTCAGCGCCCACGGACCGGACGGGCGATCCGGCAGAGAGATTATATACCCGCAAGACCAATGGATACTAGCCAACGCCGGAAAGGACGTGTTCGACTTTATACACCAGAGGCTTAACATGAAGGAGGCCGTTTTGCAGCAGCAAGACACGGCGTGGGCGAACAAGGGTATGGTGGGAGACCGATTGCGGAACCGGCAGTACGGCGAGGACGAGGACAGCCTCCGAGGTATCGTCCACGTCGACCTCAACACCCGATTCTACCGGATAAAAGGCACACGGCACAGCCCCATCTTCGTCCTCCCAGCGTTCTCGGACCGTCCCGGCACGGAGTACACGAGGGACCTAGAGGACCGGCCGACGGTGGTCACGGTGCCGGCGCCGTCGGTCCCGGACCGGGCGTCTGCTTGGGACGAGAGGAATAAGAAGATGGACGCGGAGTACACGAGGACATCCCTCGAGGTCTCGAGGCTGACGCAGGAGAACGCCAAGCTCAAGGCCGAACTCGAGAAACAAACCGACACGTTGAAGCGTACGCAGCACATCAACGAACTGTACGAAGGAAACACAGACCCGAACGGCAGGAATGCAGTGGGGAGGGCAGTGGAGGCTGAGAGGGCGAGAGACAGTGCTTGGCAGGAGCTGGAGCAAGCTACGGCGGAGAAGGAGAGGCTGCGAAGCGAGCTAGCCGCGCACAAGCAGACGGCGCGGGCGGCCCAGCTCCCCGTCCCGGCCGAGGTCACCCAAGCCAACGGCAACTACACCATGGACGAGGCCACGTATCTCCGATACGAGGGCCGGTCGCTGGCCGTCGACCAGGCGAAGGCGGGTGCGGCGAGGGCCAAGTCCGTGATCGAAGACCTCGCTCGACTAGGCTACTTGAGCTTGGACGACTTTGCATGGATAGAGAACATCGCCAGCAGCCCCTAGCTAAGCATCTCTTCTTCTTATCTTATGAAGGCAGGGGGGTATCCTGCCGTGTACGAGCTAGACGAGCTAGGCTACGCGGGTAGTGAGCCCTAGGAGCGATAAGAGGCAAGGGACGGGAGTTCAGATATTTGAAGGGATGCGTTGGTGACGAAATTCGGGTTTGCTATTTCGAGTCATGGATTTGACGGTGTGGATGTATACCTCGCCGTCGTCTTGTAAGGTGGGAACGACACGGACTTCGTGCCACGTTTCCCTACCCAGGTAAATTGTAGCATGGGGCACGTGAGTAGACAGGGGAAATCTATTTCTATCGAGAACGACGCAAAGCCCGACAAACACACATCTGTGCGAGCCGCCAGTTACAGATGTATGAGTATGCACATACATATATGGGTTACATATATGGGTCTGGTTGATATATCCAACCCGGGTCTTAGGAACGATCAGGAGTCCGTGTCGAAGAGACGAGGCCCACGATGCGGCCAGCATGCTGCGAGTCGCTTATGTAGGTACTCCAGTATTTCCCAGAAATCGATGCAACCTTCATCGGAACCTCCCGGACATAATACGGTGTTGTGGGTGTTGAGCGAGAGGTTACCCTGGCAACGAGCACATCTTCCCCCCAGTTCCCGCCCCTCTCGCACTGCATCGCACGGGGTTCCCCAGAGTGCTGTCCTGTTCCCAGAAAACCGGAAGAAATGATGAAAAAGGAAGAGAAGGAAAAGCTAAGTTTGAGATTATAGAATTGGCTCGGTCCTGGGAGGTATCGGGTCGATACGCGTGTGTAGGTGTTGCTATTATTATTGTTGTTGTTGTTACTACTATTATTATTATTGTGAATAACTGTGGCCACACTATTTCTCCGTGGTCGTATTTTTCGACTCGGACTTCTTCTCCCAGCCACCAGTATCCAACGGGTCAGCACATTGTTTGTATCACAAGATCGGTTTGGCCGCAAAAAGAAAAGAAAAAAAATACCTCCCCTGCTGCGGGTAGTCTTCGACCAAGTTCCGTCCCGATCACTGACCCAAACAACGGGATCCTACGCCGCCCTGTGCTCCCTAACGAAGAAAGACAGGGAAAAAGAATTACGAACGCGCTTTTCTGCCGCGTGAGACAATCTCCACCATTCCATCCATCGTCGAGCCGTGGTCTGGCACTCCCGAATTACGAAACCAACTAGTCACCACGTTTTGACGGCGGATGCCCGAGGTCATGAGCTGAGGCCGGGGCATTCTCGTCGGGTCCGCGCTGCTGCACTCGCAAATTCGCGTCCTTCCAACTTCCCGTTCGTGGGCCTTTTGAGACACAGGAAGGGAGAGACGAAGAGAGAACCAGATGATGCTTCTCTCGCACCGCTGACTTAGCAATGAAGTCTCCCCGCCGGATCGCGTCCTTGCTTGCCGGTCGTATACTAAAGGTATCACAGACGGCCGCGGCTATCCCTTGTCTCGTCTATATTATCGTCTGCGCACGGCTTCTCACAATTGGGGCGGCTCAGACATTGCCGTATACCCCTACTACCATCTTCATTCCTGACTCCAAGCCCAGACCAGCTGGGGAGAATGCGGCTGCTGACGTCGCTTACATTTTTTCGCCGCGGGCCGACCGAGTCGAGCTAGTCGCCCTCAACTTCTCACGCACTCTACAGAGCGCATCGTTGCCGCTGGAGACCCTGTCCTCAAACGTTCCATTTTTAGATACTAGCAGTACGGCCTTCACCCCGTCGCTTGCCGATAATGGGTCGCTTATCGTGTACGCGGGCGACTGCTCTACTCCTACCGGTTCCGGGGTCTGGACCTTCAACCCGTCCCCTGACGACGGCGCATCATTGACATGGACCCAAGCCCGCGCCACACACGTCGCCAGTACCCCCGGCGCCCGGGGAGGCCCGGGCTTCTTGGGGGGCAGCTTGAGCTTCTCGACGACCCTGGAGCCGGCGCTGTCACGGGCCACGACCTACGTCTACGGGGGGATGTGCCCGAACCCACCTTCTTCTGACAGTGCGGCGTCGCCGCAGTCGCAAGCGACGTATTCGAACCAGATGATCAAGATCGAGCCCTCGGAGGCGGAGCCGGACGGCTACGACATCAGCCCCATCGCCAGCCGCGGCCCCCCGGTGCCCGAAGCCGGGTTTACGCTTACCGGCCTGACGCCGTCGATCTCGAACCGCTCCGGGGTCGTCACCCAGCAAGCCAACTACGTGCTCCTCGGCGGCCACACGCAGAACGCCTTCGTCAACATGAGCACCGTCGCCATCTGGAGCCTGCCGGAGGAGAGCTGGGGCTTTATATCTGACGTCCGCACCGCAGGGACGTCGCCGCTGGCCGTGAAGAAGAGTAGTACCATGGCCCGTGCCCAAGACTCGCAACCCATAGATAGCCGGTCGGGCCACACAACCGTGCTCAGCGCCGACGGCAACTCGCTCGTCGTCTTGGGTGGCTGGGTCGGCGACCCCAGCCAGGCCGCCGCGCCGCAGCTCGCCGTCCTCAGCATCGGCGACGACTACGGCGGCGACGGCGACTGGCAGTGGTTCGTCCCCAGCTCGCAGCCTGAGGGGCCGGGCATCTACGGCCACGGCGCCGCGCTGCTCCCCGGCAACGTCATGATGGTCTACGGGGGCTACAGCGTCGCGGCCACCTCCGGCGCTCGAGTGAAGGGACGGCAAGCCGCTAACATTCCCATGTTCCTGAACCTCACCTCCATGAGCTGGTCCAGCGACTACAGGAACCCGGGGTCCACGGAAGGTGATCAAGTCGACGGCGACACTACGACCGCCGTCGGCAGCACACAGCAGCACCTAGGTCTGGGCCTAGGCCTAGGCCTCGGACTCGCGGCCGTCGCGGCCGTCCCGGTGATATTCTTCTGCTACCGGCGGCGGCAGCGGCACCGGCGCACGATACGGGACTCGGCCATCCGCGCGCTCGCGCAGGACACCTCGCAGTTCCTGCCGCACGACGACGGCGACAACGACGCCGCCGGCTACCCGGGCGGGCCCTCCAAGGGGGCGTCCAGCGTCGGCTGGTGGTACATGGGTGGCGGCGACCCGTACGCCCGCGGCGGCCGCTCGCTCGGGTACCAGAGCCTGCGCACGAACATCTACGGGGGGCCGATCCAGGCGAGCCCGCCGATGCAGCAGGCCGGGCGCAGGCCTCTGCTCCGCCGCGGCGGCTACGACCCGCCGTCGCTCTCGCCGGCGTCGCGCGGCGCGGCCGGCGGCTCGGGGGTCATCCACCCCATCATCGAGGCGGACGAGGACGGCGGCGGCGCCGCGGCCAGCGTGCCGGCCCTCGCCGCGAGCGAGCCCAGCCACAGCTCCTCGTCGCCGCCCGACCCGTTCCTCACGCCGACCCAGGAGAGCCCCACGGCGTCCCTCGCGCCGTCGCTGCCGCCGCCCGCCGCGGCTGCCGGCGGCCGCGCGTCGCAGACGCCGAGCCCGGACCGCGACCCGGAGGTGCAGGAGTGGATGTCGGACGTGGACGCCGTGGACGCGCTGCTCAGCGGCGCCGCGGCGCGGCGCGCCAAGGCCACCGGCGTCGACGACGCGCGGACCGACAGCAACGTGTCCGAGTCGAACCGAAACCGCCTCAGCGGCCAGGGCGGCGCCGTCAGCCGCTCGGGCTCCGGGCGGTCGTACGCGCTGCTCTCGTTTTTCGGCGGCGGTAGCGCGCCCGCACCCGCACCCGCACCCGCGGACGACCGCGCCGGCACCAGCTCGAGCACCGCGTCGGTGCCCAGCTACAACACGGCGCGCAGCAGCTTCTCGGCGCTGCAGGCGGAGGGGCCGTCGCTGCTGATGGGGCGCGGGCCGCGGAACCGGGACCGGGACCGGGACGCGCGCCGGGAGCGCGAGGAAGACGGTGGCGGCGACGACGGCAACGACGACGACGACGACGGCTACGACGAGCCGCCCGGCAGCCCGAGCAAGCGGAAGCCGCGGCGCAGCTGGCTCGGCAGCCTGCGGCGGGCGCTCACGGGGGGCAGCAGCAGCGGCGCGGCGGACAACGGGGACGGCGGCGGCGGCGGCAACGACGACGCGGCGCGGCGGGCCGAGGGCGCGCTCGCGGCCGGCGCGAGCGACTACGAGGCGCGGCTGGGCGGGCTGAGCGGGATCGCGGCGGGCGGGCTGCTGCGGCGGAAGAGCGGGCGCGGGGACTGGGAGGCGCCGGAGGCGGCGGGGGCGGGCGCGAGCGGCGGCAGGGCGCGAGGGAAGGGGAAGGCGACGGGCGCGCGCTGGTCCGGCGGCGGCGGCGGCGGCGGGGATTACCGGGCGGTGGCGGGGCGCGAGGCGGAGGGCGCGCCGCGCTACTACGACGACAACAGCCAGCGCCGCGGGGGCGCCGACGAGGAGGAGGAGGAGGAGTGGGACATCGAGCGCGCGGTCGAGACCCGGCTCGTGCAGGTCATGTTCACGGTGCCTAAGGAGCCCCTGCGCGTGGTCAACGCCGAGCCGGACGCCGAGAGCGCGACCGGCATCACGATCGACGAGGACGACGACGGTGAGCGGGCGGCGAGCGCGACGCAGCGCCACGAGGGGCTGCCCCTCCTCGGGCCGCCGCTCGCGGGCCCCGCCTCGGACGCGAGGGAGCTCAGAGAGACCGAAGACGAGGAGGCGGGGGAGGAGGAGCAGCGGCGCCGGCAGCGCGAGAGCGACGGAGAGCTCCGCGCCACGGCGCAGGCCGCGGCCGACTCCACCACCGTGGCCGAGGCCGTGGCCGCCGCGACCGCCGCGCGCGAGGCGGAGCAGCTCGCGCTGCGCGAGATCGGCGCGGAGCTGGCGGCGGAGGCGTGGCGGGCGCCCGGGCGCAGTAAGAGCCGGGGCCGCAGCGCGGCGCCGGCGGCACGGTCGCGGTCGCGGGGGCGGTCGCTGGCGAGCGAGGACGGGGGCGCGCGGCTCAGCAGCGCGACGGTCGACCGGCTAGTCGACGGCGGAGGGGCGAGCGAGTCGCGCAAGCGCAAGCCGTCGCACTCGCCGATGGCCAGCTCGACGCACAGCGAGGGTGCGGTGTGCTCGGCGCAGGCGGTGCGGCTGGAGCGCGCGCCGGCGGCGCTGCGCACGCGCGTGCTCGCCATGGTCGAGAACATCGAGGGCCGCAGCCGCGAGGGCAGCCCGGGTGCCTCCGCTGCATCACTGCCGCTCTCGGCGGCGTCGGGCCCGCGGTGAGGCAGAAGGAGGGAGGGGGGGGTACAGAATACGGTTTGGTCTTAGGAGTCACGAGTCACGGCGCGAGGGAGCGGATCGGATAGGCGCCGTCCCGCGCGGAGACGTCACGGCCTAAGGCGTTTTCTAATGTCGGGGTTTTTTTTTCTGCTTCGTTTCACCTTCGCTCTTGTTTCTTTACGGATCACACTGGAGGACGGCGAGGAGCTGGCTACACTTGCTAAAGCTAGGAAAAACGGGAAAGGGGGAGGACAGGGGAGGACAGGGGAGGGGGAGCATGTCAAGAGTATCACGTCAACCTAGGGAGAAATGTGTCCAACTAAGCAAGATATGTAGGACGATGCGTGCGCCAGCAGCCGCCGTCATAGACGAAGATCGATGTCGAATAAACGAACACGTAATTACACGCCCAACCCCCATATCTCGGTAAACCCAGGTGAACTCGGCGAGGCCTCGTCCCGAACACCCTGAAGCGTCTCGGGATCCCCCCATCCATCGCTCGTTTTTTGTAGAATTGCTGTTTTGGAGCTCTGATTTCCGCGCGGGCTCCCGATGCAGCAACATGGTATTAGGAAAACAGGCGAGCGCCGTTAAAAAGCAACACACAACCACAATCGTGCGGGGGGGGAGGTCCTCGTCCCCTCCCAAGAGCGCATATTGTCTAGCCCTTTGATCCGGCTTACGACGCGTACGGCACCGCTTGTCCGTGGGGGGACCCGTATTAGAGGGGGGATTTTAGTCGAACGATAGCCCACCCACCCGGGACTCGTAGAGGCGTGTCGAGAGGAGGCAGGCGGTCGAACGAGCGACCAGGAACGAAGCCCTAATATTCTAGGCTAGGGCGGCGCCGCCAGCGCGGCCGTCCTTGTTGGGGCGGTCGGCCGCTGACGCTGGACCCGGGCCGTACTGTGTGGTGACCCGGCTGCGTCAGCAATACACGCGCGTGGCAAGGGTCTGCCGTCCGGAAACCGAGGCTGCCGCGCAAGCTAGGGATCCGTCCGAGAGATATCCGTCGACGGCTCGCTAACGGGGCTAGACCTCCTTTCCTGCTCACGGGCGCTCGTATTGAGCCGCGTTCGCGACCTCCCTGCTCGGCTCCACAGAGTGTAATTAAAAACCGGAGTCGGTCGATCTCACGAAAAGGAAATGACGGTGGCTGCAAGGAGTCAAGTGGAGGCAAAACAGAGATCGGCGCAACCGGCCGGCGTCAGGTCAGGGGGGTTGGCTGGCTTGGTGTGATGGGTAAGAGGGAAGATGCGATTCGGTCTCTCGGCCCGTCGATGATCATAATAAACAGAGAAGCGCCTCCCCCCTTGGCCTCGGCCGTCTCGTCTCCCCAGCCCGTCTCTCGCCTCCGTCTCTCACGCACATCGAACCGACAGATGTGCATACGATCGGTATATGTGAGTTGGAGAAACGGTGTAGTGCAGAGATGCCGTGGAGGGGAGGAGACCCGGGGAATTGGATCGGGCGATGGGGCCAATGGCACCTCGGTGGTGCCTTGTGCCTGTCGATAAGCTGTCTGTTATAGGAGGATGCGTGACCAGGGTGGTATTGTACCTAGATACATGTATACCCCTATATACCGCGGAGTGCACACGTCCTATACAGCCGGTATATCCTATGCAGGCCACGTACTCGGTACATAGAGCCCCATCCCCTACCCCCTGCGTTGCGGAACTGATCACCTCTAAAGTACCTACCTAGGTATGTACCTAAGCAAGGAGGGCGCCTTGTTGATGGAAGCTAAGCAAAGGTACCTTTCTTAGGGTAAGTACACAAGTCCAGTAGGCTCGCTACGTATATACGCGACGTACCTGTATACTTGCCCGTGGCTATATCAATAGTCTTCTATTCTACAATACAACCTAGACTAACTGCTTCCCGTCGTCGATGATGTCCGCCAAGCCGTCACGGTCGAATTTATCTGTTTTTTGGCCTGATTGTGAGCTCACCACGGGCAGGGCTTCGATTTTCCACCTTCGCGTACTTTGCCTCGGATTCCCCTCGGTCTTCGGAGGCCTTCTCGACGATGAGGTCCGGTACCTGGAGCATCGACGGCGGCACGCTCCGCCCGATTTCGTCCGTACGACGAAAGGCACGGGAACGCTGGCTCGGCCGAACTCCATCTCTCCAAGCTGGGCACGTATAAACGGCGCCGCACACGGCCATTTCGAGATCCGCCGTCGACCTGTACTATATATATTAGGGCCAATTAGAGGCCTACTACTACCTTAGAACCCATAGGTGTGTCCTTCTTATCGCGTTGGGACCTACGGTAGCAGCGCAATGCACTCCGCATTTCTACATGTAGGTAGATGTTGACGTACGTGTAGAAGCATAAGGCGCCCAACGTATGGATGTAGATACAAAGCCTGCGCACAACAAGCGGATCCGAAGACGACGCTGCCCTCGGCAGGGAGGCATGGACATATTGTCTATACATAGATCCGGAGACATCCATACGTGTGTATTTACAATATCTACTACGAGGGACGTGTCGCCCTAGTATGCATGCCGGTCTGTGCATGGGTGCATGTGCGTAGCCTTCCGGAAATCTGCTCGAGTGTGGGCTCGTGATGGATGTCTTGCAGCGAATTCCTCATCGACCCGCTTCACCTCTCCTCGGCACGTGGGGTTGCCGACAGACAAGAGAGAGGAAAAAATAGAAACAGCGCGCGCGCGTGTGTGCCCGAAAATGAGGTCCTCAAGAAGAGGGAGAGGGCAGAGCAGAAAGAGAACTAGGGTATCCAACTCGCGGGGGGCTTCGCAGAGCCATATCGAACAAAATCTTGTTAATGCTATCATTCATTATGCCCTGACCGCAGCTTATTTGCCTTGGACCCTACTCGGTTTCGTCGAATCGACGTACTGGAGGGAGGACAGACCTGCGACTCGGGGACTTACGTGTATCGCAATTGATGGATGTGGCGAGCCCGGCTCGACCGACAAGATTAGCAGCAAGCACTCTAGAGAGGTTGAAAAACACCCCCCCACCTCTTCTCTCCCCTCTTCCGCACTCGTCTTTCTTCTTTTCGAGAAGCGACAGGTGTAGGAGGGAGACGGGGGGATGCCTTTGCCTGTGGTGGTGTCCTTGGATTGTATCTATGCGTTGCATGAGACATGTACGTATATATCCATAGATAGTACACTATGCATAGGCTCGTCGGCGGTGACCTCCACGTACCATCCGCGAGATGCAGGCGTATATTTGTGTATGGTATGCATCACCGTTGCATGGTATGGTATCGTCCGCTGTACCGCGTAAATATGTAGATAGACTCGTTTATCGCCCTTGGCAGCGCGCCGGAACCGGGAGGAGCACATCTTGGTGGTAGATGCGGAGCCGTAGCCGAGTTCTACCTGCAAGAGGAAGCTCGTTTCATGCCATGGGATCTTGCGGCGACGAATCCTGGTTGGATACGCGCCATGGATACATGCTTGGCTGAGGTAGAGCCTTCGTATTCACTTGCCGCCACCCTGGTCAGAAGTCGGGCAGGGTGCTGAAAGGAATCCAGACATAGAAAGCTATACGTTTGGCTGTTATAGCTCGTGTATACGTAGTCCCTCGCCGACGGTCGTCACCAGCGAAGCAATCGTCATCGGTCGTGACCAACGGAACAAATCTGGAGTCCCCTTCTCGCCGTGCCCCAAAGGCACCAGACTACTGGGGTGATATCATGATGCTTGATGCAGATCTGCTGCCTTTTCCTCTTCCTCTTCTTGTATTAGGAGACACCTACCTTAGTACACAAGGTGCCGAGGTATACTGAGGCTTTCGAATGCCACATATTTGCCTAAGCCATTTAATCACTTAGAAACGAGGCGCCTGGCCTGGCTAGTGATTGCGCATTGTGATCACCCGCATATTGGCTGAGGCAGACGCTGAGTGCAGCGATCACCTCACCCGTCCCCCCATCCACACGGCTACCCGTTGCCGGGTGAGGGGTAAGACGATAACGACACCTTTAGGGACAAGATGGAGAGAAGAAAAAAAAAACCCCCCCCTCCCAACCTCCTCCTTTTATATCCACCCTCAGGCCAGGCATGTACGGTGTCCGAAATTACCGCCGCTGCCTCTCGAACGCTGAGGGGGGGTTAATAACAGCGATCTGCGCGTTTGGCGTTCTGGTCAAATCCACCAGATGCTGAACGGATATTAAGGACCTCAGGATAGGGGAGGACAGCGCCTTGAATATCATTCACGATATCGTGGCATCTGGACTGTTAATTGGAGTAAGCAGTCGCGAGCTCGACGGCGTGCATCACGAACGATGCCGCGTTTCCAAAAAGTTTAAAGGTTCGGCAGGCCAACGTGAGATACAGACGCGAGGATCGGCTATTTACAGCGATCCGTATTTGCTTCCTCAAGGGGGTGGCGGACGTGGGTAGCGCTGCACTAGGTCAAGTAATACGAGCGATTGGGCAATGACAAGCAGCGAGCGTCTTCTCTTGGGGTGTGTGGTGATTCCGCATGCACCGGTGTTTATGGTAGAGGCAGGTAGGCATGCGTATATGTACCTCCATGCATACGTAGTAGACCCATACATCGTAAATTTGGATCTCTGTATGTATGCATTCACGAAGTACGAGGTCCATCCGATGCTGGAGCACGGGCGAACTCGCGACTCGGGTGTCCGGGAGGGGGTGGGGTGACTGGAGCTGCTCGAGGTCTCACGAGCCTGTTGGGATTGGATTGTGGCTTCGTGACTCTAAACTCGTCAGCGCCGATTTGCACGAATAGCACGCAATCCGTCCCTCCCTGGTCTCTCTCTCTTTTCTCTCTTTCTCTCTCTCTCTCTCTCTCTCTCTCTCTCTCTGTGTGTGTGTGTGTGTGTGTGTGTGTGTGAGACGGTCAACCCGCTTTCACGAATTGCTCCACGGTCTGTTTTTGTTTCTGAGCGTCGTCGGTGCTGGCACTGTATACCGGGCCGGTATACCAACCAACCTGGCATGCATGCCAACCAGGTTATGCCAAACCAGGCTTACGTAGGTCTTGTCCACGTCGTACAGCCAGTCAATTAGCACGGGCACGTTCTCGGCTCTACCCTGATCGCATTGTGGAACGGGCTGTTACGTTTAGCATGTTGGGTGGGAGGAAGTTCGCTTTGCGTGGTATGTATTGGGAATGGCGCTGTGGCTGGCCGAGTAATGAAACTAGGTAGCCCGTCGAGTGAGCTGAGCGTGGGATTTTTGTCGACGTTCCCGAGATCCATCCGCCTATCCATCCCAGCTTCACACAATGCCATACCGGGGTAACCATGGTGAGCGTGTGCGCTAGACATTAGAGAACACGCCCTCGCCTCGCGGGCGTCTAACCAGCCAGAGGAGAGCTGCTGCGTCGTGGCGTTGCTGTATACGATGGATGAATGGAAGAAGAGATAGATGACAGGGCGTGTGGAGGAGGCGTGAAGGTGATATGAGGGAGGGTTCGGCAGATTGAAAAGATTGGTAGATTTAGATAGGGGGACCTACGGGAGGTAGGCAGGTAGGGAGGGGGCCCCTTAGAGGGTACTGTGCAGCGGCTTGCATACGTAGGTAAGTTACACACACGCCTTACGTATGCATATGCGGCGGTCAAATGTGATATATGCCTTTATCACCTAGAGGTAAAGGTTAGGAGGTAGGTACGTGGGTATTACGTAGCAGTTGAGGCATGGACCAGGAGGCCACCGGCCAAGTCCATAAGCGAGCTTGTCGCGGTAGCGCCCACAGCGCTAGAGCCACCGAGGTCTCGGGGCACATTAGGTGTCGCGTAGCACCGCAACGTAGGCGCCATCGGACGCGTTGATAGGTGTCTCTGTTGCCGCGTATAGGCAGATCCTACACGGGGTAGGGAATAACCATCGCCTCGCTACAGGTACCTAACCTACCTAATCTCTACTCATATTACCTGCCTCAGGGTCCCGGCCTCCTGACCTTCCTGGCCCCAGTCGGGCTCTGGAAGACGGCAGACACCTTAACTTAAAATACCGGACGCGAAGGATGAGGGACCCCCGTCCGTCTCGTTGTTTGGGCCCAGAGAGGCGCGAGACCAGCAGTATTGGATATTCGATCTCAGTTTTCTTTTTAGCTCCCGTCCGGTCCACGCGGGTCTCATTTCGATATTTTGTTAGCTCAGGTACCGCCCGGCCTGTCATCTCCCCAGCCCCATTCCTCACCTATTAGCTGCCTCCTACCTCTGCCAGTTACCTAGGCGGTACCGGTTGTGCTCACGCCGGTTACGTGCCTCCTACCTCTACTCACACGTCGAGTAGGCTATATCTGCGGTACGCACGTACGCGTGTGCTGCACAGGCAGAGTAGGCGTGTAGGAGGTAATAGGTACCTAATATGCCCAGGTATATCTGGGAGACGGCCGGTAGCCATTAATTTATTCGCTACAACCTCTTCATCCAACGTCCAGATAAAAATGTACCCAACATAGGAGGTAGGTAGGTACCTAGGTAGGTAGGTAGGTATGTCCCTGTATTAGGTATCTTAGGTACCTACCTACCTCTAACCTACCTCCTACCCACCTGGACCCATCCCCTAGCCGCGGCATCTGCACTATTATACAGATACGGTTATTGGCTCAAACAACCACCGCACCCGCCCGTCCCGCTGATCCAAGCTCGTATTTCGAGCTCGCCTTCTTCTACCTACCCTCTTCTTCCCTTCTTTGCTTTCTTGTTCCATCCTGCCCCGGGTAACCCTACCAGCGGTGGCCCGCGCGTAGCAGCTGGCAAGACTCGGGCTCTCGGCCGTTCCTTTCCCTCGTTTCACCGTCATACTCTCATTCATTCTTGGCCGTGGTGGTTCGGAACACACGAACGCACGCTCGCATCTGCTTACAACTCAACCCCCCCTCGCAACCCCCCCCCCTGTCTTATCTTAGGAAATTCCTCGGGCTGCAAACAAACGGCTCGCATTCGGAACCGAGTACAGTTTATCTCCATCCCGCGTATCCAAATCATCGCGCCATCTCGTCCTTTGTCTGTCTCTCCGTCTAACCTAGCTACCGGCTGCGGGCGGGTGTCGATTGGCGGCAGACCGTGGCCCGGTAGGAGGCAGAAACGCGGAGACGAGTGCAAGATAACGATCCCATCCTCGATGCAAGGGAGGTGGTTATCTACACGTACATACGTACATACGCATCAGGGTAGCATCAACAGCGAGAGACCACCATGCAACGTCTGGGGAGCCTCTTATACGCAGACGGACGTGAACTTACACGTAGCGAGCAGAGCAGCCAGGTTACCCAGGCAGATGCATGTGAGGTAGGGATGGATGGATGGACGGGTGTTTATGTGTATGAGTATGTGCATAGATAGATATATGTCTGTATACGCTCATGCCCACCTCCCCCCGATCGGTCGTGGACTCGGCATCTGCGTCTGGCAGCGCAACGTGCCTACCTCAGGCATCCAGGCCTCCCGACCGCCATCGAACCTCCTGGGACGTACCTTACGTAGTAGGTAGGTAGGTAGGTACCTAGGCAGGCAGGAGGTACCTCTCCGGCCCTCGTTGCGACCTACCTCTAGCGATCGAACGGGAGGTCGAGAAGTACCGCCCCTAAATCATATGTATGCGTGTGTACATACACGCCCACAACTCCGGTACATCTGCACACTCAATCCCCAATCCCGTATCCCTCCACCCGTCTTCCTTGTTCGAGCTGCCCTGTCCGGCCTCCCCCTGTCAGCCAGCCATTTCTTCCCTCCCAACCCACATTCACACCACCTTTAAGGCCTGTCTATCCCGGCCTCCCTCTTCCCATCGCCGTCCCTCACTTAACAGTCTTCTCATTTTCGAGCACTTGGCTCCCAACCGCACCGCACCGCACCACCTCACTGCGTGAACCGTGCCATCGCCTCTTCTAGAAGGCATTTCAAATTCCACCCTCTCGCTCGCATTTTTTCTTTCCTTTTTCCTCCCCCTTCCTTCCTGCTGGCTCGTTTTCTTCCCGCCAGTCACCTGTACCACTGGCTCCAACCCGTCCCAGTCGTGTGCTTTCTGGTTTGCCATGGCCATATAATATTAGAACAACACTACTAGCAGTCTGTGACATTCGCGTGGTGATTGCCCGGATTGCCTGACTGGGCGCCTATATCACGCTCGTTCTCTGTGGGCGAGTGAGCCGTCCTCCGTCTTACACCCTCATCATAGTCGAACTGGGCCGACATAGACGGTCCGTCTTGCTCTCTCAGATCTAGTCCTTGCTGAGATTCGCTAAGCTAACATATATACTTCACCTCAGCTTTATCGTCGTTAAATACTCCTTAATTAGCATGGCCTTCCTCAAGCGGCTTGTGCCTCTTATAGGCGTTATCGCCCTGGTGGGCACACCCGTCTCTGGTCAATCAGTCCCCATAGCGTTCTGCGCCCAAATCCTCACAGCAACGACTCCTGGCAGTAAGTGAAAGCCCTCGACCGTGTATCGAATAGTCTCTCCACTGAGGCTGGCTGACACCCTCCCAAGATTTAAGCATATACCAATCCGATGGACTCTGTCGCGATTTCTGCGTGGGCGAGTCTGCATTCGCCATTGTCCAGTTTAACCAGTGTTGGTGCAGTGACTACGAACCCGACAGTTCGACCCTGGTGGACGTGACCGACTGCGACGCAAATTGTCCTGGCTACCCCAGTGACAAGTGCGGTGCCGACGGATTATGGGGATATATGTCCCTGGACAGGAGACCTGTCGGGACAACGAGTATTGGTAGTCAAACTACCACCACCGCGCCTCCAGTAAGTGTTCCGTGTTTTGCTTTATCATTCCAGGAATCAGCGTCTCGAGTCGTGTTGTCCGGGGCTTCGACCCTCCCCAGTCTACTAGTACAGCTGCCATCATCGCTCTCGGGGGACGCTTCGTTAAACTGTCCGGCGTCAGGACCTTTCTACAAAGACTGCGCAAATCACGGTCACCGTCATTCCCACGGTCCCAACGCTTCCAACGGCCCCAACTAGTCATTCGACTACGACTGTCCCTGTATGCGCTGCTGATCCCAGGGTCTTTTTTCCCTTGAATTTTCCTTTCATAGGGTGTAACGCAAAGGAAACGAGTATGTACTCACAAGTTCGATTAGGACTCAACGCCGACGGCTAGTTCCACTCTGGCCGGGACGATTTCCACAGTGACAACTGGCGGAATTAGGGAGACGATTACTATAATACCTACAGTTACAGATAGTCCCAGCGCGGAACCTTCAGACAACTCGAATGAGCCAGTGCCTAGTCAACAAGGGCTCTCCACCGCTGGGGCGGTCGGGATTGCGGTCGGGGTATTCGGTGCCGTGGCCATCGGCGTCGCAGTCGGCGTCTTTTACTGGCTCCGACGCAGGAGACAGCAGCAAGAAGGGGGCATGGCGGATCTACCAGGCAGTCACCGAGGGAGCTCAGCCGGCATGATGGGCACCCCGACGACCGCGATGGCCTCCGTGTGGGATGGCGATAGCGGAACAAACGGACGAAGGAATAGTCGATTTATGCCCCATGATCCTCGCATGGACCCGTACGCAGCCAACATCTACAGTCGTTTCGAAAATAAGAGTCACGAGAGCGTCAACACGCTGCAAGACAACCATGACTATTCTCGGAAAGTACTTCGAACTACCAACCCAGACCCTCCGGACGCCGAGCAAAGCTAGATTTCCGATCATCGGAGCAGGCTAGATAACGACGCACACGATTCTTTCGGTCGGATTTCAGTATTGGGTCACAGCATTGCATTTGAGATACCAGGATGGCGTTTACAGGAGAATGATCTTCTGGGATAAAAATTTACAGGTTTTCTGTCACACACACATACACAAGGCATCCTAGTTTCGTGATGTCGGATTTTATTCTCGTTCGATATTTGTTTTCTCGGCCCCGTACACGAATCCCTTCCGCAAAGGGGCCTCGCATGGCGGCGGTATCGACGGTTGGAACGACAGGTATAGGCAGCAGGCGTATCTAGGTGGATTTCATACACAGCCGATACCGCACGCTAGCGGTAAATTTTTTCCGTCGATGTCGGATACAGCGCACCGGCCATAGACGAATTGGTTCTCGGCAAGATACTGGCATTTTTCACCCCGTGTGGAGAGGGAGTTACTACGGCTCGACTGGCGGCATCACACAAACAACGCAAATCGAATGAGAGTCGAGAGCTACGCGAAAATTTACTGGTTGGGCATGTCGAGAAATCAATAAAGCAAAGATGTTGCAACATTTGGCGTGCGTGAAAGCTTATGATGTCCAAATCCAGGCCCTATCAATGATGGATATAATATATATCATCAGGCATAGCTCCCGGCGTTCATTACGTACTTATCGACGCGTTGGAATCGGGGTTGGGCTTCCCGGGCCCGGAGATTCCGAAGCGTTGGCACAGCAATAATGGTGGAATCGCCGATATGACGACGCCGCCACGAAGGCAGGTGGATTCTCCCTCTTTCCTTTTTTCTACCTCAATATTTTATTATTTCTCTCGTCTCACAATGGGGCGCATCCGCCGCACACCAGTTTTTTCTCCTTTTTTTTTTTTCTCTCTCAGCTATCTCCAAGCTGCTATTTAATTTTAGTCATCGCATTTACACTGGTACGTAGGGTGTGTAAGCCTTTCTTTCTTTCCTCCTTCTATCAGATGGGTGACGTATCGCTCTTTTTCCCCCTCAAAGTAACGTCTGGGGGCTGATCTGTACGAAAAAGGGGGCGAGGGCAAGAAAGGGACAAGGGACAGTGGAGGGGAGAGATGGTTTGCTGGTTCGGGGTTAGCCAACAGCGAGTTAGTCGCAAGGCCACCCTTGCAGCTATAATTGTATTACTTATATGACTTGCATCATTTGCATATCAACACTTATTACTCGTTTAGATATACATACATAGGCACGACGCTACTCTACCTGACTCGCGTGTTGATATGATGAGGACAAGGGAAAGTCAGTCGAGGCGATGACGGGTCCGAAAGAGGGGCCGGAAAGAGGGCGAAGCAACACGACAACGCGGGTCGGATGCGCCGGGCAATGGTGCGAGGCGATGGTGCGAGGTAACGGCCTAGGATAATTAGAGTAATGGTGGGACTTCACCGGGAGAAGCAGGAGGTTAGCTTGGGAGCTGGAACCGGAATTTGGAATTGGAATTCTCTCGCAGGCCGCAGATGGCGTTGCGCCATCTAATGCCGATCGAAATTGATGCCTGAGACGTGTGATGTACCGCTAAAGAGCAAGACGCACCGAGCTCGTCACTCCCTCTATCCGGTCCTCGCTTGCGCGTGTTTTTATCGTCATCATATCCTATTTCTCTCGCTAGTCTGGTTGTCTACGTATACTAGCACCATCTGCTAGGCCTCTACCCGAGATGAAGGGAAGATTACCCTGACTGCCTATCGACAGGCTAGTCTCGCCCTGACGCTGGCGACAAGCTTTTTTCTGCCTTGCCACTGGCTGACGAGAGAGAAGGGGGGGACTTCTGGAGTGCTATACAACAAGAGTGGGATGCGGCTGGAGAGACTAGCTCCGCGTTCGTTCACGTTATTAGAGACGACGGTGGCCAGCAGAGCAAAGCCCCCCCTTTTCAGCTCAGGTCAATGCATCCTTGGTTCCGAACTGGGCGGTGGGGTTGGGCAGTGCTGAGCGGAGCTGTCCAACTACGTAGGTAGATCATTCGTGTGCATGCGTACACGCGTGGAGGCCTCTAGGAGAAATAGCTCCTGCGTACTAACTAACGGTGACAGCTTAGATAGTTAGTTAGATAGCTCTCTATTTCGACCTAGGGGTTCCCCTACCAGATGTAACGTAGGCTTCTTTGTCTGTTTCGTCCTTGTCGTGCATCGGTCAGGCCAGCCGCCTCCCGAGCGCGAGGACGCTCCTCCACCGGTCTGTCGAAGCCAAGGCACAATCAGGCCGCTCTAGACAAAAACGACGACGACGACGGCGGCGACGACAACGACAACAAACTGCGGCGCCGGCCATTGGCGGCGCTTACGTACTCGGCTGGAATGCAACGCCGGGTGTGAACGAGTGCGGGCAGGTGATGTGAGACATCACGCCCTCATGGTTTTGCGGGATGTGCCGCGTGTAGCGTTGTTGTCTTCTTCGCCGAACTTGACCTAAGCTCCCCTGGCCTGAGCTCCTATCGCGTCTACACAGTTAACTGTGCGTACAGAGACCCGACTTGACTGCGTGCCTATTGCCTGGACAACGGTGGCCGCGTGGCCAGCAGCAACGGTTGCGGAAATGCATGCCTACGTTCCTTCGTAGAGCGGGCCGGTCCCTTCAACCCCATAACCCCACCCCTCCCCTATCCGTCTTTTGCTCTGAGAGACCTGGAGCCTACGGGTTAGGTATATGCCGCGGCACGTTATATGTCCGAGAGAAGATCTGGGGGCGGGCAGAGGGTTTAGGCGTCGATAGCGTCCGTTAAGGGACGGCTTATAGGTAGGGAACCGGGGCGTATGGGCGGATTGGTCGGGATCGTTGCGGACTTGCTACAAGGTTAGTCGGTGATGGCGCGCGGCCGCTACTCGTATTAGGTGCCGCCGTCCGGACTTGCCCAGGCTGACCTCCCCCGGATGGGTGGCGAACCCGGCGGCGGTCGGCGGTCCCTTTGGAGGCACTGGCACCATGCCGCGGACCAGACGGTTCGATGTAACCGGTGCTCTCTCAAGGTCCGACGGGCCCCATCCGACTGCCACCTCTCCGATTCCACGCGGGCAGCACTTATAGGCTCTAAGTTCGGTACAGGTACTGCCACGGCGTGCTGCATTTAGGTGCCTCCTCGCCCACAGCCACGTTGACTGCCCACCACCACATGCGGTGCCCGGGCAAGCATCATAGACCCGGAGGCTGTGCACAACCCTACAAATCATGTGCCAAGGGGCTGCGACGAAAGACGTTCTCTACCTACCTACGTCTGTGTGTATACCATGGACCCAGCCCAGATATACCTACCTACACCTTATTTGGTGAGGAGGCAGGAGGCCCGTATTGCCATACTCTACGCCTGCACGTAGGTAGGTAGGAGGAGACAGTCCCGGGTTCATAGATTCCATATCACATCTACCTACCGTCTACGCAGTCTGAGGTGAGACGTCGGCGTTAAGGTTATACGGTGCCCGATTCGTTGAGCAATATTATAGTCGATCTGGTGGACATTAAGTGGTCGGACTTGAAACGAGTGTACGCGACGCGCGTGCATAATAGCTTGCGCACGCAGGCTGTACGTGACAGAGCATGGCGCGGCAACCCGATCCAAAAACGAAGAGCCCTCCTAGCTGGTGATTTTGTGATAGGGAGTGGTGTAAGAGGATGGTGCAGGGCGCTTAGAGAGGGAGGAAAGCCGAGAGAGATGCAATCAGAGAGGCATGACTGGCAAATTAGAGTGACGTGGTGGGATGTGAGCGCCGGTCTGATGCCCTCTCTAAGTACATACCTGCTTACTTCTCATCTTAGGTACCTAGCATATAAGATAGGTGTACCTAGATGGACATCCAGCATCGGAACCACCTCCAATAATGAGTATCCAAACTCAGGGCGCCACGCTGAGGGATCGCAAGAGGGCTTCACGCACCTACGTTGGAATTATGGCTATACCGATATCTTCCTAGGTAATACCTAACTACCTCCTAGGCATATGTCCATAGTACCTTGGCGCTACTGTCTTGGGTCTCATTGACCCCGCTTTGGCTGCGGGCTGCTTGCGTGTACTGGATAAGTACCCACCCAGGTACCGCTTGGGCGACACGCGTAACACGCGCACGTGGCATATCCCCTGTACCTGCCTATACACCCTCCATAGGTGCATGCGCAGTACCTGGTAGGCGCATTATATGTACCTAGCGCACTCACCCCTTTACCAGGGCGCTGGTACCCATGAGACGGGATGTGACAGAAGGAGAGAGCGAAGACGAGAGAAAGAAGGGAGTCACGCTCGCTCGCTCTTTCGCAACTAACAACCGGCCTGTCTCGCGGGGCTGAGCATCATCGTCATCCCTTGTTCCCTTTCCCCGTCCCCTTCGTCCCTCATCATTGTCGTTCCTGTCGCCGCCTCTACCTATCATCATCTCGACCCTCTCGACAATCCCGCCCGACGCCCGACGCCGTCTGATCTCGCTGATAATCATAATCTGCTAGAACCTCCCAACCCGCCGGTCGGCCGCCGTTGTTCTTTAGCCACAAGCGGACAAATAACCAACGCCTCTGCCCCCGTCCACCCTGCGCCTCGGGCCCCTCGTATCGCAGCCAAAAGCAACCCCACACGCGTACGCCGATGCTGCTATAGCGCGTGGGTGGTTCCTGGCCCTTCTTTTCTCCTTCGACGAGCCGATAAACCGCCGCCGAGACCCTCGAGATCCTTTCCATCCCGCCCCAACCGAGTTGGAGCCGGCAACATGAACCTAACATGTAATTCGACGCTGGAGCATATGCGAAGTACGTACTAAGACAATCCCGCACTCCTCTCCCGTTCCTGCATGCCCAGACTCGTGGCGCCAAGATGCCGAGTGCTGACAGCCCGTCCGTCTCCTACTAGTCGGGTCCGAGGAGAGGATCGTTGGACCCTTGACCTTCCACGAGCTCGCCCTCATCATTGCCGGCGCTGCTACCCTGGTCGCCTACGTCGTCAGCTTCTTCTTGATGTGGCAGCACGCCCTCAACTACACCAAGCCGCGCGAACAGAGACAGTACGCTCAACCACCGAGGATGCTCGCCATCCCAACTGGGTCGGCTAACTCTTGGCAGTATCATCCGCATCCTGTTCATGATCCCGGTCTATGCCACCTCGGCCTTCCTCTGCATATACTATTACTGGCACGCCATCTACTTCCAGGTCCTAAGCGAATGCTATGAGGCGTTTGCCATAGCCTCCTTCTTTGCCCTCATGTGCCACTACATAGCACCTGACCTGCACGACCAGAAGAATTACTTCCGGCATATGCGCCCTATCAAACCGTGGGTGTGGCCGATCAACTGGTTCGCCAAATGCTGCGGCGCCCAGAGGGGGCCCTGGAGAACCCCCCAGAGCGGCCTGACCTGGTTTAATATTGTATGGATCGGCATCTACCACTACTGCTTCATCCGGGTTGCCATGACCATCACGGCCGTCGTGACGCAATATTTCGAGCGGTACTGCGAGAGCTCCAACAGCCCCGTCTTTGCTCATATATGGGTATAGTTTGCGTCGGCCGTCGAAAGGAAACCGGAGTCTTGCTTACGTGGTGCCAGGTCATCGTGATCGAGTGTATAGCCGTCACTATCGCCATGTACTGCCTCATCCAGTTCTACGTGCAGTTGCGCGAGCCGTTGGCTGAGCACAGGCCCTTCTTAAAGGTCCTCGCCATCAAGCTCGTCATCTTCCTGTCATTCTGGCAGACGATCGCCATCTCCCTCGGTACATCCACCCTCGGCATCGTGAATCCTACTCCCGCCCTTGCCTACCCCGACTTGAAGGTCGGCATCCCCAGTTTGATGCTCTGCGTTGAGATGGCCATTTTTGCCATCCTGCATATATGGGCGTTCCCCTACGCCCCGTATGTCGAAGGCGCTAGAACTAGTTTCTACCCCGTCCCGGATCCCTCGACGGGGATGCCGCCCCGCGAGAACGAACACGGCCGGAAGCTGGGCGGCTTCATGGGCCTGAAGGCATTCGGAGACGCCCTTAACCCGTGGGATATCATCAAAGCAATTGGCCGCGGCCTGCGATGGCTCTTTGTTGGGGCTAGGAACCGCCACCAAGATTCCAGCTATCAGGTCAAGGTGTCGGACGACGTGGACACCGGTTATCCCATGAAGACACTTGCCACCAACCGTGCCGGCGCCACGAGCACGGATCATTTACCAATCGCCAACCAGTTCCGTCGGAGCGCATTTGGACTTCCTAAAACGCCCGGAGATCCGCTCCCCGAGGAGAGCGCGGGCTTGATCACGTACGCCCAGTCCAACCCCGTCAGCCCAGGACGTCAGCCGTCCAGCCCATACCAAGACGATAGACAACAGCGTGGTGGCTCGCGGAACTCAGGGGAATCTGTGCCCTACGACGACGTTCGGGGCGATATCGGGGCTGCAGCCTCGCACTACGACTACGGCATGGACGAGGCGCCCGGAAGCCAAAGCGGAAGCACCGCGGGCTGGAGTCAACGTCAAGGTGAGGTGCAACCGGGCAAGAGAAGTTCGGCACAAGTCCAGATGGGCAGGGCTTTGTGGGGTGACCGAAATCCCCAGGGAGGCCTAAAGTAGCTACGGCCGTTCCGTCCGGAACGGATGGGAGCCGTTTTGTTTATTGTGGTTTTCGCATCCGATGCTTTGGCGTTCCGGGATCTTGTGTACGAGATCGAGAAGGCGTTTCGCGACCGCGCGAGCAGATGTTGATATTGCGCCCCCGGCCCCGCCCCCCCCTATCTTCCGACCGGGAAGGAAGCTTGTCGCACGATGCATACTCTGTCACGGCCCAGAGGCGAGAGAGCAAGCCTCCCTGGTGGTGCGACGCAGAGATCCCAAGAGGTGAAGGGAAAAAGATACCCTCCAGGCGTAGCCTATTAACTGCCGACAGAGGCATTGCATGCGTGCTAATTAGATAGATACCATTTGATTCAACGAATTGCCGCGGCGACTGCGGTTCTACTACTGTCGACCACTGTAAAGAGAGGGAGGGAGATATATGCCCTATACGCCATCCCCACCTCGACCTCACGCGCTTGCTTACCTTGTGTTATTATGGCTTCCCGTCGCGTCCCCCGACTTGAGTAAGTGCGAAAGCTCTTGGATCAAACCCGTCCGTTGACTGGGCCGCGTCGGGCTACTTCTTCATCCCCTCCCCCCCCTTACCTTGGATGAGGACACAGGGACCGACGTCGCACCGCACATAATTACGCGTAGGCACCGTAGTTAGTCTATAAGATTAGCCCTCGCGCGCCCTCCGCAGGGCACCTAGCCCCCCCTACCCCCCCCCACGCCCGGGGACCGACGGAGCTGCGCGCCGACTCGACTCCTGGTCCCGCGCCGCGTCGGGGAGTGTCGAGTCACGGGATATGCGTACCTGCGGTGTCTCTCTCCCCCCTCCCCCGCCCCTTTTGATTCTCCCTCTCCAGTTACTGTGTAACACGCGGCGATCGATCGACCGATCGCTCGCGTACCTGGCTTTTCTATCCACCCCCCTTAGGCGCCGTAGATCTAGTCCTGTGTATCCTCTACTCTATTGCCAAGTTCGTCCCGGCCTCGTCTTATTCTTCCCTCCCTCTTCCCTCTTCCCTCTTCCCTCTTTCCTCTTTCCTCTCTCCCCTGCTGCCTGGCTTTGGAAAGCAGGATGGGACGAAGGGGAGAAGAGAGAAAGGGGGGGGGGAAAGCAAAGGCGGATAAATTTTTTTCTTAATAATAAAAACCGCCCCAATAAAGCCAAACCCGAAAACAAAAACAACGGATGCAGCCTTGCAACAGGAAGGAAAGAAAAAAAAAAAACGCCATGCGCCAGTGTATTTCTTATTTATCCCCCCTCCCTTTCCTCGTTCCTCCCCCGGTCGTAAAACGTGCTGGCATATTGTGTATAGGTAGGTAGGTGTAAGCGTGCGTACGCGCGAATGCGGGCTGTCTGAGACCTGGCGACAACGGGAATACGAAGGAATAGAGAGGCGGAATGGGTATCATGTGCGCGTAGTTGTATCTTGTTGTACAGTTGTATATTCTGGTATCTCTCTTCCCTTCCCCTCCGTTTTTGTGTTCCCTTAAGAGACCGTCGAAAAAAAAAGAAAAAGAGAAATCTCCCCCGGAATTGGAGATCTGGCGTAAGGGGGGTGGGAAATAATTCTCTGAATTAATGCTCGTTTTGCGATTTCATCTGCGTCCGACTGATGGATATCATGAATAGCGAGAAGAACGGGCCCTCCCCTTCTCCTTTGTTTTTTGGTATTTTTTTTCTTCGCGTAAAGAAACAAGAATTGATGCCAGCGCGGTCCGTTCGCAAACGCCAATCAATAGCAATCGACCGAGCTTCCTGCGTTCATCGCCGCCGACCTCGTTTGTAGACGAATACTATAAAATGTACCAAATGATTGTCTGTTGACCCCTCCATCGTACTCGGTTGTCCTTTCGTCGCCACCGAGCCGATTTCCATTATACACGGTCGATCAAAATCACGCCTCCTCGAGATAGTCTCGCGCGTCACGACAGAGCCCAGTTAAACGGTAGCTCCCAACGCATCTAGCGTCTCTGTCTTTTCTCGGTTGGTCCTCCGAAATCATCGCTTCGGCGCTTGCGACCTCGGTCGTCACCCCCACGTGAATCCCGGCGTTCCTCCCCGCCACGTATTCCACCTCCTAGCCCACCTCCACCTCGACCGCCTCCACCTCGACTAAAGTCGTCGTGTCTGCCGCCGCCGTCACCGCGATGACGCGTTTCTCGGAGGCCGTCGCGGCCGTTGCTTATCAGATCACCTCGGCCGCCGTTGGGAACTGGCTCTCGGCTAGTGCCTACAGGGTCTCGGCCCGATCGGCGTGGGAGTTCCATTTCGTTCTCCCTTGGGTGACTAGAGGGCCCAACATTGGGCTTTCGGTCTCGATAATCACGGTGATCCTTCGCCCTCTGGTCTCTATCCGTGCTGCGGTCCCGACTATTGCGTCGCGAGGAGCGTAAGGTCCGGTCCGAATTGCTGTGGTCCCTTCGTCCTCGTTCGTGGTCATTTCGTCCGGAACGCTCGACCCCGTTCGCACCACGCTCGCCCGCTAGTACATTAGGATCGGGGCGTTCGTGAACAGGTGTCGAGATGGGGGAGGCGCCCGTAAGCACCTGGGCGTCGGAACCGGCTAGATTAGTGCGCGAATTCCTAGTCCGCACGGTTGGACTCCCCCCTTGCAAAATCGTGTTGATTCCCGTCAGCTGTCTTCTTCCGCCGGTTCTAGCCCGATCGTTTGCGGCTGCTGGCCCTGTGGGCGCCGAGAGCATACTATTAGTGTCGGACATAAGCGCCACAGTGTGACTACCAGATGGCTGTGGCCGCTCAGAGGTCTGGATGGGAGGCAGGGTAGAGCGACCACCTTGATGATGTCCAGAAGACGACGGCGCAATCTGATTCATTCGATCTGGATGCACGGCAGCTGGGTTCGGCACGGGAGGTGGATATGCGGATTGAGTTTGAGGAGAAGAAGATTGGGCGCCGGAACCCGGGTTAAACTGTCTGAACCTCTCTGGGTGTAGTCCCACCGACGAAGTAACTGGCGCTTGGTGGCCCGCTGGGCCATTCCCATGGTTGTATTGGCCCCCAGGTTGGCCTCGACGTTGCCTAGACGACGCAGGGCCAGTCGGGGGGTGATGCCTTTCTGGAGACGGAGGTCGGTAAGGTTCGTTGCTTGGAAACCTGGGGTCTGGTCGTCCTGGTGGGTTGTTGATCGGCGCACGAGCTGAATTGCGACCCCGGCCCCGCGGTCCCTCGGGGGGAATGGTTGCATCTCCGATCGAAAGTATCGAACTTAACCGACCGTACTCCGGATCCTGGTTAAGTCTACCATGATCAGATTCGCCTCGTGAGTTTGAAGGCGGCCCTTGGAAGGCGACAGGTTCCCTGGACCTGTCTACCAAGCCCCGGTCGCCATCGTGATCTATACCCCTATTACCTTTTGGTCCAGTGGACGGCAATGGCTCATTCCAATGCTCTCGGGGGGCGTGGTGATCAACACGATGAGGTCGGACATTCCGGTCTTCCCGAGGCGGATCACTAGGCCGAGAGTCGGGACGGTCTCCTCGTCGAGGAGACAGCGGCCGAGAACCATTGCGATCTCGGCTATCGTCCCTACCTTGGCGACTGGTAGGGCGTGTGTCGTTAATCAAGGCAGCTCGGGCCGGATTTACTAGAGTCGAACGCTCATCCGGGCGGTCAGCATTGATAAGTCGGGCGCGCTCGGGGTTCACTGTCGGGCCCTGTGGCTCAGACTGTAGAGGAGGTGGCATGGGTTTCGCGGCGGCTGCGCTGTCACGTTGTGTTTTGTTTGCCTCGGGCGCACGGCTGGGGAGGACGGGGGGTGGAACGCGATCCCGTGGGCCGCGAGCGTCGCGTTCTTGTGGACTCGGCTCACTTCGCCGGATAGGGTCTGGTCGGGGAGCTGACCGATCTCTCTCAGACCTTGGCGATTCTCTTGGGATGGGTTCGGGTGGTCGACGATCGACAACGGGTTGTTGCGCTCGAACCGGACGTGGATCTTCGGGGGGTCGAAATGATCTCTGATCTCTCGGGTCTCTCAACTCTCTGGTATCGCGGGGGTCTCGAAGTTCTCGAGTGACTCGTACTTCGCGCGGCTCCCTCGGGTCCCGGGTTTCTCTGAGCTCCCTGTGGTCGCGAGGGTGTGTGGATGTTGTTATTTGCCCAAATTTGTCGTGTGTGAAGTGCGCAGGAAATGGAACTTCTGGTCGGCTTGGCAATCCGGGCGCAGGAGCTAAGGTGGATGGGCGGGGTGTCTCGGTCCGAGTGGCGGTAGACACCGGGGTCGGGGCGGACGGTACTGACTTGGGCGTTGAGGACCGGTTGGGGACTGGCTTAGGGTCTTGCTTCTGAGGCGTGGGCGCTGACTTCAGAGTAGTATCCCTGTTTGAAGGAATAGGTTGTGGAGGGGTTACGGTTATCTGAGATTCTGTGTTGGTTGACGCTTTTACATCCTTGACCTCACCATCCTCTTCCTCGGCGTTTGTCTTAGGCCGTGTAGGCACCCTATGAACGTGTAAGGCGCATATTCGAAAACCCGCCTTCAAGGTGTCCGACTTACCCTGTCGATGTAGGCTTGAATTCCGGTGCGTTTGGTCGGAGACCTGGTGTTGCAGCCTTGCCAAGTTCCGCCGGTTTCTTCTCCTCCGCCGAGTCGCCGCTCTGTGAAAAGTTAGGATACACTCATGGCCGGAGGGTCGATATTAATATAGGACTTACGGTATTAGGCCGGAAGGCTTGAACCATTACCCATCTGGCTGAATACTTCCTAAGGGCAGAGGTGGCGGTGTTGGCGGTGACCGAAAGGTCAACCCTATGACTCTGTCCGTCCTCACTTTCATTCTTTGTAGCAGCCTCGCGCTCTGCGATCTTCCCGAGTATTTGCAAGAATTGCCGGCCCATGAAGTCGACAGCAGGGAAATGCTCGAGGCCGGCTTTCAAGATCGTGATGGCGTTCCTTATGTGCATCCACTCCATTCCTGCGAGACAAGCTCGTAAGGCTGTAGATAAATTACGATGCCATGTCCATAGTAGATCGCGGAACTGGTCGTGTTCCATAAAGGTCAGTGGCTTGCCGTTGTCATCGAAGGTTGTCGCGAATCCGAGCTTCCCGTGCTGGATGGCCTCTTTGGCATACGCATCCTTGTCTTTGTGCCACTTTGCCAGATCTCCTAGAGTAAGTTTAATGAAGCGACCGAGAAATTCAGCTTCCCGGATGCTGCAACTGAAAATCATCACACGCAGCCTGTTGACGCCGAAGAATCGGTCATACAATGTAGCAAGTCTAAAGTTTGGTACTCGGCTCGAATGCATGAACTTGACCATTCGATGGCAGAAGTCGGCATCGCCGGGGGAGAGCAGTAACCGAGGAATAAGGCACTCTTCGATAAACGCATCGACGATCAGGTCCGTCCTCGCAGATGCGCAGAACCATCTCGGGCTTTGCTTCATCAGTAATATCTTGGTCTTGCTGACCCGCTCGCTGCAGGCGCTGGCTTCGGAGGCTAGATCTTTATTAAGCTGTACGAGGGCGTCGAGTGCTTTCTTCTTGTTGCTCATGTCGCCGCGCTCTCTTTTCAGTTCAGCATACTGCTTCTCCACTCGCGAGGTCTCGGTGTCGTAGCTGTTGAGCGGAACCACGAGGTCACCCGTCTGAAGGGACCAGAAAAGAACGAAGAACTCGGGGCTCATCTTATGCCATACTTCCGGGGGCAGCAAGGCTCGCACGGAATGAATAACTGGACTGAGCACATCCGAAAAGCGGTCGGACTTTTGGCCATTCACTGTTGACGACGATGGCTGCCGCGGATCTCCTTCTTCTGGATCTATGATGTCCACCACCATACTATCGTCAGACTCCTGGACCGCTACGGACGCTGCCACATCACCACCGGCTTTCGCATCGATAATCGAGTCGCCGTCCGCGTCTGTTGTTGATTCTGAGGTGGCAATTGCATGCTTCTCTCCTGGACCCATCATGAAATATTGCAGACTGGCACGGCCAATCATGAAGGCGAGATTAGCATCCAGACCGAACTCCGTCATCAACTGCGGTATGCTAGGGACAAATTCGTCGAATTTCTCGGGCGTCAGGTTATTCCGTAGCAGTTCCACATACTGAACGAGTGCTTGCTGAGAGTCATCAATAACGGTAGCGAGGTATTTGATATGAGTTTCGTCCTCCGGCAACCGGTAGATTGCGGATTGCCGATATTGAGCCATATTCGTCAGAAGTCGAGAAGCGAGGTCTGTTTGCACTAAAGCCTTCATAAGGCGTGAGGCACTTTTCGAAGACTCGTAGCGCTTGTCACCCAACCCGACCAGCGTCTGGCGCCGTAGAAGCTCACCACCGCTGAGAGCAGATAGTTGGTAGTCTGTGAAGTCGATATCCGACACAATCCCACCCATAGAGGTAATAAGCTCCCGTAGAATGATTAGATCGGTCGAGTTCCCACGAGAGACTTGGTCGTTTACGTAGGAGATGATCGGGGTAGGATCCATATTGCTATATCGTCGAAAGACCCTTCCAGAGAATTTAGAGAGGGCCTGGAGCCATCGGCTAGTTAGAAGCACCGATGTTTCTTGCGTCCTACTCCTCTGTTTACCACCCAAAGAGCTCAGGAGAGACCAGACTAGAATATCGTGCCCCATTTCCGTAAAGTACTTGGTACACTCAACGAAGGCTTCGATGAGATTCGTGTATGACTCGATCTGGTCGAGAGCAACCTTGCATACGACGCCAGGGGAAGAGAGTGCGACCTTAGCGAGCTTCTTTGCCGAGCTGGATATGTTCTGCAATGACAGTCGCTTTAGTGTCGATAGCGTGTCCAGCCTAGCAGTCTTGAAGGCCTTCGCTATAGGGGGAAGCCGAGATATCTGTCCTTCGTAGCATTCCGAATAGATGTTGTAACGGACCTGCGTCGGATAGTACTTGAGTAGATCCCAAACAGCGACCACGGCATCGACGTTGGAATCGCTAAGACTCAGGCACGGCACGAGAATTCGTCGAAGAAGGTCCTGCCAGCGCGCGACATTCTCTGGCGACCGGTCTTGTAAGAAGCTTTTGGCGCCAATAGTAGCCAATTTCTTCACAAGGGGGGGATCCCTGCCTATATTGACGCCGGAAATATTGAGAAAAGTGTTGCACAGGGTGAAAACGTCATCGACAGTTTGGCATATGGGAACGTTGTCAGCCCATTCGTCCAGATAAAACCGGTACAGGGTGCCCTTGTTGATCCCATCAGCATGTGGCCACTTCAAGATCTTGATGGGAGAGCCTTCCGTGAGCTTCAAGTTGCCCTTTGTCATCCCGGATTGATCTTGGGCCAACTCTGGTTTGACTGGGGAACTAGTTAGAGGTCGAATTTCAGTAGGCCGGGCATTGTCGAAAACTTTGCTGATACAATGTAGTAGTATGCGATTGATGGCCGGGTAGATCTCGTCGGGGTACGCCTCGGGAATCCACGGAAAGCGCCCTAATATGAATAGGGCCTCGGGAATTGCGCCCACGACTAGTAAATGGGACACTAGATCCGCCTTGTGAGCCTCTTTTGGCTCTGGGAGACTAGTCTCCGCGTCCTCCTTTGCGCTGGCCGTTTCGTGCTGGTTTCCGTCGGCATTCGCAACTGTAGGCTCTCGTGGCTTTAAGGATGCCATCGGTATAGTATCGTCGGTAAGAGCCCCAGCGGTGAGTAGCGCATTTGGCTCATTGTCCTGCCTCCTCGCTCTCTCCTTTTCGTCGAGCTCTTGCATTCGCCGTTCCCTTAAGGACTCCATCTGATCGTCGTCAGGCCAGAGGTGAGGGTACAGATCAGTAAGAGAAATGAACCCGATCTTGATGAAAAAGGCTGCCAGATAGTACAGGTTTGCCGGGAGTGTCTCGCCCTTGTCTCGAGCATCCGATGCGTAGAATCGAAATTTGAAGCCCAGCAACTGTGCAGCTACCTTATTGCCGCAAGGTGGAAGGGTCTTCGTAGTCTTCACCCAGTCGAGAATAGGATCGCTATTAACGTTGGGAGCAGAGCCGTCTCCAGCAGAGTTATAGAGATTAGTAGTATCAACTCGTCGTCCGCCAAGCTCGAAAAACGCGTCTAGGTGGGCCTCGCGGGCTCTGTCCCAGAATGTCAGGTCGCGCTGACGGCACTGTTCAGCGAGCTCAACTCTAAGGTCTTCAGCACTGAGGTCTTCGTTCTTGGGTAAGGCCCACTTTGGGAGGCCACCTGCGAAGACCCTCTCGGAGTGCTCGATCTGGTTGCGAGGCCACCAAGAGCTGATTCGTAAAAATCTAGAGAAGAACACGATATTTCTCAGCATCGTCGCGGAGAAGACGTCGATAACAACATCCAAGACCCTCCCCACGTCAAGGTCGAACGTCCCTATCAATCCTTTGACGCGCTCCCAGCATGCCTGCACAAGGGCGAAGTCGTGATGGTCCCGAGCGTAATACGGCGTACGATAGAGTTCTGCAGCCAGCTTCGAGTAGCCCTCGGATTCTTCCCGAAGTAGGTTGTAGTTAGCCTGCCGGTAAAGTTGGTTCGTGGCGTAACGAATGCCCAACTTGACAAAAGTGTCACGGATCAAGCCCAGTTGTTGTAGGGCCGGCGCGTCTAAAACTTCGCGAAGAAGTCGAGGCGAAATATCTATGGCGGCGATGAAATCTCGCAGCTGCGGTCGGGAGGCACCGTCTTCAGAGTCGATGGAGATGGAGAGGGTATCCAGAAACAACGTCTGCGCATCAAATTTGAATCCTGGGCCATCAGAGCCCTCGATGGGAGGGCCGAGAATCTGTTTCATGCAGTTTCCGGCGTCCACCGGAGTGAGCCGGCCTTCGAGAACAGCGCGTGTAAATTCCTGGGAGATGGTCGAGATCTCCTCTACATCTTCGTCATTTCGAGATTTGACGCCATGGTCGACTACCTCCTGGCGACCCCTTTGCTGCCAGGCAGACAAGCGCGGTTCCGTTAACACGACGTAGCTATAGTTCGAAGGGATGGGAGATCGTGGAGGAACGGGTTGAGGGACGGACGGCGTGGCGGGAACGGCAAAAGAGGCGGCCTGCGAAGAGGAACTCGATGGTCGGGCAGTCGACGGGGAAACAGGGCCGCGATAGCCGGCGGTACCTAGCTGACTGGTAGACGAATCGCGACGATCAGGATTTCGCCTCGTATTCCTGCTACCCGATGCGCGTCGGTTCTGGGATACGGCATTATCTTGGAAGTCTCTGTCGTGCTGACTGAGGGGCGTGTCCGAGGGACGGTGAGGAGCGGGTCGGTTTCCGGCAGCGTCAGATGGCCTCTCGTTTCGCTTGCGCTTGGGAGGCATCTTGATTGCGTGGTACGGGTTACTTGTGATAAAAGGGCATCGAAGGGGAGAGGGCGAAGACGAAAAGGGGCGGCTATAAGGATAGAGACGACGGTCTCATCAAGAAAGAAAGCCTCGAAGGATATCTGTGTGATGCAGAATCCCCAAGCGTCGGCCGCCACGGAAGGCCTCTAGCGACTCGCTAAGGACGACCCTGGGGCGCTAGAAGAGAAGATTATTGGTTAAATGAAGGAAGAAAAAAAAAAGGATGTGTCGGTGGTGAGAAGCGAAGACGTGAAGATTGTGGGAGCGGAGGGCAGAGGAGAGCAGACAGCCAGTCAATCTCTGTTTTGTACGACGACCACCCCTCTCTCGAATAAGCCGCTACGTATCCATGCGAATTACAGGAGACGGTGATGGGAGAGAAGGGGAATGGCGACAAGGCTGAGATGGAATGAAGTCTGTTTGATGGGAGGGTGGTCGCGTTGACGGAAGAGGCTATCGCGTGGAGGATTTGGGTCGACGCAGCCTCAAAAGCTAAGAATGAAAGAAAAGGTAAGGCTACATGCAGGCCGCCACATCTGAGTACTGAGTACCTCCGGATAACGCGGTACTGGCCGGCGAACCGAGGTGTTGAGTACTTTCAGATCGTTCAAGGGAGGCAGGCAATGTGGCCTGTGCGGAAAAGACTCTAGGTACCTAGGTACATCTCTTGGCCAGAAAAAATGGTTGATTACTAATGCCCATGTGCTTGGTATCCTATCTAGATCTAGCAGATATCTACCTACCTGCAATATGGAGTGCATCAACGATGACTCCATTCGCCCCCCCCAAAAAACCAAATCTGCCTTATATCAGATTGATAGCCATCATCAGTAGTAAATGACACACCTCTCCTACATTAAAAATATGTCGCACGAATCGAATCAGGAGGCCCAATAGCAGCCGGCTTTGAAGGATATAGGTACTTACACCCGGATTTCTAGCACACCTACGAGATAGAGGCAACATACCTACCCCTACCGAGTCGCACCTGAACCATCCCAAGGTGGTGTCCACCCCCCCCCATTCCCCCATACCATTGCTATCTCGAATCAAGCTCTTCTTTTCTCCCTCCGCCTAGAAGACCGAAAGGCAAGATGGCGTCTGAAAGCGATGCTGGCAACCAGCAAAAATACGGTCAGTCCCCAGCAGCACCTTGCATTTTATACCCTCCGTCCTCTCGATGTTAGCCTCCGCTTTCCTTCGAGTTGTCTCCGGTATAGGGCAGTGGCTGAATACATCCAAGAAAGAACTCAGCAACAACCTGAGAACCCGTTTGCAAGCCTGATTCCGGACCAGAGAATCGCCATCGTCCCGAGCTTCACTCTCGAGTCTGGCGTCACCCTGCGGAATGTGCCGGTAGCATATACCACGCGAGGCAGTCTGTCACCCGATGCAGACAATGCTATGGTGATATGCCACGCCTTGACCGGCTCGGCTGACGTCGCTGATTGGTGGGGTCCTCTGCTCGGCGGCCCCGGCCGAGCATTTGATACCTCGAGATTCTTCGTAGTCTGTATGAACAGCTTAGGCAGCCCTTATGGCACAGCGAGTCCGGTGACGGCTAAGGATGGTGACCCGAGCAATGAGAGATACGGACCCGAGTTCCCCCTCACCACGATCAGGGACGATGTGAAGTAGGTCGCGAACCCGACCAACGGCATTTTCACTTCTGACTTCAGGTAGCTTGCATAAACTGCTTTTAGACGATTTAGGGGTGCGCCAGGTAGCCGCTGTCATTGGCGGTTCTATGGGGGGCATGCTCGTCCTCGAATGGGCGTATTTCGGCAAGGACTACGTCCGGAGCATTGTGCCGATCGCCACTTCGAGTCGGCATAGCGCTTGGGGTATAAGCTGGGGCGAGGCTCAACGACAAAGCATATACGCAGACCCGAAATACGATGATGGATATTACTCCTTCTCCGACCCGCCGTCCACAGGCTTAGGGGCCGCCCGCATGTCAGCACTTCTGACTTATCGCAGCCGGAACTCCTTCGAGGCTCGGTTCGGGCGCAATATCCCGGACCCGACTAGACGCCAAACCATCCGGGAGAGGCCTCCGCCGAGCACCCCATCCGAAGCGCATTTTCATATTCACAACGACGGGCACAAGACAAAGCGGTCGTCGTGGCATAACAGCAGCGCGGACAAGCAGCAGCAACCGGCGCCCAACAGGTCCGACCCGAGTAGCGGCGACGGAGCCAACGGTGAATCGCTCGACCCTCAATTCTCGGGTCCCAAGACGGAAAGCTCGACGAAAGGAGAGTCGCTGCCGACGACGACATATTTTTCGGCCCAGTCATATCTCCGCTACCAAGGCGAGAAGTTCGTCAAGCGCTTCGACAGCAACTGCTACATCGCCATCACGAGGAAGCTAGACACGCACGACGTCTCGCGGTACCGCGCCAGCAGCGTCGCCGAGGCGCTCGCCCTCATCGAGCAGCCTACACTGGTCTTAGGGATCGAGAGCGACGGGCTCTTCACGTTCGCTGAGCAGCAGGAGCTGGCGGAACATATCAAGGGCGCTAGGCTCGAGAAGATAGACAGCCAGGAAGGCCACGACGCCTTCTTGCTGCAATTCGAGCAGGTCAACCGATACATCTTGGAATTTCTGAAGGAGACGCTACCGGACATTATGGCTCGAGAGGGCGAGCACGTGGAAGCAGCTAGCGTCGGTCAGTTGACTAAATCGAGCACCTTCGGAGAGGCTGAAGTGGAAGACATTACGGCGTGGTAGGGACGGATAGGTATAGGTACTATGAGAGGTATGTAGTCAATGCGCACCTCGTACATACATGGCCCAAACAAGATGGCCCGACAATTATTAGAACACGGCTATGTAAACCCGGGATTTGCGAGACGGACTAAACTGGGTGACTCGTACGGCGTACGGCGATTTTAAGGGACACTACTAGGGGTTTGGGACTAGCGCTTGGCAGCGCCGGGTTATGCTGGTGCTAGGATTAAGGGGGGACATACACATGGACGGGCGCCGTACCGTCCCGACTTTCTGGTTTTAAGACCGCCGATTGCGCATCAGGTTTCTCGTATGCGGCCTGCACTCCGGGCTCAACAATACGCGGTGGTTAGCATCTGCATTGATGGACATGGAGTGCTCCTCGAGAGCTGTCACGGCAATTTGTCTGGGGGAGTGGGGAAGGGAAAAGGTGTGGTTTACGTACAAGCTGGCCGTCTCGGCGAGCCTATACGTACATAGATAGGCATGCTGGCACGTTCTGGTTCGGCTTCTCTCCCTAACTAGCGCCCTGATTCCCCTCGTGGAATGTAACCATAGCCACCCGCGTTCTACAGGAACATGGATACGAGTGCTGAGGAGGCGTAGGACAAATACAGGTGAGGACGGGTTTGTCTTAACCCTCCTCCCTTCTTCGTCGCAGTTTCGGCCCGAGCGTTGTAGCGGAAAGGCAACTCGCTATCGACGAACACAAAGGTGTTCTCACACAGGGCAACGCCTATCTGAGGAACTCGCCGGTATCATATTTACGATCGGGTAGGGCACACCCCACGGGGGGGCTACCATATGCCATGTACGCATATATGCCAATGTATGCATGTAAGTACGCACAAACATACGTGTATGTATGAGTAGGCTGTGGATGGATGGATGGATGGATGGGTGGATGGGTGGATGGGTGGATGGGTGGATGGGTGGATGTCTGAGATCTCCATAGCATCCGAGCACTGGTGGGTCGCATATTCGAGCGTGCGCACTGCCACGCTCCCGCACCCTCCCCGGCGCGACGAAATAGTCTGAAGCAACATCGAGCCATATGCCCAGCCCGGGCCTTTCAGCCTCGGGGGCATTTTCCATTCCGGTGCAAAGCGGCGGCATTTTTCTCTGTCTCGCAGGTCGCAGGATGGAACGAGTCAGACTGGAGACGTGTTGGGGACGGCGGGTGGGAAGATGCTGTTAGCATTGCTCGTCGCACCCAACATCCGGCAGGGCGTCGAGGACTGACGAAAGTCGGCCAGGCACGGTCGACGAATGGTTTAGCCCACGTTGCGAGGCTCCGGCCTCTGATTGGGCTGTGCCGGCGCGGCGGGGCACCGGCCTTGCTTCTCGAAGTCGGCCGCCAAGCGCAATGGCCGCTTCCCTATTAGGCTGGAACGTAGACATAACGCTCATCTTACTCACGGTACACGGTTGGTACTTTACGTGCTCCTCGCGTAGGATCGAGGATTGACCAAAAAAAAAAAAAAGCCATTCGACGGGGACCTGAGGGAGACCAAGTTTCGCATCGGTACCGAGAGCTCGGTGGCGGGTGCGAGAGGGGAGCGCCATGTGTTATGATGTAGGCAGGCTATGCGGGTTCCATACGGTGTAGGGATGGGCATTGTTCTAGGTAGGCAGGCAGGTATTTATAAGTGACCAACCTACCGAGCGATTAGATTCTATTGCCTCTGGATTCAGGTACCTATCTCGAACGCAGGTGCGTAATTACCTAGGTACCCAGGTACTTATAGGCAAAGACACACGGCGACCACATCAGCCAACCTGATTAGGCCACACCTGCCTTTAAGCTTTCTTAAGCGGGCCGGACAGGGGGCGTGCGCTTGTGTCAACTCAGATAGCGGCTCCCCGTCATCCCTACTCCGTCGCATCATGGTCCGCGAGGGATTGCACGTACCTGATGTATGGGCACGGCTAGTAACTGGTACCTACCTAACCTCGAGGGAGCCTCCAGCGGTAGGTGCCACAAGCTGTAGGATTGTATGCACGCACGTGCATAAAGGGTTTGTATGAGGTAACCTACCTACTCGGCAGGTCCTCCTAGCTTTGGAACCCGAGGCAAGCCCGTAAGAGGCACCTCCTCCGCCAGTAGGTACCTGTGCCGAGGCTCTATGTACCTACTAGGCGCGATACCTAAAACCTACTACTAGGGAGGTACTTAGCCTTGCGGGAAAGGAAGGAGCGTAGACGTGGGTGTGAGGAAGGTACATTTTATGTACCGACACACACCCCTTCGCAGGTGCATCCCTGTCTTGTCAGCTGTCCTCCCTCCCCCCTTTCCAACCTAGGTAGTCCAGAGATCTTCCATCCACCACCCGTCTTCCGTCCCCACGTTCCTTTTGGCTTCCCCGAACGTGTGAAAGAATGCCTTATACCCGCCAACGTGTGCGCCCAAAAGCCTAGAGACCGGCGCCATTCCCTTGGCGTAAACGCAAGACGCTGGCTCGACGCATGATTCCCGCTCGATCTTCACCGAGTCGTGGCGGATCGTGAGAGTGGGCGTTGCTTGGCCACACGTACTGGCGGAACAGGTCGGGGTCGTGCTCGATCGAACCGACTAGTAGAAGGCAGACGGGCTGCTGTGGAAAGAATCCCACGTTAGCTAGCTGGCGCTCGAACCCAACCCCCACCCCCAGAGCTGCTGTGTAGGTAATCTTTCATCCCTCGCGGCCCTGGTCTGAGTAGACCAGACGTCATGGCGATGGCGATGGCGAGGCTACTGATAGCGCGATACTTACCCATTAAGTGTCTGCTCTGTCTTGGCTCTCTGCCTCGTCAGTGTGGCACATCACGCCCGCCTGTCTATTTCCAACAGTCGTGCGATGAGGCGTGGCACCAAGCCGAGAACAGGTTGGCTGCGGACAAGGAGTCAAGGGTGCTCGAGGCTGGTTTTGACTTCTACCTCCCGAGGCACGTCTCCGAGCAGAGTCTTGCGCCTCTTACATCTCCGCCCTCCAGCACTCACCTTCTGTCTCGGCACCGCATTGGACAGCGTCGGGCAGACAACATCCCAGCCGATCCCGCCTAGCTGCCCTTCCCTAGACCTCTTTAGGAGCGTCCCGAAAAGCCCATCCCGCCCACGCGATTGGGTCGACGGGTTGATGTAATACATGCCGTGCTACTCTGCATGTAGTTGGAAAACATTTAATTACCCAGGTACTTGCTGTGACGATCTTCAAGGTGCGTCAGATCAGAATCCTCCCCACACCCGAGGCCAATCCAGCGAGGCTCCCTCTACGGTCACTAACGGCCTCCTTTCGTCTGTTTGTTCGAAGTTCCCTGGCCTTCCTGTTTTACCACCTCCTTTCCTGGGACATCGGGTCCTGCTCCGTTCTACCTTCTGTATCTCGTCGCGTTTCCGTAACAGGATCGCGTCCGCGTTATAGAGACAGCCGCTGGACATTCCCGTTTCGCATAGCCTCACTCGCTCTATGTATCCACACGGTATACTTACGAAACCGCGAGCGCCATGAATGGCTTGTGATCGAGCTAGCTCTGACGCTTACACCGTTCGTAGAATCGTTATATACACGACGCGTTCCCGGAGCTGAGATCGCGATAGCGCTCGAGACCGGCGAAAGTCGCCGAACTTCCAGAAGATGGCCACGGCGGAGCCCATGACGCCGGCGGCGTACGATCGCACCTATGGAGGCAACGGGGCTTTCCATAACTTCTTCAATGATTTCAGCCATATTCAGGACCCGAACTTGAGGCGACGACTCGCGCTGAGCGAAATTGACAAGGTCCCCTTTGGCATGTATCATGTAAGGGCTGTGTTAGTAGCGGGGATAGGCTTCTTCCTAGATTCCTATGACATATTCGCCATCAATCTGGTGACGACGTTCCTCGGCGTCGTATTCTGGCATGGCGCCCCAGAAACCGCAAAGAACGGCTATGGTGGGAATTTCGGACACCTACCAACCCCCGTCAGCCAATCTCTCAAGGCCTCGACGAGTGCCGGCATCATCATCGGCCAAGTTATCTTCGGGTGGCTCGCCGACAAGTATGGCAGAAGGAGGATGTACGGAGTCGAATTAGCCATCATCGTCTTCTCGACTTTCTCCTGTAGTTTAGGTACGTGGCGATCGCCCCTCGCTAGAAGCTCGATGATGTTCAACAAATTATTTATTCGCTCCTCTATTTCCGAACAGCCTTGCTTTTGTTCCTCACCGGCGCGCCATTGTCCAAAACATTAACGTATACCGCGTAGTCGCTGCATCTCAAGCCATAAGTTTCACTGGACTGATGACATTCTGGAGGGTGATGATGGGGTAGGGTCAACAGCTTCGGCGTGTGCTATACTCTGCTAATGCCATCGATAGGATCGGTATCGGAGGCGACTACCCATTAAGTGCCGTAATCACCTCAGAGTTCGCACCAACGCGATGGCGAGGAGCCATGATGGCTGCTGTGTTCTCGATGTAGGGCTCTCCGGATCCCTGCGTACGCGCTGGATGTCTTACCTAACTTGGAAATAGGCAGGGGATAGGACAGCTACTAGCGGCCGTCACGGCGTTGGTCGTCACGGCATCGTTCAGAGACGCATTTGGAAACGCCGCTGGAGTCGATCAGTGCGATGACGTTTGTCAGACGGCAGCAGATCGCTGTTGGCGCATCATTGTGGGGGTCGGGGCCTTCCCGGCCTGCTTCGCCCTGTATTACCGTATCACGATTCCGGAGACGCCTAGATATACTTTCGAAGTCGCCAAGGACGTCGAGAAAGCCGCAGCCGACATCAAGGCATATATGGCGAGTCGATCCGAAGGAGAGGTCGACGAGATAATCCGGGCAAAGATGAAGAGGATTGCCGCCCCAGCACTCAACATACCTTCGGCATCCTGGCATGATCTCTACCTGTATTTCGCGCAGTGGAAAAATGCCAAAGTCCTGATAGGGACGACGCTATCCTGGTTCTTTCTCGTAGGTATCCGTTGCTTATTCTCGCCTTTGGTACTCTAACCCCTTGCGTAGGACCTAGCATTCTACGGCCTTGGCCTGAACAACCAGATTATATTACAGGCCATCGGCTACGCCCACGGTGACTCACTCTATCACATACTATTCAATGGTGCGGTCGGTACCATTATTCTAGTCGTGGCCGGTTCCCTACCTGGATACTGGACCGCCGTATTACTGATCGACAGTATCGGCCGCAAGACGCTGCAAATCCTTGGGTTCGTTATCCTCACTATTACTTTTTGCGTACTAGGCTTCCTTTATAATAGCCTGAGTAAGGGCGCTCTCTTAGCCCTCTATATTATCGCAAACTACTTCTTCAACTTCGGACCCAACACCACGACTTTCATCATCCCCGGAGAATGCTTTCCGACACGCTATCGCTCCTCCGGCCATGGGCTTTCGGCAGCCATGGGGAAGGTTGGTGCAATCATAGCGCAAGTTATCTCGCTACCTCTTCTCACAAAGGGCGCGCCAAACCCTTGCTCGGGTAATGAGTGTACGCCTTGGCTAGACCGGTTGATGCAGATATTCGCGTTGTTCATGCTCTGCGGGACCTTTTCGTCGTTGCTCGTGCCCGAAACGAAGGGCTACACTCTTGAGGAGCTGGCCGGTGAACCGCCTACATCTTACAACTCCGGCCGGAATGGTAGCATCATCCAACCTCCGAAGCCGCGCTGGTGGAACCCGTTCTCGGGGGGCCAGCCAGCCGGCTTCTTCTACCCTCGCGTCAACCCTAACAACCGGACCGGCATCATGACGACCCCTAATATCAGAGCTCCAGAAGCGACAAGGGATAAAAGGGGGTGGAAACTCTGGAAACACGGCCGTCATTCCGAGAGCCAAGACGGTACGGGCTATGCCGCTAGCTCTAGCTCGACGAGGAGGTTTGCGCCGTCCCGCGGGGCCACGGCGGACGCAAGTGTGCTACCTGGTTGGGGAGCCGGTTGGGGTAGGATAGATAGGGGAGGAAGCCCTCTTGCCATGGATAATATACGACTACAGGACGTGGGAAGCCTATTGAAGTGATCAACATGACTATGGGAATACATATATATGGGAATAGAATAGCAACATGAACTCAATACCGCGGATGCTTAGTACGAGCGCGGCGCATGGATATGGGAACTTTGGTGCCGCGAGACTCATTTCACAAGTCCGAAACCAAAACCGAAATATGTCGCCCTCCCCGTCCTCCTCCTTGCTACTCGAGCACCGCGAGCCTCGGACCTCGATCGCCCCGTCCAATACGCAAGCGAAACTCGTCCGGCACGCTTTCGAATCGAGATAAACCCGGTCTCTCCTTATGGAACTCGTACTGCTGGCTGCTCGGCCAGGCCCGACGACGGAAAGGCCGCTTTGGGACACGGTGGACACCATACTACTGGGGTAGGGGAAAGGGACAATTTAGGGAGCGGGGAGGCCCGGACGAATTAACTAGTAGAGCCGAAGCCGCAACTCCAGGGAACTTGAAGAGATGATTGGGGGTAAAGCGGCGTATGATTTTATTAACCAGTCTAGAGTAACAGGCCCGGCCCGCATATGAAGTTGTATCAATACTGTTGGTTGACCTTCTCTTCAACGACTTTATATGTAATACAAGGACTACCTACCTACATATGTTCCGTGGACGCCAATTCAGACCAATTCCAGGGTACATGGTGACATCGTGATAACCACGCATGCGTGTCAGTGTGTGGTTCGAGGGATATAAGCTCGCATCATAAGGATGGTATGGGGGTAGTGTTATAGACTCGATCACATAGGGGATCTGGGGGGGGGGGGAGGTTCTGCACTGAAAGTTTACCTCCACTGTTGTAGAAAATAGAATCAATGGGATATATCACCTATAGGCTGAACGAGCGAGCGATAATAAAACAAGCACAATACAATCGATACCTCCTCGTGATACCAGTGTCAGGCACAAGTACTCATACTCATATTTACTGTCGATGTCGCCAACATAGGATTCATAGATGGGTAGTTAGTAACCATTTTACCTTGTGCATTGCCACTAAATTCCTTTCTCTTCTTCTGCTACACACAATTCTTTCCGTCTATGCCAACTCCCCTCTCTCTCCCTCTCCACCCATCAACTAACTATCTGTCTTGGTGGCTCTTATCCTTCCATCTGGGCCCATCTTCACTCATGGGTTAGGGGCGTTTCCATCAAGTTTTCCTAGCGTCGGACGCGCATCGGTCACATCGCCAGCACAAACGACGCGTCTGCCGGCAGCGCAAATACGAAGCTTTCGCTCCCACACTCTCGAGCCTACCTCGAAGAGAAATCAGCCTAAGCACGAGTTCATCATCGCGCGGCCGTCACGACGAGCTCGGGAATCCCACCGCAAGATTGGCCCGCCTTGCACTAGAGCAGCTAGGCCTAGGAAGGTTACTCGGACTAGTACCACCGACTACGGGTTAGAACCTTGAACGCGCAACACCTATCCCTCGCTAAAGCTTCTTGCGGGCCCCCGCTGCTAACGCATGCCTCTCGCCGCAGCCGATGCCTACCAAGGCAGTCGCTCCCCACCACAGCCATAGGGTGCGCTGTGACGGCCTGAAGCAGAGCACTCTCCGCGGCGTGATGGATACGACGCTGCGCGTCGTGGAGACGGCGAAGTGAAAACACCAGTGGTGCCCCGGTGTGAGCGGGTCCGGCGAGGGTATGCCCGCGTCGACAAAGAGCCCAAAGTAGGTGTGCACGTGGTGCCGTCGGAGGCGCTGGACCTCGAGGGCGTAGACACGGTCCTAGCTCACTTATCCTACAACTGCTTCTCGGCCGACAGTCCCCTGGGGGGAGCCGACCCGACGCCCGAGGATGTGTCGGAAGTAATCCATCATGCCAGAGTCTTCTACCAGGTTATCAACGGGGAGACGCTTCGGGCTCTCCTCCTAGAGGCTAAGGCGACGTTCTCCGATGCCAGTCAAACCCCCCAAAACTTGAAGACAGAGTTGATTGGTCGGGCACAACTCTTGCGATCAAGCCTCAACTACGGCGGGACTATTAAAGCAAATCAGGGGATCCTCGAGCGGGCCAAAACCATCTACATGGTGCACTGAGGCGATGTTGAGGCGAAGGTACTAGATCAGATGTAGCGGCTCTAGAACTTCACCCTAAGCAACGCGTATCCCGCTTCGCATTGACAATAGAGTAGGCGAGGCAGAAGAGCGTATCGAGATGAATCTGACCGAGCTCGTGAATTTGAGTACGCTTGCTTGTGTTATGCACGCTGTGCCTCACGTTAGGGGTGTGTAGGGATGGCAGAGGATGGGAGGGTATGAATCGGGGGCTTAACGTCTGGGTATTCAAGATAGGCAAATAGAGGATATACCCTCATGGAAATGAAGAACGACGGCAAGGCTTTGCGCTGAGGCCTTGGTTTAGTATCTTACGCTGGATGTAGTAGAGCCGAGCTCCTCGGGTGAGTCAAAGCAGTACTAGCTTACAAGAATTTCCTTGTAGGGATTTCCGAACACGTCGTCCCGGGGACGAGTCCGAAGATGTTTGAGTAGAAAGTGTGTGGGGGGGTAATCAAGGCAGTTTAGTGCCGCGGCGCCGCCGTCTGTCGTATGCCGGCCAAACAGGGCGGCATGGAATTCTTCCCGTGGCCTCACGCTCGTCAGCACGCTTCCAACTGCGCTGCTCGTTCGTCCATTTTCCGCATCATAGCTGTCTCCTCATCGACCATGTCGGCATCGGCGTCGTCGTCGCCCTTAAGCACGTTCCCCTGCGCGACAACGCGCAATCCCCTGTCGGTGAGCTCGGCCTTGACCATGGCGCGAGTCACCATGCCGCGACCCCAGAGGCGCGGGGTGGCGCCGCGGCGGGCGCGGGCCCAGCCGTCGAGGCTGCGCAGCGCGAGCAAGAGGAAGCCGAGCTCCTCGCGGTCGACATCGAAGGCCTCCCACCAGTTGCAGGTGGGGACGCGGGCGCCGGGTTCGAACGCGGCCGTGTAGATGGCGGCGACGGCGAGCGCGGCCGGCTGGTGGGTCAGGTACAGCAGCTGCGGCGACAGCAGCGCCGCGTTGAGGTACGCTACGGCGCGTCCCGTCGCCGCCGACCGCGCCTCTCCCAGGAAGTCGAGCGCCTGCAGGTACGTCACCGCGAGCCCGTGCGGCACCACCGCGTGCGTATCGAACGAGAGGGCCATCAATACCCGCGGCTCGATGGCGAACACGCGGTTCCGGAAGGCCTCGTACTCCGACTCGGTGAGAAAGTCTGTGGACGGATCTGCCTCGCCACCAGCGTCGCCTTTATTGTGACCATCCATCTTTTCTCCTGCGCTGTTCTTGGTGCCTCCCTCGTCCTCGGCGTTATCCTTCTCGCCAACCCCCTCTTTTTCCTGTCCATCTCCTCTACCTGCAGTACTGCCGTCTTCGTTTGCCCCCTCCTTAATTCTCGCTATGTCTGACGGGTCGGTTTCCCTGAAGAAGGGCGAGCCAGGGGATAGTAGGTATGCGTAGACGTTGTATAGGTCGCGGATGGGTCGGGGATGGGCGCTGGGCTTGGTGATGAGGTAGAGGACCGTGGCGGAGAGGTCGCTGAATTCGTAGGCGAGCGGGCCCTCACCGACGTCGCCGCAGGAGAGCGAGAGCAGGTATCGCGCCAGCACGATACACGCCTGCGCGGTGATGGACTGTGGCAGGCCCAGCAGGATGCCGGCAGACTGCGTCAGGCACTGTGTGGCGAAGAAGATGATGTCCCGCAGGTCTTCTGGCAGAGCGCCGAGGGTCCGGCGGTACAGCTGGTCGGTCGTTGCGAGAGGATTTGAAATGTGTGTCAGCGTCTCTGCTGACATTGCTGTTGGCGTTTTTATCACCCTAAATGCGCCTCTTCGTGCTGCTTTTGCTTGATAACTGACTGGGGCTTTTTTGTCGAGGCGTGCAATACTAGTAGAGGCGAACGTCGCATGTTGAGGCTGAGAGAGAGGAGAAACTCCGTTTTTGAGGCTCAAACAGCCACTGAAAAAAAGGTGTAGGGATCGTAACCAATCGGCTGCGGGTCTCGGCAGCTGCCGAGGCCCACTCAGTAGCAGGCAGCCGCGCACTAAAGACCCCTGGATCGTACCTGCCTGCCTTACCTGGGTACCTACCTAGGATGGTTGACGGCAACTGAAGGAGCTATGGCCTGCCTACCTCCTATGTGACTGAGATGTGCCTGGCTAGTACATAGGTACTTCCGTCGAAGTGCCGTCCCATGTTGCCTTACAGGTACCTACCTCTACCTGTAGGTACCTATAAACTGCCATGGATCCCTCAGGGCCCTCCTATGACTAAAACTCCCCAGGCGACCCGTAGCCAAGATCCTCAGCCAGACCTGCTCAACTCTCAACTTCAACTCGCCTAAGTGCGTCCTGTCGCTCTGCCTACAGCCTACAACGGGTGCCTGAGGAGGCCGGCAATAATTCATCATTGCTCACCTTAGCCTCTCTTCCTGCCTGGCTCTCCGCCCTCGCTCTGCTTTAATATCCGCCTTCATGCGTCGTAGAGGGGCCGATGATACCACAGCCTTCAACGGCTGGCCGCGTTTGCGGCACGTCCTCCGTCCCCGTCGAGCCTGGCTCTCTCGCAACCTTGTCCACACCCCCCTGGCTGTTCGTTGCTTCGACCTGCCCTACACTGACGACGGGCTACTACTACATACCTATGCTGCCACGCTCCCTGGCCGTCCTAGAAGTCGCGGTACAAAGCTGCCGTAACGGTTGCTAACCGGCAGTTTTTCACCGTTGTGAGTCTTAGCATACTCGCCAATCTAGAGACGATCAGTCCGGTTCGCTGCTGAACCGTAGGTCCTCTAATGAAATCGGGTTGTGTTTTGCTAGGCCTCCTGGATATTGCCGACTTCCCCGTCGAGTAGATTTGCTCCCATACCGCCAACCAACTCGACGTCCTGGCAGGCAACTGCATATTCGGCCCTTGTTAGGTTCCCTACCGGGATGACGAGGTTCGTGGGTCGAATTTGTAATAATCCTGCGGCCGGTCCATAGCCGGCATCCGAACGTACGACCTGTTGCCCCATCTACGAGTCGGGATTTCTCCGTGGGGGTCATCAACCCTACCGGGCAGCACTCGTTCATATGTTAAGGCACTCAGATCTCCGATTCCCCGAATCCAGACCTTTCTTGCTCGGACCGCCGGCTTCGATGCCGACAGGATTCAATGCCTGGGCTGCAGTGCCTGTCCTAATTTAACCAGAGTGGCCGGCCGCCGCATGGACCTGGGCTATTGCGAAGGCCGTCGAGTAAATCGTACGTCGACGTGTATATGCGTGGCCATACTACGCGGTATAGCCAACACGCCGACCCAAAGATCCGCTGTGGTTGGTTTGTAACACTCACTCGGCTGTCTCCCTGTTTAGAGGACAGCCTCCCGCCAGTTTCGCTCCTAGGGTACTGCAGTCACTTCTGCCCCTTCGCTTCCTCTCATAACGATTTGCCCGGGGCTGTTATATCACCACAACACAATTACAGCGCATATCACGACAATTATATCTGCCGACATATGTTTTCACTAGCTCGGATTTTGGCTCATTATCATTGATCGAAGCTTGCACGGTCTTCCGCCGTGTCGTATTCGATTCGCGTACTATGTAACACCCACGGTCTCTCGATCAGCAACCCAAGTATTAATCGTATGACTCACTCGAGCGTATGAAGAATCCAATTATATTTCTATTTTTTCACCTCTTATCACTTCATCTCTATCATTATATTATCTTTTTTTTCAGCTGGTGAGCATTTGCCTCAAAAGGAACCCCGATGATGTTGCCCCTATCTGGAAGTCGAATTTTGGCCTACGAATTTGTACTCTTGCTGATTATCTTAATGCCGCATCTATGTGAGTTTCACAGTTGAGGGCACAGCATGTATAGAGTGTGTGTGTGAATATCACATGCTGTCCTAACGGTGTTTACAATAGAATTGGAGACATCGACATCGACAAAGGGCCTTGCCCAGACTAAAAGATTTATTGAAAAGAATCTTAAGACAATAAACCTGTTGAACTAGCCTTCTTTCATCGCCCATAATGTCTTGCTCTCTGCTGAATGTGGGCTACCCACTGTCGCTTGTCTTCAAAGAGAACGCAATACGGACAACAATGGAACCAGGTAGTCATATAGATATACGAATATGTATATATACGCATGAGACTCCTGCAATACTCAAGCTAGTATTAGAGATTGGACAGAACCAGAAAATACCCATACGTTTCTACAGTAAGTACCTATATCCCGAGCTAACTAGCCACCCCCATCATGTGCAACGGAACCCAGACCGAGATGTCCTGTGGACACCTCCTGACGCACTACACGCAGCGCTGCCCGAAGAAGTGCTCAGAGCTGTCTATCAAGCTCGATGAGCCGCGTGCATACCTCCCGGACACGTGTGCGCGGTGCGACCCAGAATACAACGCGTCACGCGCGCAACGCTTTTACGCCGACCGTCATGAGAAGGTTCTCGAGCAGCTATACCGTGCCATCACCGCCGCCCCGGCTTCGCCCAGCGACGGCCCTGGCACGCCCAAGAAAACAGAGCAACAACATCAGAAAGATGTCAAACGCTGCCTGGGACGCCTCGAGATCCTGCAGCGCAACGGCAATGCGGCCGTCGGGCGCGCCAGATATGGCCAGGTGCCGACGCCGGGCTCCACGGCATCGCCCGTCTACGCCGGATCCCGGGCGAAACTCGACGTCGAGTTCCCGCACAGGGGTCGCGGCGCGGAGCTGCCCCCGGGCGTGACGTGCCAATGGATACGTGGCCGGTGCATGTGGATAACGTCGGGAGAGCACATGTGGGGGAAGAGCAGATGCCGCATCAAGAGGGCGTATAGCAGCCCCGCAGCCGCCATCGCCGCCGTAGAGGGACTCCCGAGTCCCATGCCGCGCCTGGGCGCAACGCCACGGAGGGAGCGCCCAGACCCGTTCGCTAAGGCGGCCGCCGCGGTCGAGGGGCGCGAGTTCGATGACCGGCCGCCCCGGTCCCCGCGTCTCAAGAGGACCAAGCCGTACATCGGCCCCCGCGATAGCGCAGTCCCCCGCGATAGCGCAGTCGTGTTCGATGACGAATACGAGCGGCCGCCGTCGCGAGCGTACATGCGGATGCAGCGGATGCAGACGCCGCCTCGAGCGCCTTCGCGGACACGGGAGTACACTAACGAGTGGGGTCAGTATAGCGGCGGCAGCACCTCCGCGTCCCCTAAACCAAACGGAAAGCGGTATGCAGAGCCGAGTGCCGACCAAGACGACGACTGGGACAGCGATGGGATGATGCGCTCAGCCCAGCCGCTCGACAAGGGCAAGCAGCGCGAGGAACCGCAAAGGCAAGCGCTCGACAAAGGCAAGCAGCGCGAGGAGCCACCAAGGCAAGAGCTCGGCGGCATCACACACCACCATCACAGCAACAACACCAACTACGACACCGACGAGAATGACGACGACGTCGAGGACATGTGGCTGCGGCTGGGCGAGCGTCAGCCCGACGCGGTCAGGGTTAGGCCGTCCCTCCGTCGAGTGAACAAGCATCTTTAGCTGGAGCAAGTGCATGCGTGTAGGCGAAACATGTAGGTAGGTAAAGTACGGTAAGAATATGGTAAAGTAGAATATATATCACAAGCATCGTCCCCGCTCTTTCCTGAAAAGCATGTTATTCCCGGCTAAATTCGCTTTCCGTGATATTGATGTGACATGAGAACGTGTGGTCCGTCGCCAACGACCCCCTTCTCCTTCTCCGTCAGAGCCCTCCGACCTCGAATTCCTCTGGAAGGTCCATTGGACCTAGGTGGCGCGCGACGTCGGCGGGCTCGACGGCGATCTGGTCCCCCCTGGCCCGGGGGTGAGCCTGATCGCCAGGCGCGCCCCCTTTTCCCTTTCCCTTCCCCTTGGTCCCATCCTCCTTCTCGGCCCCGCGCTCCTCCCGGATCGCCCTCTTCGCCTTGTTGTACTCCCGGACGCGCGCGGTGGCGAGCTTGCCGGCGCGCCGCCGGTCCGTCGGGCACCGCAGCAGCGGCACCTGGATGATGGCGGCGAAGACCTCCAGGACCTTCTCGACGGCCACGCCGTGCCGCCGCGCCACCTCCTCGAAGGGGAACCGCTCCTGGCACGTCTCCGCCACGTCGACGATGAGGTTCGGCGACGGCTTGCGGTAGGTCGGCGGGATCAGCGCTGCCGCCGCCGCCGGTTTCGCGGGCTTCGTCGCCGCAGAATTCTCAGGTGCATGCTGCGGGCTGGCGATGCGGGCGCTTTGCTGGCCCGTATCCATTTGCCGCGTGGGGCCGGACGTGCGAGGCGGCGAGGCGGCGAATCTGCTGCTGCTGCTGATCGGCATCATCATCGGGGCGAAGCTAGGGCTGAAGGTGTGCATATTATTTGTCGGGGCCAGAGCCATCGTATGGGAGTGAAAGTGCGGGTTATACGGCTGGTGACATGGCATGTGTTGAACCGTGGGATGTGCCACGCCAGAATGCATCATGGGAACTCCTTGAGTTTTAGCATGCGTGACCTGCTGTCGCATTTTAGAACAGACTTGGCATGGCTGCCTCGTCGTACGATGCCTAGCAGTATGGTGAACTGGCCGACTGGATTCAGGAGTAGCTGAATACCCGGCTTTCGGCACCGGAGGGGGCGGCATGGCCGCACTTTTTGGATCCGCTCTCTGTTGTTCGGCTCGCATCGGGGGCAGAGTTCTCGCCTGGATGGCAGATGTGTTGAGAGCATAGAGCTGGTCAGTTGGTAGGCCGGCATCCAGCGAGCTAGGGATAATCATTTCCGGCCCGCCTAGGCGCTCATCAGCTGTCATACATGCCACAGGGGCCATATGATAGCCAGGGACGCCTGCGTGATTCTCACGGCCATCGAAACTCAGCATTTCCGACGCGATTGTTGGTGGCAATTGCTTAGGTGACAACTCTGGAGGGCTCAAGGGTCTCTGCCTACGAAAGGGCTGGTTGAAGGTAAACTTCTCCAGCGCCGGTAGCGAGACGCCCCTTAACGCACAAGTGAGTTCCATGGCGCTGAAGTCCGAAGGGAGCCCGACCATACCCGTGCTAACTCGCCTATCTGCTTCCTTAGGCTCGGTAGAAGCTGGTGTTGAAGGACTTAAGGGAGCTGTAGGTATCGTGGGGATAACAGGCTGGTGGGGTATAGGACTCGATCTCTGCTGGCTGATCTTCCGCCTCTTCACAGGCTGGGAGGAAATGAACTGAACTTCGTCGTCGTCTGATCTCTTCGACGGCGTAACCGCCAACGGGGGAACTGAAGTAGGCAGCGGGGGACATTGGCAAATATATCCATGCATGCCCATAAATTGCATGTTAGTTTGGCCTTGTGCCACGACCCCTGGGCATCGATGGAGGTAGTATCTTCTCAACGACATACAACATGGAAATATGGCATAGTAAATTGGCCGACTCTTCATGTACATATGCGAAGCTTCATGTCACCAGAGGGGAGAGAGCATAGGGTAGATTGTTGTTGGGTATTTGTATAAGCCAGGATCTACCAAGGTCAGTATCGCAAATGGGGGCGACTAAGACACGAAAAGCTCACGAAAGTCTCAAAGCCGCAAAACACTTAGACTGCATATGCTGCCAACTTGTCTCCTTTAAGAGGCGGTCACAGAGAGACGAATAAGGAAAGACACACCTGCTCCCTGTTGGGGAGCTAGGAAAGAGAGGTAACGCGAACAAGGGACACATAAAGATATCTGCACAATACTTAACACTACTGGTTACGAAGGGAAGCCTCCTGGTGGATGGGAATGTGCTCGAAAGAACTACCATAGCCGGAGGGGGGGGGGTCTATTGACAGTATGTCTACAGTGCTAACACAGTATGAACATGACCTTCATATAATGTAATACTGACGAACACTTTCTGTAAGTATTTTAACGCTTTCTACAAGTATAAGATACAGCAAAAGTCATCGTACGGGTTTTATTACAATCTAATATTAGCATTGCGATATAGTCATTCTAATAAGGTAGGTATTCATTACTTTCTCGATATCATATCAATTCGGACATAGATTCTAGCTAGACATTATATAAGACAGCCATTCTATCCTTAGAAAGAGCTACCAGATTGATATAGCGTTCGTATTATACCTATGTCGCATCCCAAGCTTAATTCGCTTTAGTATATGTCGCGTAAAACGTAGACGCCTACGATACGCTTTTGCGGTTCGTAGGCATATAAGGGCTGGATCAATTGGTATGTGACAGTATAGCTATGGAAATACTTTCAGCTGTAGTGATCCTTTCTAGGGGTAGTGATAATCCTTGACATGCTGTCCATGGACCCCCATCCCCCCGTATGGTATATAGGACTGGGCCTTGCCTAGAGCGCCTTCCAGTCCGCCTCTACGCGCAAATCCTGACCGAAGTATGGCTTAAAGGATAGGTAGCCCGCTAGGAAGGGAAGCAGGGCCCGTATATCGTCGCTTCCGATGACGTAAACCCCTGGAAGCTTAGGCGTACCGTCGATAATCTTAACGGGATAGTACCGGACGGGGATCTATTCCTCTGGCTATCGGTATTAGTCCGGTATATCGAAGTTTTCTTCGGCGATAATGGAGAGTATATTCTTTCCGTTATAGTTGTCGCTTTTATCGGGAAATTTCTTAGGGGCGACGCGGGCCTTACCGTCCTTACGTCGGGCGAGAGTTAGGGGTATGGTAGGTTAGAGATGGTAAGGCGGAATAGGTAAGTAGTACGTGGAAGGGTCCAGAAACCAAGTACCCCTGGAGCGATCGGCTGAGCCGTAGAAACCGAATACCTGGCTAACGGTATGGAAGGTCTAGAAATAAAACACCCGAGCGTGGTACGTATTAGGGGTAAGGGACGGCTAGGATATATATTATAAGAGGGATGGAGGAAAGATAGGATGAGATAGGATAAGGACCTGTTTTATATTTAGGACGAGAAGCTCGGGTATTATATTTTAGAGGTCCTAGATATCTCGCCTAGGGTATTTATTATTCGGTTACTAGGGAGGAAGGAGGAGGAGGAGGAGGAGGGGGGGAAGGTGCCGAGTGTAAAAACCTCTAAGGTCGGGTATCGTATTTCTAACCTCCCCTATACGGGACGCTCAGTCTCTGGGCCCCGACCAGGTGCGGAAGAGGAGGGGACGTCGAGTGGAAACAGCTCCAGGGCGGGTGTCGTGTTTCCGGGTTCATCTGCCGGTCCTCCAAGCTAGAGTTTATCTAGCAGCTTTAAGGCGCCCGTGATGAATCTTAGTGGGTATGGAACGTCTATATCTTGAGATGGGAGAGGTGGAAATATAATATCTGGTCCGTCGGGTATTCGTAGTTTAAGGACATACCCGGGTCCTGATGACAGTTTAGGGACTTGCTCGGGTCCATACTGAGACGTAAAAAGACCCGAGTGCTAGCGTATGCCTGTATAATTTCGACATACTCCTTCTTGGTCTCAGCGGGCTCCAACCGGTAGTTGCGCCGGATGCGAAAGGCCAGCTCGACGGGGCGCTTCAGGACTAGGTGTGGAAGAACCCCGGTTTAAAAGCCGTAAGATACGCCGTCGCCTTACTAGATCGCGTTAACATATACGTACGTCTCCGGGGCGTACTTCTCGGCGAAGCCTACTTGCCTCTATGCATTGGCGAGTTGCCCTAAGGCATACTTCGCCCGTTCTAGGGTACCCTTTGCAATGGTATCGAAGCTATAGACGCGCCTTAGATTAGGCACGTAGAATACAACTGCGAAATGAGGCTCCGAAAAGCCTTGGGCCTTGCGCCGCCGCGGATCGCTGAGATCCGTATGAATGGTTAGGACGATATAGGCGGCCGGGGACTCCGTCAGGGCCTTTTTAGTCAGGAAGTCGAAACTTCCAGATGATTGGTACCCGAGCGTCCAGGCCGGATTCTTTTCGAACACTGCCCGACCTTTGGGCAGGTTAAGCAGCGCGCCTGCGCGCTGCCCATATCTTGGGTTAGGGCTAGGGCTAGGTATCAGTCATAGCCACTTTGGTGCTACTCGCGTAAGTCGATCGTTAACGACGGAGAGATGCCTGGGCTGAGCTTCTGCTGAGATAGTTGGTTGCATATGTTCTCTTGGATTGGGACTGAGGGGACACGTGGATGGGATGTAGGTGGGTTGTGTTCCCTGCTAGGCGTTTCTACCAAAAGAAAAATGGGTGAAGAAAAAGAGGGGAAAGAATGGCGGTAAAGGGGAGACCTTAGGTAGGTAATAATAAACTGGGGTTGCAGCCCCGTGACGATCTTGCTACCGTTGTGCGTTCTGGCAGGTTCCTTTCGTAGCTCCGCTGCGTTATATATCAGGCATGAAAAGCGTGTTGAAAGGTGAACCTAGTTGATCAATTGAAGGTGTGAAAACTAAACTGCTAAAAGGCTTAAATACAGCATTTTACGAACAATTAGCTGTTGTGCGTTTTTCTTCAATCTGACCAATCGCAGGGCTCCATTCTGTATGCCTGATTGTTCAGGTGCCACACCGTACACGTTCTAAGTACGTAATGCCATAGGGCAACCAGCCACAAAGTGCACCGCCACCGCGGGGCCGACCAGTGGGCATCTCTTCTCCCCTAGGACAGGCACATCTACCTACCTACCTAGGAGCTTCCTACCTAACTGTCCAACAACCAGCAACCAATTTTGCGGATAGCCTCGACACAGCGTCGACACAAATCCTCTGCCAGCTTATTTTCAGCCTCCCTTTGTCCTCGGGCCCTCGTTTACTTCCTCCCCACACCACCACCCAGCCTCAAGATGGGATCAGCAGGGAAGAGTCCGCTGGTCTCATCGCAGCCTTCGGACTCTGGACTGCGCGTTGTCCTCCACCCCCTCGTTCTTCTCACCATCTCGGATTACATCACGCGACACACCCTACGGTCACAAGAGGGCCCGATAGTGGGCGCCCTGCTAGGCCAACAAAATGAACAAGAGATCACCATCCAACACGCCTTCGAATGTGCCACCGTAGAGCAGGACGGCGATGTCATACTGCACGCCCATTGGTTCACGCAGCGTTTGGAGCAAAGTGCGTGGTAGGCGTTCTTTGTCGTCGGGTTCGTAGCTGCTAACCGTGGCCCGCCCGGCAGTGAAAACCATATACAAGTCCCCCCAACTCGACCTGGTCGGCTGGTACACGGTGCTCCCCAAGAGCGGGCCGACCCCGGCTGTTCTGCCCATCCACAACTGGATTTCGTCGGAGCACAACGAGTCGGCGCTGCTGCTCGCCTTCCACCCCGAGGAGGCCGTGCAGCGCTCGGCGGGCAGCAAGCTGCCGCTGACGATCTACGAATCAAGCTACGAGGCCGACGAACCGCCCAAGACGGACCAGGACGACGACAAGGAGATGCGGGACGGCGAGCCGCCCCTCCCGCTGAGGTTTCGAGAGCTGCCGTACTCGGTCGAGACGGACAGGGCCGAGATGATCAGCATCGAGTACGTCGCGCGAGGCCCCGGCAACGCGACGCTCGTCCAGCCGCGGGAGCAGAAGAAGGCCGCGGCCAAGCCTGTGGCCTCCGTCTCCGCCTCCGCCGCCGACCCCAAAGGCAAGCGGCCCGCCGAGCCGGAGGCCCGGGAGAAGGGCCAGGAGCCGGACGAGCACATCCTCTCGCGCGAGGAAGAGGAGACGATCGCGGCGCTCACGGCCAAGGCCAACGCCGTCCGGACGCTGCAGTCGCGCGTGAACCTGCTGACGACGTACCTGGAGCGGCTGCCGCCGTCGTACCTGTCGCCGAACAGCGCGACGGACCTGGCGCCGGCCCAGCAGACGACGCCGTCGCACGCCGTCCTGCGCGCGATCCGGGCCCTCGTCAGCCGGCTGCCGCTGCTGGCGCCGCCCGACGCGGCCGCCTACGCGCTCGAGATGCTCCGCGAGGCCAACGACGTGCGCCTCATGGAGCTGCTCGACGGCGTCCTGCAGAGCGTCGCGGACGCCCGCGAACTCGGCAAGAAGCACCTCGTCGTCGAGGCCTCCAAGGCCCACAACAAGAAGGTCATCGACGGCCGCCCCGGCAACCTCGGCACCTTCACCTTCTCCAGCCTCTCCGGCCCCGGCGATCTCGCCATCTGACCCGTCCCAGGACTAGTGAGGCACACGGTAAGGGAGGTACGATGGGGGATGAGTAAGAGCAGGAGTACTATCCGACGGGGAAAACCACTCCGCAGTATCGTTTTCTGCATTTGCACGGCGAACGGGGCGTTGTATTCGGTAAAGCCACGGAGTTTCTTTGTTGGGCCATCGCTAGCCGGCGATCGAGGGACGACGGGCAGGTGGGCGGGGTTGTCAACAAGGCACCGAGAGTATGTTTCCAATGTTTACACTAGACCGGAAAATATGAGCCAGAGTTCACGTTAAACCCATGACAAGACTTGGGCATTAAGACTATTTGGCGGCTGCTTGGCAAGCCCAGAGTCGGAGGCGTAATGGTGTGACCTGCCTATCGCGAGAGTAAATGCGACAGATCAGAATCGCTCCAGCCTAACTACCGTCAACCCCCACAATAGGGTATAGGGCGATTTCTGCGCCTAATACGAATGCTACATACCTCCTCTGGTTCGTACAACACCAGCCAGCCCCACGGACTAACTCCCGCCTACCTAACCCTGTCATATGCTGTATCATGATGGATAGCAACGTAAGAGAAAACAAGGCAAGAAACGGATCGTTATCAGGTTCGTGAGCTGGAAAGTCGTTAATTTCTTCTCCCAGGTTGAAAGATTCCTGCTACCCCAGCTGGGCTTGGCATCCCCCCCCCCCCCCTTTCCCTCACCCATGTAACGTCTTATTTCCTGATTCTCTAAAAGCTACAGCGTAGATGGTAGTATGGTTCTAAATCGCGATGACGTCAGACCAGCAAGCTACGCTGAGTACTCGGGGTTGTGAATAAGTGGCGCGTCAGATTTCAATGACGACTTTCAGCACGAGCTTGCCGTCGCCGTCGACAGTTCTGCTAGCGAGTTCGAAAGCGTTCTTAGCGGCGTCGAGACCTTTGAACCGATGCGTTACCATGTCATCTAGACTCGGTAGGCAGAAGCCGGCTCCGCCATACCCCTGAGAAGAGAGCAACCTTATCCCGGTCGTGTAGGTGTTTGCGTATCGGAAAATCCCCAAAATATCGACTTCTCTCAGATGTGCGGCAGACATCGGGAGAGTCTGGATTGGGGTCCCCATGCCGACCATAATAACCTTACCGCCTGGCCGTGTGGCGTAGAGACTGGTGTGCATGCAAGACTCCTTGCCGGTACACTCAAATGCAATATCGACACCCTCATCTTCGTCGTCACTCCGCAAATCCGACGGCGGTCTCGTTAGAGAGAGAATCTCCGCTGCTAGACCCTTAGCGCCTTCGAGTTGGTCGTGAATAGAGTTCGGGAATGGGCTGGCTGGTGTTAGTTGGCCGAGATCCAGAGGCGTGGAGCTCCCAGAATTTGTGAGGCTGGGTGGACTGTTAGATGTCGGATGCCGAGGAGGGGGGGCAACGAATCCGTGGGTGGCAAAGCCTCTCTTCAGCGCATAGCCAACACGGCCAGCATCCACGTCAGTGATAGTAACAGATGTGCAGCCAGCTTGGCGCGCCATTGCAGCTGTCAGAAGACCAATCGTTCCAGCGCCCACGACAAGGGCTGTGGAGCCCGGGGCAGGGCTGGCACGATTTACTGCATGGATGGCAACGGACAGGGGCTCAAGGAGGGCAGCAGCATCAAAGGAGACGTGATCAGGGAGCCTATGATTGGAACCCGTCAGAGGTTGGAGCAGGCGACGAGGGGGGGGGGGGCACAGGACCTACTTATGACACCACGCTGCTGGATGATTTATCCTCTCCTGGAGAGTTCCTTGGAAGTGAGGAACGCTCTTGGCACTACTCCTGAACCTCATCTTCTTGCAGAGATTATACCTGCCTTTCCTGCAGATACCACACTGGCCACAAGGGATGCCAACTTCTAGAGCAACGCGATCGCCGACTGTGAAGCCGCTGACCTCAGGCCCAACAGCCATGACTGTGCCGGACGATTCGTGTCCCAGAGAGAGTGGAGCGCAAGCACATAGATCTCCATTGGCAAACTTCTTGTAGTAAGAAACATCTGAGCCGCAGATACCCGTAGCTTTGATAGCAATCTGTAGCTCTCCAGCGCCAGGTTCCTCGATATTTCTGACCTCCTGTTAAGTTGGTGTTAGCTTATCCCCTAAGAAGAATACCGGCATAGGCTGGCCGATGAGGAGGACAACGCATGTTGTGAAACAGTAAGACAATATTGAGGTAATTTGACTTACCAATCGCAAGTCTCGAGGCCCATGTAAGACGGAAGCGTTGATCTTACTTGAGCATTTCGAGTAGACGGGGAGCTGCATTGGCGTAATATCAACCGTTGCAGAGGGCGCCATTGCCAAGTGACAGCCAAAGACGTGGGGTGAAGAGGGATATGAACCAAAGTAGAAGAAGATGGGGTGGTCTATAGGGTTTAGGCTATGTAGCCTAGGGCCGGAGGGTGGATGCGAGTGAGGAATCTAGGGAGAGTCGAGGAGGGGGACCTAGAATACTTGAAGGCGGATAGCTCGAATATATCACTCGAAGGGCCAGATGGGAAAGGACACGCAGTCTGAGAGACCGGGACAAGTGGACCGAGCAAAATAGTTGCTTCCGCTCTGCTGACAAAGGGGGATAAATATAGGAGGTGAGAAGCGGTGACAATGAGTGGATGTAAGAGTGCAACATACCGAGAACTGAGGAAGACCCCCACCCCCTTATGTATCTGGAATAGAGAGAACGGCATGACGAGCTGCCCGTCTCGTGTCAGTTGCTATTAGCTGTTCTCGAGCAGGATTCTAGACAGAAACAGGTGCAGCCTGGGATGCATTATGTGAAATTTTCTAGGTCCAGTCAAACGTCAACGGGTTATCTTGAGAGGTACAGAGAAGACTCATAATCTCGGGAAGCCGTATGCAGGGAGCTTGCAACGATGCGACCATATCAGGTCTGGTAACGAAGACCCTTACTGGCGCTTTGGGTATAGGTGTGGTGTAACTGCGAGCGGCGACGTTTACACACTCTGTACCTATACATCCCTCTGGACCGTACTTGACTCTATACATGGACGGCGGACGTATTGGTGGAGGCTCACATCGTACACGACAGCATTGCACGAGCCGGGGCCCTGCTCGGGGCCGTCACCGCGCCAAGCCTCCTTCTACTCGTTTCACCCCATGTGAGGTGACAATTGGCAGCCCGCTAGCGATATCCCCTTACGGGAAAGAGGAGGACTCGCTGGCAGGATGATGCAGTTCCGGCTCCGTCAAAAATCAAACACGTATAGGTACTGGGAAGTTTTCCTCGTCCGGATAACGGGCGGCACACGTACCAGTACTGGCGTAAAGCGGCTCTCGAGGCGGCGAATCCGGGACTGGTTCCCTGGCATGGGGCCAGGTTGGGAGGGAAGCAGTGATAGCTTCGGGTTGGCAACCTATCCTCAAAAGAGGGCTGCTTTTGGTGGGATCGATGGCAACTCCGCCGAGACTACGCCCGACGAGGCTAGACCGCCTACGTATACCTAGGGTTATATGTTGTCTAAGTTAGAACTGACCGGGCCTTGGGCCACTCACTAAAAGAGACGGGACATATATCGCCGTGATTCTGATATTAAAATTGCTTGAGGCGATTAGGTGGCATATGGGAGGGGGGCCCCGAAGTTTTACACCAAGAACCCAGGTAGACCCGGCAAGATTCTAGTAGGAGAGGGGCGACCAGAGGACATGGGACCGGCCTGGCACATGGGATATCTACGAACAGGCGCTTTCGTGGTAGCAGAAGTTGGAACCACGAGAACGCCGGACGGCTGAGACCAAAGTGAAGAAGAAAAAAAACGAGGTACCCATCTTGGATAACTTCAAGAGAAAGAGTGGAGAGCACACCGGACTTTAGGCATCCTTAGAAACCTGCCTGAGGCGGCTATGAGGTACCTAGGTAGGTAGGTACCTCTAATCTAGGTATCTAGGTACCTAGATATCTCCTAAGGCGGTAGACATTGCCGGAAGAGATAGGAGGTAGTAGGTAGGTAGGTATACCCACTGAAATACCTTAAGCCCGCGTACCGAACCTACGTGAAATACCTACGGCACGGTCGACTTGACCGGCATATGCTCACTCCAACTGGGGATACGTAGGTACCTGCCTACCTGTACCTAACATCGGACCCGTACTCGAAGTAAAGTGAATTAAGGTACATAGGAGATACCCGAGGCACCTTACCCCAACGAGGCAATGACCTCAAGGCTTAGGTGCCTGTCGTGACCGGTGATATTGGAAGAAAGTACCTACGTGCCTACGGAGGTGGGAGGAGGTGCCTACCTGAATCGATGTACACGTATGCATAGTAGAGGTATGTAGGTACCTAACTCGATGGCTTCCATGTGAAGGAGGTTGGCGGAAGGTGGGAACGGCACATGCCCACCCAATCTCACTTCCCAAAAACAACAACCTTAAAAACTGGATGGCCTCTAAACCCGCTTGGCTGCGATTTCCTGTGGACCCGTACGGACCCTCTCTTGCCTAGCGGAAGGAGCATCGTACTTACGGACCCACCTTAGCTCTAGCAGGCAAGAAGGTCGATTAGCAAATATTATTTGGAAGTAAGTGACCGTGTGGGCCCGTCCGCCTTCCACTACCACCCAAGAAGCATCGCAACCTTTACATCACATTACGACCGCCAGTTACAGGAGCATGAGCCCGCTTAGCAACAACGTCGGCCTCGAGACGTCTGGGACCTCACGGCGGAGATGTTTCGAAGGATTAGCCTAGAAGGGGACGGACGCGTGCTCCTCGCTCGCTCGTCCATGCAGTTCCTCTCTCCCAGGGTCAGTTTTGCCGCTACCCCCGTCCTCTATCCTAACGACACTCTCGCACATGGCGACGGGGCCGGGAGCAGACGGGAGTCGCGCATAGCCTCCACCGTCCCTTGTCTGCTACGGTAGTAGCAAATCGTCGCAACGCCCGCCTAGTAGGGCCAGGGCAATACCGACTGCTCGACCTGAGGTTGCGACCTGAGATAGTGCATCTCAACAAATTCGGCCAGCCCACAAGCTCCATCGTACCTATCGGAATCCGTCGTGTCATGCCGTGTGCCTGGCCGCCACCGGCTGCTCCCCGTGCTGGCACGACATGAGTGCATTAACATCCTCTCTGTCAACATCCCGTTGTGCGGTTGTACAATACTCTCGACGCCCTAATCTTACGCCTGCCCTCCCCAAATATTTCGCCATAGAACCAGACGGAACTTGGCAGAGATATCGTTAGCCCTCCGGTTTGCCATGATCTAGCTCTAGAGGGCTACCTTATCGCGGTTGTCTTAATCCTGTTCGGAGCTTTCGTCGGTCTTTTTACATACTAATGAGATGATCAAATACTACGGTGAATCGGTAGGCCGGGTTCACGCCGATCGGCCTTATCCCTCGACGGGACATCGCTATTTCCACATCTCCAAAAGCACAGCCAATCGAGCGTTTTTCACCGGCCTTGACGGAAGCCGGAACCTCTTGTTTACTACGCGCGGTAGCATGCAGCAGATGACATGCTTCTCCATACGTACATATGGACGATGGAGTGATTCCCTCCCCAATCGAATGTTTTGGGGGGTTCCGTCCCCCTGGACACAATTGGAGAAATTGGAGAACGCGGCTCGGGCTCTCTAGCGCAGACCGTGCCGTGGGTAAATTATGCCTTGGGTTGGTCTAGGCCCAGCAATTTCCCGCCTCCGGTCGCTCTGTTCGCCCAAATTTCTGGGAAAGTTAGGTGACTCCTAGGCTCTCTTATTGTCCCCAGAGACGGATCTCCAGCGATGATTATATGAGGCTTCACGTATGCGACGCGGCAGGTCGTTCGGGAGCGATCCCGGGATCGACGTGGATAAGTTACTCGACGTCAAGTCGTGGTACCGATGGACTAGATAAAGCCCATTGGCAAGAACACGTCCGCACACCCTCTTCGAGCAATGGTGGTAGTGTGAAACCACCGCATGCCACGTCGTTGGACCGATCTCGCAGAGATTGTGATAGGTCGTGACGCAACTAGGACATATCTTCGAACGGGTTATTCGCGAAGACCAACCACGACGACGCTCTCTATGTCGGTCCGGCTTTCTGGCCTCATGGTGTGAATGGGACAGGTCCTGTCAACGATTCCAGCCGCTCGACCTGAAGATATCCATTTTAGACTAAGTGTAACGCAGCCCGGATCGCTCATATACCTACAGAGTAACATTCGACCCACGAGATTGAGCGAGTATTGTTTGGCGCCCCAGTTTTTGCCACCTTACCGGCAACAATGTCGAACTACCGCAGCCGAAATGGATGACGGGCCACTGACAAAAAAACGCCATGTGAATCTTGCCCAGCCATGATCCTATATTTCATCTAGGTAGATCATGGTCCGCACTCTCCCAGGCTCACCTAGCATATTTGGATTGCGGATACAGGTAGGTACTGCTACGAAGCCGGATTGCTTTTCGGGTCGGGCGTAAGGCATATGCATGTCGCAATTATGGCGGCATAATTCTCGAGAACGCTGCCGGGATGCCAGAGCCCCAAAAGAACTCGAAGCGAAAAAAAAAATTTAAGGCTACCGAATGCGGTAAGAAGCGACATGTCAACTACGGAGTCAACACTACCGGGTAGCTATGCGTATCTGTCAACTACCCGAGCGTGTTCTGCATACACAACCCTGTTTTCTATGTCCGAATTATGCTTAATGTTAGGTGGGTGCATGTGGATACGCAATATGTCCATGCACGTTGTTGGAGATTGATAGATCTGGATGAACGTACACGCCTATGCGCATCTGTCGCCGACGCCACTTACAAAAAAAAGGATGTGTTTTGCCGTCCTGGGTGCCAACTTTGGCTAGCCCGAACCCGCTGTTTTCGGCACCCTCGACCACCCTCTAGAAGCAGCCCCAAGCTCGGCCACTTTACAGAGCAGAAACTCCAAATGCGCACCATGGTTTAAGAAACCACAGGAGCTAGAGTCCAGGAGTCAGGCCACCCAGAGATACTGTCCTATCGTACTCCTGTCTAGAAATTCTAAGAGGAAACCTCAAGTCAGCTTGCCATAATTTGTATTTCATGTTCCTCTGCGATTTCTCCAAAGCTACTATATTAGACCTTCGTACTTCATCTTACTCCGTATACGTTGTTCAGGTACAACACCGTTACGAATCAGCCAATCACGGGGCTCCTTTCAGGGTACCCTAGGATCCACACCTATACCTAGCTCTCTACTTCTTTACTACTCGCTTACCTAACCTAGCCCCCAGCTCGCTTATCTAATATAGCTCGCAGCTCCCTGTTGTAGTAGCTGGCATCTCCTTTGCTCATTTCCTTCCTAGTTAGCTAGTCACTCAATTCAACCTCTTCTTCCCAGCTTCCAGTACTCTCACAGCAGAGCAACCTCAGCCCTTACGTAGCTCTCTCGATCTACGTAACAGGTTTACCTATGGGTGAGCCTCAACGGACCAACATTCTCGCTTATTATTTCCTACAGACCACAAACTTCCTCCTCTTGTATTTCCACAGGCTGTACCCAGTCCTTATCTCCAAATCAAGATGGATTGGCAAGATCCTCTTCGCAACCTACCCGCCAGCGCACCGCACCCCGTTCCGGAATCTGTGGCAGACTCGGAGCTGTCTTCAATCCTCAAAGACAGTAATGCCTAGTTCGAAAGCCGCTCTGCTGTGTTGAAAATACTGAAGGACCGCTACGTACCGAATGGTCCTGAGGATGACACTACCAAAGTTTTGCGCGCATTCGTGATGAAGCTGCCCAAGAGCGGTCAACTTGCTCTGACGTCAGAGATTCGTCTTTTCAAGGATGATCCGGCCAAGTTACGACAACCGCGTAACTTAGTAGATGCAATCCTCAAGCCCAGCATGCCGCCCTTCCCTCTTTCTTGGGTATCACATATAGCTAATCTGCTCTACTTTAGTGAGGGCAGCCGGTGGTAAGAATCCCAAGACGCCGATCACATCAGCGCCGCATCCGGATGCGAAATATGGCATGTCTTCAATCGAGGCTTCTTCTAGAGATGAACCCAAAAAATTGAAAGCTGACTGCTTGCGAAGAGAGGGCTATCGCTGTGCTCTCACCGGCTTGGTCGATACAGACTCAAAAGACGAAGTACTTGCCGGCCCATATATTCCCGCCCGATGTGCGCACATACTGCCGTTCGCACTTAGGAGATTCGACGAGCAAAGTGCACAAGAGGTAAAGCATCACCGTACTGTTCTCCCCCTTTCCCCCCTTTTCTCGAGCACTGACCAATTCTAACTGCTCCAGACTGAAAATAAAGCCACGATCTGGTGGGCTCTCTATCGGTATTTCCCAGATCTGAAGGGTCTGATCGGCCCCGAGAGCATCAACCAACATCAGAATGCTTTGACGATGTATATGCCCCATCATTTTGAGTTTGGACAGTTCAACCTGGCCTTTAGGTGGCGTAAGTGTGTCCAAGGCAGATTTGAATCCAAGGTTGACTTGGCTAATATACAAGAGTGTCACGTAGCAGTTGAACCAGCCCTTATATGCCTACATACCGCAAGGCGTAATGTAGGCGTCTACGTTTTACGCGACAATGGGTAAATAGAATCGATATCTCCCTCTGCCAAGCATCTTACCTGCTCGAGTCTGCACGTCGTGCCGCTAGCAAGCAGTCGCCTTAGGCACCTACGGTGTGTAGGTCCGTCGAGAGATACGCGCTGCCAAGGGACCCGGTTCTTATCGCAGCGACATGCTGCATGAACACATACCTACATATAGAGGCGCCTATCTTTTACCACGGTTCGACAGAAAAGCTCCCACTAAGAACACCCAACCAGCAGATGGTTGAATCCGGGCGTTTACGGGTAAATGCACACTAGTACATACCTCTCTACAAGCATATACCTGGATTATCCACCTGTATTGGTAGGTATATTGCCTACATGTATAGTAAATGTGCCTTCGCATGTACATTCTCCTTGCACAACATACCTTCCGTAAGTGTGTATGAATGTATGAAGATGAGGTACAGGTAGGTATCTAAGTACCGTGGAGGGTACCTACAGTCAATGGAAGGAGGAACCTCCAGTCCGCTACCTTACGTACCTACCTCTATAGTAGGTAGGTTAGGTACCTAAGCTGGTACCTATAGGCACCTAAGGTAGAGGTACCTAGATACCTATGTAGGTACTGCATAACCTAGAGGCAACTAAGGTCCCCCTAACCCTAGGTACCTAGAACCTATCCACCTATCCACTATCCACCTCTGGGAGTCTGATTGATCCCGTTGATCACCTACGTTGATCGCCTACGCATCTCCACCTACCTACCTACCTATCTATATACCAGCCTCCTACCGTGGAAGCTGATATATACACATAGGCACCTCTTACCAGTCCTGGCCTCTCCCGAAAATGTCTGCATTCGCCCAGTACATGGCCAGAGCCGCGACTACGACTACGGGTGCGCGCGCGATAATTGGTTGAATGAACAATCGCCAGCACCCACTGTTCTCCCCCAGCTCCATAAACGGTAGCGATTGCACGTAAAACCCGTTGTAGTTTCTTACTCCAACATCCTAAGCTACCTAACTCGCCCACTCTTTGGCAAGACGGGCAGTTCGCGTTTCTGGCTTCACCCCCCAAAAAGCATACTGTTAGCAGAGTCCTCTCTTATCCGGTGTATTTGCTGGCGGGTAGTACGTCAGGAAGCCCTACCAGAGTCGTTCTCATTTCGTAGAATCGAGGCCGTTTCTTGATCCCTATTGGCGCCGTCTTCGACCAGGTAGCCCGAGAGCTGCCTCTGTTATGGAAGACGCCTCCGATTGTGGTCAGAGATCGTGCCCCGGATCCTCTGCAGCTCACTGGAGCTCGATTGTGGCCGGAGGCTTTGATGTCGTGGAGTATACACAGCAACTGACGCCGTTGACCTCGTTGCAAATTTTCGTAGAGACTTGCATCAGAAAGTCCATATCAAACTTGAATGCCTCGGCCGTCATGAAATCGGTCGTCACGACAGCGCGGAGAATAATAATATAACCCTCCACACGTTTGTCGCCCTGTCCGCCAAGAGTCAACTGATAAGTCTCACCACAGGTAGAAGTGGGGGGAGGAAACAAACCATAACACCGACCACTTTACTAGTATCGCTGTAAATGTTATTAGCGATTCATCCCCTAGGGCGACGTAGAAAGAGCTATTGCTCACACTGCGGCAAATGCTTGGCTGATCTGGTTATAAAGACCGGCTTCTCTGATCATGCTGATGAAGATCTATGCGGCTAATTAGTCTCTCTCCTGCTCACTTGTGAAACCCCTCCTCTCCTGCAGAAAAGAAAGGAAAAGATGGCTCCAGAGATATAAACCAAAAGCTTACATGGTCTGCTTGCCTAGCGATCGTCACCCGCTCTAGCGTGATGTCACCTAAAATTCTGATGCCGATGCCGGGGCCGGGGAACGGGTGTCTCATGACCAACTCCTCGCTAATACCAAGCTGGCGTCCAAGTTCGCGCACTTCGTCCCTATCAGAACGGTCAGTGACAAAACATTGGCCGGGTGCATTATGGGGGACGAGCGGACTTGAATAGCTCCCGTAGAGGCTCGATAAGTTTCAGCCCGGCCCCATCTATCATTCTCTGAGGCAACCCTCCCACATTGTGGTGGGCTATACGGAGAGTCAGCAAGGGAATCGTAGAAGAGGTTACGGAAAACATACTCTTGATGGTGACTGAGGGCCCGCCTTTGTATGATATTGACTCGATCACGTCAGGGTAGAGTGTCCCTACCAACAAAAGTGTCAGCAATTTGGACAACCGAGATGTTGAGTGCAGCCTTTGCGTCACTCCGATAGATGCCCCAAACAAGTTTTGGTGTAGAAGGATAGAAGCTGAGACCCATCATCCCACCATGACACACAGAGCTGGGAATGCTTTAAAAGAGAGCGGTACCTTGGAGAAAGTATTCAATCTTCCCAGCATTGGCGGTGTTTTCTACTGTCTTCGAGTGTGTTAGCGTTTTCTCATTTTCCTGTAGCTCGGGGGGGGGGCGAAATATTGCATCTGCTGAGCTGAGATGAAGCCACGCCAAGCTACCGACGAATAAGCTGAAAACCAACCTTTTCGATTTCTATGACAGTTTCCTCGAAAACATCGATGCTTCAGAAGCAGAAATCAGCATATGACTCCATGAATAGGGGTTTACTACGGCTTAGGCTAAGCTTAGGTACCGGCGTAGAAGGGCAGACAAGAGACTATTAGAGAGCGCACTCACAAGGTATTGCCAATAAACTTGCGCTTCCGTTCCGGGTCTGTGATTCCGGAGAGACCAGCCATGAACTTCGCTGAGGCGTCGACGACGGTGAGATCGATGCCGAGGTGCTCGCCAAGCGTCTTTTTTACCTCAGCGCATTCGTTTAGTCTCATGAGACCGTGGTCCACTAGTACAGCATGACTATGCAATCCAGGAATCAGCGGACAATCGCTTAGAAGATTGAAACTGCTTGGGCGAATGCTCACAAACGATCACCGATAGCCTCCTTCATGAGTTTCGCAGCTACAGTACTGTCAACACCCCCCGACTGCGACACCTATCAGTATACCATACTACAAGGGCTGGGTATAAATTGGGAAGACGGACAACAGCGCCTAGGACGTGGCTCTTATCCCCGACCAAGTCTCGGATTCGGGTAATCTCCCGGCCGATGAACTCAGACATAGTCCAGTTGGGCTTCGCGCCGCAGATGTCAAGTGCGAAGTTACGAAGTAGTCGCTTTCCATGAGGCGTATGTCTGAAATACTCTGTAGTTAGCATCGCTCCGGGTTCGTCAACTAGGTAGGGAGACGAACGAGACCTCTGGGTGGAATTGGATCCCGAAAATTGGATCTGATTCATGCGCAATTCCAGCATAGGGTGAATTTTCAGTTGATGCAATGGTACAGAATCCGGCAGGGAGAGCGCTCAGCTTATCCCCATGGCTCATCCTGATCCAATGTTAGTGAAAAGACACTTGGCGGCGGTTGCGAGCATACGTACCAGACGTTTCCTTCTACGCCTTCGAACAGCCGATCAACCGGCGTGTTGTGGTGCTGTGCAATGATGGTTGCCTTCCCATACTCGCGTTTGTCACCGGAAACCACGTTATCGGGGGAGATACGCCATGCGATCTGTTGAAGACCCAGACAGATGCCTGCAGCATACGAGTAAACACACACTCATCTTAGGCGATGGCATAACTTCCTCTTACCAAGCAAAGGCACTCCCATCTCGAACAAGTCGGGGTCAGCGTCTTGATCATTGTTAGCATAAGCCATTGAAGGCCCAGGGTTATTCGAGCAACGAGACAAGGTGCTTACGCGGTGCATCGGCGTCATATACGCTTGCGGGCCCTACCGAGCGAGGGCAAGTTAGCCGAAGTCGTCGGAAGCATCCAGAGCCAGGACTCGGGGGAGAATGTATTAGAAGTAACGTATATGCTCGAGAAGGACGCACCGCCGGACAGGATGATTCCCTTGGGGCGGAACGGAAGGTCCTTAGCCTTCATACTAAACCCCATTTAGAACAATAGGGCGAGGACAGAGAGGTGAATTCCCTACGTGCAGGGCAGCATCTCCGAGTAGATATTCAACTCTCTCAGACGTCTTGTGATGAGATGGGTATATTGGCTAGATATGGCTTAAGTGTCAGCTTTCGTTTATCAGCTGGGTGGGCAAAGAGCCGTGACCGGAGAGAAGAAAACGAGAGCAGGCAAAGGATATCCCAACAACATGCGGCCCTTCAAGCAACGACAAAACCTAGTAGGAGATTCTTACCTGCCAAAATCGATTACCAGCAGCGTCTATGGTGCTTTCAGTTAGCCGTTGTATACATCTTCACAAAACGTCTCGCGAGCCAACGGGGCCGGCGATGTTAGCTAGGATGACCAATACCTGTCTGCACTTACATCGAAGGTCTGGTGAGGCGCGTCGGCCTGCTCTATATCCGCAGACATGATGGGGACTCTTTCTAGCCGGGGCACCAGCAGTAGGACTAAAGGCGGTATAATGAGAGGTCGTAGGAAGGATTGACTAGCAACCGGAACGGAGAGCCAACGCGACGGGGATCGCGGTAGAATGATGGTGTTTTAGAAAGATAAGGGGGAAAGTTGGTAGGGCTTCGTAAAAATTTCCACGGTAGCTGTCCCGGCGTTGTCGAGGGGTTAAGCAGGTTAGGTACCTAAGGTAGGTAGGTAGGTACCTAGGTGGGTAGGTAGCATGTACTAAACATGTCTACCTCTTAGGAGGTAACCTGCCTCACAGATACCTACCTCCTCCTTTGGTAGGAAAAGGTACCTAGGTACCTAACATTTAACCTTTCCTTAGGTAGGTACCTTAGGAAGTAGCTACTAGAGGAGGTACCCACCTACCTATCTACCTAGGTACCTCCTAGGTATCTTATGAACTTTCCTAACGTAAGGACCTTGAAGTCGATAAAGTTACCTACATGAATGTCCGTTTAATATTATCGTCAGGTCGATATGTAGGTACCTAAGGTAGCGAACCGTATAGGTACTAGACCATAGGAGGTATCTATCTGGTGTGCCTTCTTAGGGTTACCTGGGTTATGTGTAGGTACCTTAGGAGGTAGGTAGGGTATAGATGAGCTAAATAGCGAAGACTACCAAGTGGCGCTGTTAGGAATCGAACCTATCCTTCGTTGAGTAACCTACTGATCTGGTGTCTACCTGGTACCTCCTCTTGACTTTGACCCCTCCCCAGCGGGGTCCATGCATGCGGTAGGTACCTCCAAGGTGCCTGTGTGTAGGTACCTATGTACTATGTATGATGCATCTACATGTTCACCTCATCCAGGTTACTTGTTACCATTACCTTGGGTTGCCTACCTAGGTACATAACTTAGGTAGGCACCTCTAGTAATTCACCTTGGGATAGAGGGGGAGTTTCCTTCCTTCTCAATGTCCGTCAAGTACCTATAGACTGTAGGCAAGCCTGCAGATACATCCGATTCGGGATAGACTTCTGCCGATCCGGTGTGGGTTGACTGGGTGGATCCACCCCTCCCCATTGTGTTATCTTATCTGCCTCGTTTCTCCGTTAGTTCCAAAAAATTTCGCGGGCAGGAAATTCCAATTGCCTCCACCGCGCATCATTTTTTTCTCTCCCCGAGGTGTGCGCACGAGAGACAGTCTTTTTCACTTGCCATCCTCAATCCTCCTGGACACAGTTCCTAACTGGCCGCCACAATGCTGAAGGCTTCCTTACAGCGGCATGCCCGCCTGGGCAATGTCGCCGGTCGCCAATTGTCAACCTTAGCTTCGCGGCACACTCGCGCTCCGCCGTTGGGGGTCTCAGTGTGCCTCAGACTGTCGCAGGCCGAATTGCCGCTTCATCCCCTCAGACCAGTCTCCGTACGGACCTATTCCTACGCATCTACCGCAGAAACCCAGGCCGGGGCACAATCTGAGGATTCGCAAGCTCCACGTCGTGTCACTCGATTCCAGGACTTGACGAAGCTGGGAGTTCACGAGAGAATCGTTGACGCCATCACCAAGGGTATGAAGTATGATACCATGACAGAGGTCCAAACTATGACCATCAATCCCGCATTGGGCGGAGTCGATTTGTGAGTATATCCTGTTATTCTGTTCTCAGCTCTGTTCCTAATTTCTTCTCCCAGAGTCGCGCAAGCGAGGACTGGAACCGGCAAGACCTTGGGTTTTCTCGTCCCCGTTTTCCAGCGCATCTTGGCGACTGATCCCAGCCTCGCGACTCCATTTGGCCGCTCAAGACCCTCTTCGGAAGATATTCGTGCTCTCATCCTGTCGCCAACCCGAGAGTTAGCGGAGCAGATTGGCGTCGAGGCTAGGAAGTTAGCCCAACACACCGGCATCGTCGTACAAACCGCCGTCGGCGGGACCCGCAAGAGAGAAGCGCTTTGGAATATGCAGCGGCAGGGATGCCACGTACTCGTCGCGACTCCCGGCAGACTTCACGATATCCTGTCGGACCCGTCTACTCGTGTTGCGGCGCCAAACCTACAGGCATTCGTACTGGATGAGGCCGATCGCATGCTGGACGTCGGATTCTCGGAAGCTATCCAAGACATCCAAGCCCTGCTCCCACCTATTGAACAGGTTGACCGGCAGACGCTCCTATATTCCGCAACCATTCCCCGAGATGTTGTTCATCTAGCTAAGAAAATGGTCAAGACTGATAACTTCGAGTTCGTACAAACTATCGACCCGAACGAAGCCCCAACCCATGAGCGCGTTCCACAACATCTTTCGATCGTTCGCGGTTACGAGAATTGGTTCCCGGTCGTGTTGGAAATCGCGCACAAAGCACAGCAGCGGTCTCTAGAGGATCCCGAAGCCCTTCCGTTCAAGGCGATCGTCTTCTTCTCAAACACTGCCACCGTCCAGTTTGCGTTCGAAGTTTTCAGGCACACCTCACTTCGGCCCTCAGGGATGCCAGTATGGGACATGCACTCAAAACTGACCCAATCCTCACGCACCAGGAATGCCGAGTCCTTCCGCCGTGCCAAGAGTGGTATTCTCATCTCATCAGATGTCACTGCGAGAGGAATGGATTTCCCTGGTGTCTCGCACGTAATCCAGGTCGGTCTTCCGCCCGACAGGGACCAATACATCCATCGTGTTGGTCGGACAGGCCGCGCTGGAAAACCTGGTGAAGGTTGGATACTTCTAGCCGAGACGGAAATCCACGAAGCAAGATACCGCCTTAGCGGCTTGCCCATCAAGCCCAATGAAAACATTCAATCCGCTAAACACGACATTTCGAAAGAACCCCCTACCGAAATATCCCGTTATTTCGAAGAGCTATCGGTTGCGTACCAAAAAGTCCCAAAATATTACTTTAAAGATGTTTATCACGCTCTATTAAGCCAAAAATTCGGCAGGAATCTTCGGACTGAAGATGCCGTCGAACTTCTCAACAACTGGTGTATCCAAGGCCTCGGCTGGACTGAGCAGCCGGCCATATCGCAGAGGGCGGCCCAAAACCGCGGGTTGGGTAGGGTCAGGGGGATCAGAATCGGAACGGACGATTATGAGGACGAACGAAGAGAGGATGAAGGGTTCTCGGGCGGTAGGTTCGGCAGCAGCGGGTTTGGAAGATCCGGCGGTGGATTCGGAAGATCCGGCGGCGGATTTGGAAGATCTGGTGGTGGCGGATTTGGAAGATCTGGTGGTGGTGGATTCGGAAGATCTGGTGGTGGTGGATTCGGAAGATCCGACGGTGGATTTGGACGATCCGATTTCGGCCCACCTCGGGGATCGTCGTTCTAAGGACCTCTGGTAGCGCCTCGCTACGACGGGAGGAAGCGTGGATTCACCGAGTTCCGTCACTCGGTCGTATTTTCCGATGTACTACACTCACTGGACGTGCATTGCCAGCACAGCTGGGGTAGACGATGCACATAAGGATACAGAGTTGGCATGCGGCGCGCTTAGCGCGCACCGCCATGTCGACGAATCTGCATTTGCGAGAGCTCATGGGAGTCACGGTTCTCTTGCTTGCTTACTCGGTCGCGAAAAAGAGATTGATTACGGGGCGTTGGCTTGTCTATCAAGACCGCGTACGGACGCGGGCACAGACAACACGAAAATCTCGACTATTTGTATTATAGTGTAAGAAGAAACGCGATAATGCAGGTTTTTTTTTTCTTTTCGGGGAAAAAAAAGGCTTTTTTGAGTGCATGGCTGTGATGGCTTTGCAGTCTCCTAAGATCGTGACGTTGTGAACCCAGGGCAGTGTAAGGCCGCCCTGCATCGACAAGCCTCCCAAAAGACGTCTAATACCTAGGTAACGAGAGGCGAGCGTGTAGCCTCGCCGCTGTCAGGTAGGTACTTAGCTTAGGTGCCTAAGGCAGTTTTCCTGGCCTACTTGCTTGTATATGGGCATCTACGCCGTGCTTAGCATGATGTGTGAGAAGTATTGTATGGGATAGGAGGTGGATATGGACCGAGGATGTTATCCAGGCACTGCCCGAGGTACTAACGGCACTACAGTCATCCTATAATGGAATTTCGGGCTCGTCTGTATGATATTACGTTAATAGCTCTCGCTCGCTCTATATACCTACTATAGATATCTATAAATATCCGTTCCCTGGCTTATCGAACCAAGAGTTCCCTTGGTAAAGACAGTTCGCTTCACAAGAATGGCCGGTTCTTTACGAGTCCATACAAAATTCGGGCTCCACTACGTCGTATGAATACATGTATACTGCTTGAAATATAGTTGGTATCAGTAGCTAATAACCAGGCTGGTTCCCTGAACGCCTTCCAAAGCAGACTTACCAATCCCCGGGTTACAGGCCTACCGTTGACTCCTTAGAAACCACGCTGTCCGCCATTTCCTAAGTCGGCGAGGTCGCTATGTCTGTCCTTGCAACATCCTGTTGGCATCCCATAGCAGTAGCTTCTCGTCCCAACCAACCGTCGCAACCCAGCCACCAACACCGAACAAGCACCAGTCAACGCCCGTCACGAACTCGGTATGTCTGTTCATGACGCCGAGTTGGATCCCGGTCTTCACCGGCGCACTTTGCTGGGCTGCCATGGTTGACCCGTCAGTCCATAAACGTACCGTCATGTCGTAGCTGCCGCTGATTAAGATATCGCTGGCGTGCGGGCTCCATGCCAGTCTCCGAATCGCGTAATCGTGACCCATCATCACAGATGCGGGCCCCGCTGCCGGGTTCCTGATGTCGAAGGTTCGTATTACTTTATCCACACCACCGGTGGCGATCACCGTGTGGTTGTATTTGTTCCAATCGTGCGTGAGAATCTCGCCCGGCGCGATGGGAGGGGCGGGCCCCTGCGGCAAGGGGATAGAGGGCGGGGCGTGAACGGGAATCTTGGTAGTGAGGTGGTATTGGGCATTAACGGGGGTCCGGAGGTCAAATATGCGCAAATGCGAGTCGGTTGATACGGCAGAGATTATATGAGGATTGGACGGGCAGTAAGCAGTGCTGTAGGTGCAGTTCCCAACGGGGAGCGTTTTTATCGAGTCTTTCCTCGCCGGGGACCACTAGGAGAGGTCAGTTCTTTAACACCACCCCGAAGGAATGGCCGGCGAGGGTGTAGGGTCGTGGGGCCGGCACATACTATTTTGATGGTACCATCCCAAGAACTGGAGGCAAATGTGTCCTTGGTGACAGGACTCCACGCCACCGAAAACGCCTCCCGCTTGTGCTCATGGAAGTTCATAACGGGGAACTCGTTGACATTTAGGTCGAAGAGCTTTATCGAGCCATCGCCGCATGCAACAAGCAGCTGGTTCTCGTTGATTTCTGACCAGGCAAGATCGTACTGGGCATCGTTTGTGTCGAACCTAGGCAAGAAAAGTGTTACTACCTCTGACAAGCCGTATGCACCATGTATGCGGGGGATCGCCTACGTCTTCTCGACCTGGACGCCTCGCGGCCCCAGGCCGAGACAAAACACACGGCCATTTCCCACGATACCGTAGTTGGCCGCGGACGCGACGGCTATGCGCGAATCGTAATAGGGCGAGTATTTGACAGCGTACGGGTTCCAGCCAGGGGTGTGGAACTCCAGCATGGCAGCCATAGCGTCGCTGCACAAAGACCGGACCAATGGCCCATGGACGACGGCTCCAAAGGTTGCAGATGTCGTCGTGTTCAAACCCGGCAAGGCAAGGCAATTCGGAGACTTCGAGCCTTGAGACGAAGCCAAATTTAGCGGGTAAGTTGAGGACCGGAGGCCGGGAATATCATACCAATAAGTTTGTCGGTAGTGGGAGAAGTTGAAGCCTCGGCTTCGCGATAGGTTTAAGTACCTAACCTGAGGTATCCAAGGTACTTACAGGTAGGGGTAGGTGTAGGTAGGTACACCCTTTAGGAACATGTGGGGGAGCTGGTGCTACTATGTACCTATATATCCCCTCTATGACGAAAGGCCCGCAAGGACCTCACGTGTCGAGTCGAAGTTTTCAGCCAAGGAATGTCTAGGTACCTAGGTACCTAGGTTATGTAGCTAAGCATTCACGCTTACATATATATGCTGTTATACCGCGCGTTGAAAATGAGGAGTATCAGCAAATATGCCGTAACAAGCAATCGCCACGGATACATAATTCTTCCGGATAGTGATCTATAGGAGCTGGATTTTTTATTGCTACTTCGCATACGCTAGGTAGTAAAGATACAGTCACTGCCAGCGCTTCCGGGCTATCGTAGAAGCGTAACTATAGTAGTGGAGATGGAATAAATATGCACCTATACTCACACTTCATTATACCTATATTCCGTGCATGCATATACCTATGAGTAAGTAGGTACACACATAGGTAACCTACCTAGCGGTACCTAGGTAGGTATGTGAGTACCTACCTATGCAAACCGCCTGAGGCAGGTGCCTAATGCAATATGTATCTAAGCCATTTTTAGTAATGACAGCCGTAGATACCTAGGTAGGTAGGCATAATTACCTATGTGTCTACTCAGCCTACAACACATCAACACTTTTGTCTGTGCCTGTGTCTCTACTTTCCTAAGGTTGTCTGGCCTGAGCCTCAATTCCACATATTCAAACCTATCCGCCCGGGATGATGCTTCGGTATCTGCCAGCTTCAATCGGCTATGGGGTTGAATAGCGCCACTACATTAGGACATTGAAACCACCTCCCCTAAGTACCTAGGTGCCTACACCATCCGTTAGGTGGAAATTTCACACCATCGTCACAGCACGCTATGGACGCATTCTTGAAAGGAACGAAGAGGAAGCCGTCTACTACCGTGAGCTTGCCATCGGAAGATGACGAGTCGACAGACCTAAAATTAGCTATCCTCTCGTCCTTACACTCTGCCACCAGCCAGGAGGTATTGCTTGAAGCACTCTTGGCGCATGATGGTTCTGTGGAGGCAGCATCCACCTCTCTAGCCGGTGTTGGTTCAACATATCCCGTGAAGCAACGTAAAGGCGTATCTAGCCTCCAGACCTCGCTGAGATCATTCATATCCAAGCCTCTAGCTAGAGAGCGGCCCGCGTCGGCTAAGAAACCGAGGCTACTTTCCAAGAAGGGGGCGACTCTTCACCTATTTGACCCGGAAGATATATCAGAACACACTCCGTGTAGTATCATTCACAATTTTCTACCGCCCGATGAAGCCAACGATCTTCTCAGGGAAATGCTAGATGAATCTAGCTCGTTTGAGAAGATCACTTTCAAGCTATTCGACAATGTCGTCCAAAGCCCACACACCTCCAGCTTTTATGTGGGGACGCAGGCTGAGATCGACTCCCAGAAGCACGACTACTTCTACAATGGAGCTCGTTTGACCGATATCCGACATATCACGCCCCAACTTTCGCGGGTAAGGCCGCGAGTCGAGGAAGCAGTGAATAGAGAAATCCAGAACCGCATCCGGACTCGTTACCCCGGAGGAGAAAAGCTCAGATATCAGTCCCCGGGTCTATGGTCTCCAAACTGCGCCATGGTGAATTGCTACGATGGACCCCAACAGAATGTCGGTTATCATAGCGATCAACTGACCTACCTGGGCCCGCGAGCCGTGATAGGCTCGCTGTCTCTAGGAGTAACCAGAGAATTCCGCGTCAGGCGGGCCGTGCCAAAGGATTCCGACAACGACGAGACCGACGATCCTGACGCCGAAGGACAGATCTCTATACACCTCCCACATAACTCGCTCTTGGTGATGCATGCGGAGATGCAAGAGGAATGGAAGCACTGTATTGCTCCAGCTCAGACAATCGAACCTCACCCCATCGCGGGCAATCGAAGAATCAATATAACCTACCGCGACTATAAGCGGGGGTTTCACCCAAAGTACACACCGAGATGCAAATGCAGCATTCCAGCCGTTCTGAGGGTTGTCCAAAAGAAGAGAGATAATTACGGGAAGCACTTTTGGATGTGTTATGCTGGAAATGTGCCTGGTAAGGAGAACTGTTCGTTCTTTCAGTGGGCCGACTTCGACGACGACGGAAATCCTAGCTGGGATCAGTCTCGCTGTAAGAAAACTGCCCCAGATGGCAACACTTAAAGCGACAAAGCGCAGATACGATGACTCTATCAAGACGCTCGATCCACATGCAATCGCAGATACCTATTTGACGTGACAGGACCATGGCATCACAATAGCCAGGCAGCCCTTACCGTCGTTTAGATTGCATATAATGGTTGGATCAGAGCCAGGATTTTGATTCCGACGACCGCGAACTACGGCTGCCTGCAACTACGGGCCTCCGACCCCGTGCCCCTTTGATATCGATACTCTACGGCTCGACATATCGCGGTTCGATGATGTTGTAGCCGTCGAACTGTTGCACGTTCAAATCGTGAACGTCGACATCGTTGAAAACCCTCAAGTTGATCGGCTGGATAGGAAAGGAGCTCCTAATGAAGTCTGCTTGACCTTGTGGCATATTTTCGATGTCTTCTTCAGACACAGGCTGCATTAGGTTGTGCACCTGAATTCCACACGTCGTGCAAAACGACTTTCCAAATAGCCTAGTGCCAGACAGATAGACAGCGAGATTTTCCTCCCCCTCTGTCACGACTTGCTCTTTCGCAGGATAGATCCAGACGGAGCCGGTCTACGGGGGGCGCCGTGTTAGCTGCGAGCGTTTAAAACATGAGAGAAGCTCGGCACTGCCGATGCCTACCTACCCTTCCGCATATGCTACAATTGCATTCGCTGATCCTGTCTGTGAACGTCTTATCCAGCGGCTTGGATTTCAACGCAATTCTGACGGCGCCGCAGTGGCAGCTTCCCGTGTACAGCCTTCCCCCTTCTATCTCGGCCTTTGGCTCTGCGCCTGTGAACTTTGGTGGTTTGTAGGCCGGCGGCCAGGACCTGCCATCGAGCCTGGGCTCGGCAAAGGAAGCTCAGCTATCCCTGTCTTGTGTATGTTGGGTGGATTTCTTACAGCGTCTTTTCTATCGTCCACACATCGACCCCCTGGCCGTGCTGGAACGTCCGAACCTGGAACAAGGTCAGTGTTTTTACTCGCCCGCCCCACGGACGGCCAGCCAAGAGAAACTCAGTCGTACTCACATTGACGCCAGTAAGTGGTTCCGTCTCCTCTCCAGGCTTTGGGGGCTCCACAAAGCCAACGACTAGGACCTGGATCCCACAGTTGGGGCAGAACTGGATGTATGCGGGAAGTCTCACATCAGCCACAGAGCCGGCCCAATTCTGATCTTACTCGCAAACTTGCGGCGCGATGTACGGAAATAAGAGGCGCGAACCTTGTGGCTGAAGGATTTTTGGGCAAAAGAGTAGTTGGTTAGGGTCTCGGGGTCGCCCTTGACGAAACGGAAGTTCCCAGGCTTGGGCAGCGCCCAGAGACCACCTCTCTTGTAGCACATGCTACAATTACACTCGGTCAAGCTCGTTATCTCGGGTAGTTTGACTTCGTAGATGTAGGCAGCGCAGTGGCAGTTGCCCCGGTAGGTCTTGAGTTCTTCGGTCATTTTTGGCGGCTATTCGAGTTGGCAAGTCTTTTCGGGAGGAAGCTTTTGGCTGCCAGTATGGAGGATTCCAGATGGACAAAAACGAGGTCTTGGTCGATAGACGCTATTATATATGCACTGAGACAGTAGAGAGTTGGAGTAGACTCGTCCGAGACTACCGGCACACACCTACATATATATACCTATACATTACCAAGATAAGCAGACAGCATAACTGAGGGGTTTTTGACAAAAATCCTCAGTGCTTTTTATGTCCACTGTTGCCTGAAGAGGGGGTAGATAGCTTACAAACAGACGGGTTATATCTACCTACATGTAGCGGCATCGGGGAAACCCCTGGAATACCAGGTTGAGATATTACGAGAGAAACTGGGGTGTCTCGGCTCCCGGTGCATATCCTTTCCCCTTCTCTCTGTCTCCCTCTTCTTTTGGCGTAAGAAAAGGAAATCAGCATGCATGCTCAGGTGGAGTTTGAATATACGACTTGCATAGTCAGGCTGCTCCCCAAGATGGGGATGTACCCATCACCGACAGATTATGTGTGTGAGTGAATCTTCCAGGGAACCCGTGGGCTGTAGACAAATCGGAATGGGTCGCCATCCGCATTTTCCAGCGACTCGCGTCTTCACCTGAGCTGCGATTGGATCGCGTCGCGACATCAGGTGACATCGAGGCCCCCTTCTATAACATCTCGAATCCCAGCCGTCCAGAAGCGTAGGATGTGCGGATTAGGTTCGGATTGGGCGGATCTTGTCTGGGGGTATAAATAATCGATATTTATACGCCTGCCTCAAGACCCACGAATGAAGACCGATAAGCACATCCGACGTTGGAAGCGGGAAAAGGCAAAAGTCTGGGGTTACGCTTAGTGTTCCTCCTCGCAAAGCGGAGAAGAGGAGGGTGGGCTCGCCAAGTGCCTGATGCAGAGATGACCCGAGACGGGAGAGGAGCAGCCATTGAGGGCGAAGCGACGCTGACAGGTCTGGGGGGACCTGACGCGTGCATTTCTGGATTTCCCCATCGCCAGCCAGCAATTCGCTAATAGTCGATTGCCTGGTGGTCTATCGGCGATTCGTAATGTAGCGTAGCGTACTGGTCTCGATACATATCTGATCGAGAGAAGGTTGGATGAGAGAAGGCTGGGACAAATCGGGTACGATTACACGATGGCTGTAGACCCTATGGGACACCTACTATACAACAGATACGTGGAAATCTAGGTATACGGGCAAGTTGGCGATGTTATGGGTAGGTAAAAAGAGTGGAATTGGATGTGGAGGGAATGTAGGCACGTACGTAATGTTATGCATAAACCTGCGTCGTAGTATTATGCATCCTGAGCGGACCTTGGGTTTCTAATCCAAGATACCACAGGTATACACAAAAATTGCATATCTTGCAAAAGGTACCTAGGTACTATACATGACTGAGATACCCACGGTGCCGACTACCGTAGGTATCTAGGAGGTACCTAATGTAAACTCCAGCCACATCCCTCAAGGGAACTAGGTTTACGGTACCTGGGTTACCTACCCGAGGCGAGGTCCTTATCGGGCCATCTTAGGTACCTACCTCCCGGGCGCCTGTTATACACCCCATCTCGCCATGTCCGTATTATTGTATAGCGCGATGGATCGCAACCTGCCTATCATCTCCCAGCCCTTCACATGCCCAGCCACTTCCGAGCTGCCCAGTTACCAAACAGACATTTTCACCTGCAATTCTCTCTGAATGCGTTGCGACATCTCGAAGAACTCGCTGATGACGACGACGAATTAGACCGACCCGCGGGAGAGAGCTTGTCCCCTGCGAGGCGTTCTCCTCGCGAGAAACACGCATTACGAACCTTGCCTTTCCGCGCAGTCGCCTCTCATCCGACCAACCCACCCCATTCGCTCGTCCGACGGCTACATCGACTGGCCGTATCCTCGCGACGACTGTACTCGGGGAGGTCGCGGCCTACGTGTGCCAATAACGAAGGAATTACATATATGCCGATCTTGGAGGCGGACTATTGATGGTCGATGCGATTTCGCCTCGCGCCGTCTCGGACCGTACCGAATCGAACCATAATCTACCAAATTCTTCATGCCGCCTCTACATAGCCCGCGTAGCTTTGCGCGAGATCTCACCGTATCCCCCTTGCGACTACAGCTCCGACGCCTAGCCCCCCTCCGCGAGGTCTCTCTTTTCCCCAGAGCCGCGACAAATGTCAATTCGGTTCCAGAGGGGTATGGACGGACGCCCAGCGGACCCGACCCAGGGGCGGTCGTAGGCATCGTGCTCGGCTCCATCGCGGGCTTCATACTGCTGCTGTGGGTGATATACTGGTGCGTGAACTTGGGCAACCCTACGATCATCGAGGAGGGGTCGGTGACCGGGGCTTCCGCGTCCGTGGTGTCGTACCGGTCGCGACCGCGGGTGCACCGGAAGCGACGCAGCCACTACTCGCGATCGCCGCACCGGCGGGAGAAGATCGAGATCACGCGGCGCAGCATACCCATCGTCGTGCCCTCGCCGTCGGCTTCGCTGGGGCCCAACGAGATCATCGTCGAGGAGCACAGATCGAGGTCCAGAACGAGGTCGAGGTCCCGGCCTCGCTCTTTATCGAGGAGCGTGAGCCGGCCGCGGCCCGTCCATCATCACCACCGACCCCCGACCACGCCTAGCGCGCCGAGGACGATGAGCGGGGACGACGAGATCGTGGTCCTCGAGGAGCACACGCCACCGAGGCGTCGCGAGAGCAGGGGCCACAGGCGCAGGAGTAGCGGCGGAAGGTACAGAGACCCCGACACTCGCAGGTTTACGGGGGGCGAGGGGTCGTCGCGGGATAGAAGTCGGAGGCGGAGTAGCCCGAGACGGTGAACGGACGGTCTGACGACGGGATGAGAGCGTGCGAGATGAGATGAGACGCGATGAAACGAGACGAGACGAGACGAAGAAAGACGAGTACCTATAATGATCTTGGAGTGCTATCTTGAGATACGTGGCATTCGAAGCCGGAGCTGGGCGTCTGGCACATAAGAAGGAGCATTTGGTGGGGGGCGGAGTGCTTAGTCTTAAATAGTACCTTGAAGCGAGCGGTGTACGAAGAGAACGCCACTATTCTATCCTACAGCAGGCGACCTTAGGCGGGAACGTAATGTGGAGGATACTTACTAGCTAGGATGTTGACGACACAGAGGTCTAGGCAGCTTTGTTTTCTCAGCTCGGCCCCCATCTAGCGCTTCCGGGGAGATAGATCACGGGGGTAAAATCAACACGCTACCTTTCTGCGCTTATGCTGACGGAGTTTCGAGTCCGCCTTCAAAAGTGAGCGCCGGTCTCCATCCCCGCAGACCCCGAGCAAGCTGGAACTCCCCCACGCTATTCTCGGCCACCTCACCCATGGTAAGGAGGCTCTATAAAGCGCCTGTTGGTCCGCGACGTCAGTCCCTCTCAGTAGGTAGGTAGATAGACAGATACCTCAGGAAGTACCTCCCATTCTCGATGCTCCAAGAGGAGGTACCCGGGTACCTAGGTAGCTCGCCTAACCTTGCCGCTACTACATGATGACTGCATCAGGCACGTCCCAAGGAGGTATCTGACCTCCTCCGCATGTCTCACTACCATCGTCATCGTAGCCTCTCCGCTCTGACGAGCAAGCCAAACCGTTTGACTGCCTGAGGCACCAAGAAAATATGTGAAAGTCGGGGTGTACGTACCTACCTGCCCGCCCTAGGCCGTTAGCGAGGTAATTATTGTAGGTACTTACTTACCTACACGTAAGTTGATCTATCCCGCCTTCCTCCACTTATAGCTAGGTATACGAATGACATCATCACCGCAACGTGCCGGATGAGAAGCATCCTTTTCATACCTACCTGCCTACCCGCTATGCGGTTCCGTTCCTCACTTCTACCTACTAATTTCCTCTCCCACGTCCTTGTCAGTCTCGAACACAGGCTGATAAACGTGATTCCGTCTTACTGCCTCCGCCTCTCTCCTTCGACGACCCGCCAGACGACAAACCCGGCGCTATCTCGAGCTGCCCTGCCCGAATTATGGACTACCCCGAGGTCCAGATCACTCACGTCATCCGTTCCCTGGCCCAGCATTCGCTGGAAGAGCAGTCGGACACGCTGAACGACTATTTCCTGCCGGACGCCTACTTCATACACCCCTTCTGCCGCGTCCCGTCCTTCGCTGACATCGGCATTCCCTTCACCTCCCTGGCTGTGAACTCGCGTTGGTTGATCTCCCTGATATACCAGTGGTACCGCGTCCTGAGTCCCGACATCAAGCTCAGCGTCGACTCGGCCAGTGAGTTGAGCCCGCGCCGGGTGGCCACGCGTGCTGACTTGCGCAGGCTTCGACAAGGGCGCCGGTCTCCTGTACGTCACCATACGGCAGACATTTGCGCTCTGGTTTGTGCCGTTCTCGCTATGGCGGTCCAACGTGAAGCTGGTGACTGTGCTGGAGCTGCAGCGTATGCCTGTCGATAGGCACCAGAAATTGCTCAGCCGCGAGACGACACAGCCTCTGCCCGACGACGAGGGCAATCACACGCCCGCAGAGCAGACTAGGAAGTTGTACTTCATCAAGGGACAAGAGGACCACTACCAGGTAAACGAATTTATCAAGTTGGTCGCGCCTTGGGGTGCCTCACTCTTCTGGGTCGCGTGGCAACTCTGCGCAACACTCGTTTGCGCAGTCGGCGTCGCACTCTTCCGGTGGCCCGCGGCTTTGTTTAGAGAGAGAGTCCTAGGGCACGACAGCAAGGCTATTAGGAAGGGCCGATAGGGTTCTCTCCCGAGTCTAACCGTCTGACAAGTATCGAGTATACTTCGATAAACGGCGTTTCATTAAAAGCAACGCGTTCGTTCCGTGGGATATGTTGATCGGCCTAGCCATGTCATCGATTTACGCGGTCGTATACGGCGATGGCCACGACCCTCGCTACTATAATTTCGCGCGGCGTTGCAGGCTCTCCTCTTGCATCGCCATCCCCGACCCCATCTTACTAGCACTCGGGGTTACAGCAGTGTCGTAATGGCTTCGGTAAAGCTAGAGGCATTAGGAAGGGTAAATCACTACTATCTTCAATATTTAAGGCGCGAACTGGAGTAAGAACATACTGGTCATTAATACGCTAGTGATAAACGGTATATCGAGGCAGCTTTTCTGTCTCCTACTTTGGGCTCAAATGAGGTGTAGCCAGCTGAAATCTCCAAAACTGGAAGTGTGGACTTCCAGTCTCCTGGTAAAGCAGAAGAATGTTCTTATCGCTAGCATCCTGGCCTGCTATGACGAAAATACGGTCGCAAAGCGGAGGCTTTCATTTACTGACTCGGCCATTCTGGACGGGACGCCGACCAAGCAGACAAAACCCACTACATCCGATGGGACGTCACGTATCCATGTACTGCCCGCAGTAACTCGCCCGAGGGGTGCTGACTGGTATATCTAAGCCTATAGACATCGGTGGGAAATATGGTTAACAGAGGAGAGGAATAGGATAGTCTTTGCCGCACGACGAGCTTGGATTAGAAGGCACGTGCGTGAGAAGCTGTACGAGATATACCTGTCCGTACGTGCGTGATGAGCAGGAGGGCGTACCGGCGTGTCCTGGGAGTTTCCGGAAAGGCTAATAGGGGAAAAGAGGGACAGCATAGACGCAAGCTTCCGCGTAGGGGGCATTCTTGGTAGTTATTATCCGCCGAGGCGCCATCGTGTATCCCGCCTGGCGCCGCTCCGTCTCGGTTCCGGCGGTGAACCTTCTCGACTCTCACTATATGACGGTATGGCGAAGTCTTGCCAGGGGTGTAGGGGCTAAGTGGTTTCGAAAATGGAATCGTCGAACGTCCTCGTCTCTAGGCACGCGCGGACCGACTCCTCCGCCAGCCCAGGGCAGCGCTGGCGAAGGGCGGAAAAGTAGCGACGCGGGGGACGCACAAACATGACAGAAGCGTCGCGGACGACGGGGACGAGGAAAATCGGAGACACGCCCGCTTGTTTGCTACCCCCCGGTCTCCGCGGCCCGTGCCGGCCGGCAGCAAGAACAGGTTCGGGGGGCTCGTGTCTGTGTGTGGGGGGGCCAGACTGCGCCTTTCTACAGCAGCCCTCATTTCGCGATACGAAGGGGGGGGGGGGAAGGGGGTGGGGAGTACGTACAGATATTAGCCACGCGCGGGGGTCGGCGAGGAGGAAGGGAGAAGAGGAGGAGAATATAAGCCGGGCCGGGTCCTCCACCGAATGGGCTGCTTTCCGTGCGCATAACCGTGAATTTGTTGTATACGGCCGCGGCACATGACGCGGTAATAGTTAGTTAGGTTAGCCTAGAGCCCCCAGCTGGGAGCTGTGCCGGTGAGGCAAATAGCTAAGGGTAGTTTAAAAAAAAAGTATATTCAAGAGAATGCCCCGAGGTAGTTGCTCGCGGGCTGTTCATTAAATTGAAGAGAGAGAAGAAATAGCCTGTCCCACCTCTTCAAGACGGCCTCCCTCGTCCTCCCCTACCTAGTAACTTCAACCCTCTTCCCTTCTTTTCAACCCTCCTGCATGCCTCATCTAGATAACAAGACGCCGTCCATCCGGTCGGAGGGGGGTATTAAGACGTCATGGCGAGCATAGCGTAACCGGCCGGTTAGTGAAATAGGTAGGTAAATTCGCCGAGTTCGTGCGCGACTATAATGTCTCTCATCTGGTGGAAAAGGGGGAAAACGCATTATCATCATTCAACCGTTCCTCGTGCCTCGCTTGGAGTTTGGAATTTTAATATAAGCACACATCAATAAGCCGTGTTAAAAATGCCCCTATGTTCCCCCTTATCGGAACCTCTGCACGTGTCGCGTTGAAAAATTAAATCTTTCTCCCTTTTAACCCCCGCCTTGTTGGCCTCCGAAGAAGAAACCGTCGAAAAGGTCGACCTGCTGCCCGTCGCTGAAGTCGTGGTGCAGCCCCTCCCATCCCAGGCCAAAACCCATGTCCATCTGCATGTCCTGGTTCGGTATGCCGTCCGAGTTCTGCTGGTCCTGAATACCCTGCAAAAAGTCCATGCCCTGGAGGTCTGAATAGTTTATGCCCGTAAAGTTGGCTGCCGGTGACCTGAGTAAGTTGAAATTAGAGTTCCCGGTGCTTTGGGAATATTGTTGCCCGTGGCTGGACTGTGGTGTCAAGCTAGATACGGATACTGGAGAGTTGCTGTGCGTGCCAGGGGACGGTAGCAAGACGGGGTCGATAGCGGAGTTGTCGGGAATCGAAGCCCCGTCGGATAGGCTGCCCGCGCTGAGACCCGACTGCGGCATCGAGCGTAGCATCGAGTATCCGTCCTGCTCCGATTTGACATTGGGCATGGAAAGGCGGAATCCGCTGCCCTGCGCCGCTGACTGCATAGAACCCACCTGCGTGGATGCCTCGTGCGACACATAGCTCTCGTTCCCCGGCGTGTTGAACGACGAGGTGGAGCGAGAAGCTGAATGGTCTAGCGAGGCTCGCTGATGTGCTTTATGCCGGTTAGATGCCTCTCTAGCATTCACATAATCCGCTCTCTCGACGCTATTTCTGGGGCGCTTGCTTCGGTGTAACACTTGGCCAAATCCGCCGGTGGCATTTGCCATCTTGACAGTCGCTTTAGCCGTTCGATCGAAGGCGTCCCGGCAGGCTTCAGCGGGTGGGCATTTCTCGATAAGGTCGGTGAAGACCGAAGTGGCGGCCAAAATCGTGAAATCGACCTCATCCATCGTCTGGAGCCAATGTTAGTCACACACGCCCGTGTGCTCTTCTCACGTCGACACTTACCAGCCGGCTTCGGACGACATGCGAATGCCAAATGGCATAAAGGTAGGATATCCCAGCCATGAAAAGATGGTGCGTGGCCAGATACGTGTAGTTCACCAGCCCTATTAGATGCAGTTGCCGGTACAGACGTAGAATTTTCTGGCCAGCTTCGGCAACTTTAACATATACCCTTTCTTCGTCTTCCCGTAGTTCGGTGGTGTATATCGATGGGCTATTGACCTCCTTCGAGGTGTTATACTCGCTTTCAAACATGGCCGGTACGCTGAGGCTCTGTCGATAGAGCATTATGATGGCTTGCCAATAATTCAACTCGAGGAATTCGGGCGAGAAAGCAACGCCCGAGTCTTGCTTGTTGGGCGCTGAATTCTTCCACTCGTACAGCCGCCCGTCGATATTCTTCCGCCAGCTCCTGAAGGAGTCGAATCTCGATAGGAAAGGCGACGGAAGTTGCGTGTGCATATACTCGTTCCTTGTATTCTGCCCATTGAACCTTGCCATCTGCGTTTGTTGGTACTGCAATACTTGCAAGATCTCGGACTGCAGCAACCGAAGCCGAAAGTAATGTTTGGCCACAATCTTATACGTCACCTCCCCCACCGCCGGCGCCTTGGTGAAGCCCGCGGGAGTGATATAACGATCGTCTAGCATCGAAGGGAACTCGGTTGTGATCACTTGGTCAGACACGCCGAACGGTCGCCCGACACAGGCGCTGACCAGCCTGTCGAAAGAATAGGTGCACCACCAGAGCCGCCTTCGTAGGTCCCGGATATACTCTCGCCTTCCTCTTTCACGTAGATACGCCTCGCGTGCCTTCTCGCCCGCGACATCGGCGTTGGCCTTGGCGGACGCGGCGAGGTCGAACTCCACGTCCTTCCCATCTTCGTAATGGAGGCCTAAATCGACGGCTAATCTCACGGCGACGCCGACAATATACCTAGTCACTCTTGTTAATGCCCGACACGCGTCGCGAGGGGTATTTATGGGGTCGGTTGTGCGTACCATAGTCCGGGCGCGATTGGGCGAAGTAGCGCGAAGTTTGCTAATAGTAATACAGCCTGGAGCTCTTCCAACCCTCCCCCGCTATTGCTCAGGCAGGCTTCGAGATGGACGACGGCACTTGCATGGTATTCCTCCGGTTGGGCCTGTTTTTTCTCTTCACCGGCTACCTTGGTCGACGACGTCGCCTGTGCATCCATGATGATCCCACCGCCGATGGCGAAGACCATGTTGAGCATGTACAGTTCCTTCGGCCCCCTCACCCTACCTTCTTCGGTATACGCGCGCTCGAACATCTGCATGAAGTCGCCCCGGTGGAGAACGGGTATCTGAGGGTTCGCATATTCGAAGTACAATTCCACCAATTTGACCGCTAGATCCTTAGGGGGGAACTCCGCCGGCCGAATCATTGGCTTAGTATGGAGGCCGAAGAATGAGTCTCGCATCGATGTACCTGTTCCGACGGCCCCATTCGCAGCATTCAACTTGTACGGACGCACACCAGTCTTATCGGAATTCGATCTCTGGTCTCCGACAGACGACTGGACGGCGGCAAATACCACGCGCGCAAACGATATCCCATTGGCAGATCCTAGGTACCTCTGTCCGCCGCTGCCGCCGGGTTTCGTCGTCTTGCTCGGCTTCGCTATCTCTTCACTGGGCTTCGGTGGTTTCGCGCTGCTCGAGACCTCTGCGACGGGAGGGATGATTGCGGGCGCGCCATCGGCGGGAGACCTTCCGAAGCCACCGTCATTCCCGGGTCGCGAACAATACTCGAGGTTATCGGCTGGCGGAAATGGGATGTTGTTGGCGCGGAGTAGAGCCTCCAATTGATCGACGCGGGTTTCTAAGTAGAATACATAGCTGTGATGGCCATCGTATTAGCTGACCCCACGTCCAAACGAATTGAGACCACGCCGGATATGCTACGGGAGACTGACCTGCGCGGGATCTCTCTCTTCGTGATGGGATCGTATCCAACACAGGCAACCCTGGCTTTCTCGCAGCTGGCGCAGCTGGGTAACTTCTGGTCGCATCTGTTCTTGCGCAGGCGACACCGGTTGCATGCGCTGACGTTGCGGAAGCTACTGGCTTGGCCGAGTTTGGAGCCTTGGCCGGGGCCATCGTGGGACGAAGTTTCGGTGGTGGGAGAGACGGGAGCTCCATTTCCAGACGAAGGCGAATCTTTATCGGGAGAGGAAGCGCGCTGACGTTTCGAAGGATGGGGATCGGGCGACGGCGGCGAGTGTGGCGGCATGTTTCCCGAGTCCATCTGCAGGCAAATGTCGGACTTCGCAGAAAGCCGTCAGAAGAAGTCCTCTGACTACCCACAGGAGGCGGGGACGAAGTGTGTTGGGTTGCGGCCAACCACGGCGGCTCGCGAAATTCTCGGCTAGGCGGCTACTCGTAAGAATCCTATGTCCCCCGCTCCATCTCCGAGCTCGAGTCGGCCGCGTGAAATGCTCAAGCAGGCGAGCTGCCAAATAACGCTAGACGCGATAACAGCAGAGGACGAGATAGGCGGAGACACGGAGACGGGTAGATGGAGATAGAGATGGAGAGATGGAGAAAGAAAAAAAAGAAAGCCGGGGAACGATCGTATAGAATGTTGGAATTGAAATCTATCAAGACTATGGCAATGCGCGAGCGGTCATCTCATTGATTGAGATAGAGAATCCAAGGTTACGAAGCAAGGCTTGGAGACGGCCGAGAAAAGTTGACCGCAGCAACGTGCTAGGTGGGCTTCGGCGGGATAGACGGCGGAGGCAGGGGAGGGTGGAGGTTGCACGCGGATTGGCAGATTGGGTAAGCTCCATATATGCCGCGGGTCTGGACGGAGGAAACACTCCAGCTGACGCAGACCTGGGGACGGCCTTTACGCCCTCAACGTCACCGTCACGGCCGGGTTACAAGAGCAAATGGGCAGCGCGAGCAGACGACGCAGGCAAAGGAAGCGTGTGTACGTACTAGGAGGCAGGGCAATTGGAGCTCTGATGGTTGGGGGAGAGAGAGAGGGGGAGGGGAAGGGGGGGCATCGTAGGTGGTTGTAGATAGGAAGTTGACGAGAGTGTACGGTGGCCCTTTTTTTTTTTCCTCTCTCCTTCCCTCCTCACTAGCAAGCTTGCAGGTAGTTTGCCTTATGGTTTTAGGGTGGGTGCTACCTACCTGAGGGTAGGTGGGGGAGATGGTCTTGGTAGGCACGGGTTGCAACTGTGTTGGCCGCGGCTGGAACCCTGTGCTGCTAAGTACACCGCCGGAGCAGCTCTGATGCACTGCACGTATAACCGTAGGTATACTACACATACATACCTACCTGTAGGTAGGTAGGTAGGAACCTACACGTAGATAGGCGCCTACCAAAGATGTACCTACCTCCCGTCTACCTAAGGCACATAATACATACGACCTATCCGCTCCTGCGGAGGCAAGAAGATACCTAGGTATCTATCTAGGTATATGTACCTGCTTAAGGGAAGCTGGGTAATTAGGTACATGTAGCTCTGGCCTGCCCTGTCACCGTCACCCGCTAGGGGCTGTCCCCCCACATTTCGTCTCACACGCCTGCCCCGTTTCGACTTCCAGAAGCGACCTAAAGCCAGCCGCGATCCAATCAGCTGCCGGCTGCCACCCGCCCACCACTTTCCGTCTTCAGAGAATGGCTGCTGCCCGTTCGGTTGGTCGTTGTTCTCCTTCTCCTCTCGCACCATGTACCTACCTAGGTGATGTGTATCCCCTGGCTGGTATGGAGGCAGGTATGGAGGCAGGTCGAATGGCACTTTCCACTTTCCGATCTTGTCAGCGACGCTACTACCTTACGCTGCACGAGTCGCCCAGGCCCGGCAGGTGCGTTGGAGAGAGAGAGGGGAGACGGGGGACGGGAGTTTGGATTCCCGCTTTCTTCCCAGGCCAGGGGTACCTAAAAGTGGGTCGGCCCGAGATGCCGTCGCATTGAGGAGAAGCCGTCGACGTCGATAACTAATCACACTTGCTGCCGCAGACATCCTCTGGCGGATGGCTCCGCTGTCGGGATTCGTCTAGGATAACCCATACAATTCTGCCCGACCGACACACACGCCGAGAGCCCTACCCGTACGCGCTCGCCTGGCCGACTTCTGCGTCTCCTCGCCTCGGAACCCGATCTTAGTCGTCGAGCATAACGCCGGTGACGTAGGTTGACCCCCGCCCGTCCCGCCGCCTCCGCCCTCGTCCGACTTCCGCTCGCTCTCCACCGCGTCCCGCGCCCGGTCTGCCGGTTCAGCCGCCGCGAGAAATATCTTGGGGTCTCGGGAGCGCGAACGGGGGGCTCACCCTGGTCGAGTCCGGGAGGAAATATCATCTCCGACGCGGTTCCGGGCGGAGGCGCCGACGCCACCGCCCAGCATATCCAGGCTTGGCTGCGGAGCGCGCTCCGTCGCCGACGCCATCCCACTCCTGAGCAGGTGTGCGTCGTGGGGAACTTGCCGTGGCCCGGCCGCCTGCCTGTGCCGCACCGCTCCGTATACCTCGCCACGGGAACACCGGGTTTGTGCTCGCCTCTTCCGACATCTGCGATGCTGCTTTAACAGCATTTCTAGGGAGCCATTCTAGGCAGGCGTATCCGTCTGTGCCCGGCTAACGAAATAGGGACGTCTATTATACCTATACGTATTATAGGTATAGGTAGCGTTTAGATCCTCTCAGCCAATCTCACCCCCTTCCCCCCCACACCCGGAAACAGCACCGGAAGCGTCAGCGACGAAGCAAACCGCCGACTGTCTGTAACGCTACGTCAGCGGATAGATGCCGAGTCGTGCGACTGGCGAGGGGGTAGGACGGAACTGGATAGCCGAGCTGCGCTGACGTATTCGAGACGCTGTTCCGCTCGAAATGCCGCCGAATCGGGCATGTCGGTAAACCAACCAAGGTTAACTCATCTCCTTGTACATACGAGCTTCGACCTATCTAAGCCATCCTCTCTCGTATCTCGCAGGGTAAGACACCAACAGGCAGCGTGTCCTGGTGGGAAAATAGGCGATCATCACCCCACAAGATGCGTACACGGCATAGGATCAATACCACCAGGTCCAATATGTATGCTAGCCACCCATGTAGCCTATATATCCTAGATCCTACTCCTACGTCCTGGCATCGCCCTAACATCGCCGCACTATAGGTCGCATTGTAGGCATCATGTAAGACCGTCGAACCAGCATCACATCAACCCCGTTCGTATACGCGGCTTACGATTCCCGTCCCCTAGCATATGCGCGTTTCTGTCGGTGGACGTCCTGTTTATGTTAGGCAAGACTTGCCGAAGAAATGTTAGATCCTGTTAGTTTCCAGCACTATACCCGCGTATACATGACTTGGGCAACCAGGGGAGAAGGTCTTGTTACCCACGGATTCACCGATGAATTCGAGGAGCGAATAAACAATGTAACCCGAGAAGGATGTAAGGCCAGCCAAAATAATAAAACACAAATCCCGATTGAATGACCGGCTTCGTCTCTAATAAGACGCCTTGTTCCCCAGTCCTGTCTATCAGTCCGCGCCCTGCCCTCTTTTGATACATTCCCCTCCAAAACCTGAAACCCGGTCTACTATACCCAGATAACACTCCCAACAGATGATAAGCAACGATGTCGTGTCCAACGCCTGAGTCCTCCTTTCTCGGGATGATGCGGATAAAATATTATAAGCCCTCAGTCGTAGCGGTGGGTAGGTGTTTCCCGGCCGTCCCGTTCCCAGTTGTCCCCACCTCCGTCCCAAGCACACGAATAGGATTCGATTTTTTTCGTGTTAATGTTTTCGTTTCGTTTCTTCAGATGGTGAAAAAAAAACTCCTTTGCTCCGGTAGTCCCCCCGAGACCTGGTTTTTTTTTTGGTGACACTGTACAGAGGTATCGTAGCATTCCCTTTCCCTACTTCTTCAGGAACAGAGATGGATCTAGTTGCCCAAACCAGTCTATGTAGTAAGTAAATGAACTTTTCTCTTTCCCTCAACCAGACGGAATCGACGACGTGAAGCGAAAGAAAAAAAGGTGACCGAGAATAATCCTGGGCTGAGAGAAATAACTAGTCATTAAATGTCGTAACTTGAATGCTCCAAGGCTCCACATGCCGAAATCTGGGTTCTCGCAGAATAATAGTAACTTCGAAATTGGACCGCGGATGAATTAGTCATTAGCTGTCTATGCCCCTGACGTAGATGTAACTTCTCGGCTGCCGGTCTGATTCGTATCTAGTTGGTTAGCTTCCGCATCAGCAGCCAACCTGGCCTTATCCTCCGTGCGACTTTGTGGTTCTCGAATCTGAAGTCCGACGAGCGCGCCGCTGATGGCCACCAGCGCACTGCACCACCACGCGAGGCCCGAGTAGCCGGATTGTAAGCCGACAGAGTAGAGAATCCCCGAGATGGTGGGCCCAAATGCTCGGCATAGACTCGCCGTCGACGCCGCAACGCCGTTGATGGTGCCTAGTGCCAGAGGGCTTGGCGCTGAGTCGGCAGTCAGGATGGCGTTGCTCGGGTACGCCATGCTCGCAAACGTGCACTTCCATATCAGGATTATCGCGACACCCGTCATGCGGTACTCCTCGGGCAAGAGCACCAGATACGGCGTGACCAAATAGAGCAGGAAATAGACAATCACCAAGAAGCGGAAGAGCTGTCGCGCGCCGAAGCGCTTGAGCACCGGCGGAATTATGAACATGTTGACGGCCAACTGGTAAGCCCCTTGGGCGCTCAGGATGATGCCGACCGCCTGGCTGTCGAGTCCGAAGCCGTCGACAAATTTGAAAGGCAGAGATATCGGGCGCCGGTGCTCCGGAGGCGCGGTGCTTAGAAACACGGGGAATAGCTGATCGAAGGTCATCGTGTGGCTATGATGACAAGTTAGTTGGGGCGAGCCTACAGACTCAGAACCGAGGAGAGGAGGGAAGAGGCGACTTACAAGGCCAGAATACCAAATGACACGATATTGATAACCACCGGTCGGGTGAATATCCTCGAAATTCCGAGGTTCGATTCCTCGCTTCTGCGTTCCAGGTCTAACTCGTCCCATGATACGGAAGGGACGGATGCTGATCTTAGCCGTGGCGAACTATCCGGCGAGCTCTCGTTCGTTCGATACCCAGGTAGCTGTTCGTCATGGTCAAGAAGCGGCTGCTCTTCGATTACGGAAAACTTGGACTTCTCGTCTCGTGGTTCGGCGCAGCCTCGGAAGTTCGGCAATGCCGATAGAATCCAATTTCCGAGCTCTAGCCCTCGATCCGGCCGCGACTTCATCTCGACGTGGGTCTCTTCGAGAAACAAAATCCCGTTGATAACTCCGACGAGGACGACGAAGGCGCTGAAGAGATTGGGAAGCAGGTACGGGTATTTATCCCAGATGCTCCCCGCCGGAAACAGGCTCGGATAGCTGATACACGGCCGGGCGAGCGCGCCGCCGATCATCGGACCGACGATGGAGCTAGTAGGCGGTTAGATGGAACGACATAGACAACGCAACTGCCTCCCCCGGCGAGTGTTGACTAACCCCAAACACCACACAACCGGCATTATAGTATAAGCCCGAGCTGGAAAACAGTTAATTTCTACCGGTTTTCAAGCAAGCCATGCGGCGGTAGCCAGCTAACTCACGCTGATGCTCTTTCGTGGTTATCAATTCCGCTACCGTTGTCTGAAGAACTCCCATGTTCCTAGCGCGCCACGGTTAGCTCACGGCCCCGGAAATAGATAGGGACTGCTTTCCGCCGTACCCGTTCAGCAAGCCTCCGACGGCTCGGGCGATGAGAGCGACGGTCAAGTTAGAGGCAAAGCCGAATATCAAGACACTCAGCGCCGTGCCGATGAGGCCCGTGAGCAAGACCGGCTTCCTGCCAACCTTGTCACTGAGCCGTCCCCACAGGAGACCGGTGGAGAACTCGGCAAAGGTGAAAGCGGACGTGACCATGCCAGCGTAAAAGGAGATCCTGCTCTTGTCCTCGGTGACGTGGAAGTCTTCAATCATAAAGTAGATATATGGGAAGATCCCCATAAATGCGATTGGCTCGCATATCCGGCAGATCGCTAGGTGACAGCCCCCCGTCAGCTTGGGATCCCTCAGCAGGGCGTGTTACGAAAGTCATACCTAGAACTAGCATCTGTCGAGCCGGGAATGGCGGGGGGTTGTCGCTATGGCTGCCCTTCGAAGGGTGGGTGCCCTTTACAAACGAACTATTATGATTCCTCATGATACCGGCGGTTCCGTTGATAGTTTCGGGTTACATGAAAAGATATCCGGGAGGACGACAACGAGATAACTGCTAATAATAATAAAAAAGTGTGTTCCTAGTCCCGGATGCGGTATGGAGACCCCCGGAGTCGAGGAAACTATTTGGGCAGGTTGGTGATATAAAACTAAGGTTCTCCCCGGGACCCTCTTCACATGGGATAGGAACCTCGGGCCGCCTAGAGCGTTTTAAGCGTGCAAGAAGAGAATGGAGTGCCGGAGGGGTTTGAGAGGGGAGAAGAAACTCAGGACGACAGTAGACGGAAGAGCCAGGGCAGCAGATTAATAAGAGCAACTTCGTCAAGGTGCCACTGCCGAGTTGGTTAAGACCGGACAAGAGGCTGTGTGTGTAGAGTGAGATAAGCTGCAGACCGGAAGGCAAAGGATAATAATAAGAATAATCAGCTTGGCATGGGGAGGAGGACAGAGAGACACATGAGAGTTGAAGAACCCAACCCGAACTAGTGGACGTATCCATGGCGGGAGACGGATATTAAGTCATTTAATATTGGAACCAGCGGTGACAGCTAGGGCGAAAAGCAAAAGGTACGAGAGCGAGAGAGAGAGAGAGAGAGAGAGAGAGAGAAGCGAGAGAGACAGCGAGAGAGAGCGCGTGCGTGTGCGTGTGTGCGTGTGCGAGTGTACAATGGATGATCCTTCCAACGGTGCCAGGTGTAACGCGGCGATGGTCTCACAAGGTATGGAGTCCCAACTTCGTGGAAACAACTCTGCCATGGAGGCCAGAAGTGGACTTGCACTCGGTGGAGACCACGATCCCATGCTCGCTCGAGGCGGCACGGGGTATACGATGACATGTACCCGCGAATGAGAAAAGTCGGGACTGGGTTCTCTGGAGCCTTACGAGTTGCATAGGGAGGAGAGGGTGCAGCCCGACTCGAATGACCACGCGGGTCGCGGAAACACCTCGACCGGGATGGGCTGCACGCATTTCTGGCCGGCGGTTGAGGAGGAGAGGCGAAGGAAAAGGCAGGTAACTCGGTACACGATAGATCCCTGCCGGCTCTTGGCGGAGCCCCTCGAGCATCTGGGATGATGCATGGCTCGCTCTGACAGGCAAGGCCAGGGGGGGGGGGGAGGGGGAGGGAGGGAGGGGAGGGAAGGGGGGTGAAGCTACCCAGCAAGCTACCCAGCCAGGGCTTGCCGGTGCCTCCTCGCCAGGTCAGAAAACAGAGAATCAAAAGGGCTGTGAACCTTTCCCCGTTGGGTTTAAGCCCTCCAATAATAAGCTGGCCGGTGGTGAGCATCGGGTTCATTGGCAATTTCACCACACACCAAAAGCTGAACGGTGGAGCCGCCGAGGATCTGAGCGAATGGGCCGGACACGACAGTTGCAAGAGACGTCAGTCCTCTCTGGTAGTCAAGCGGTGAAGCGTTATCCACAGTCCTTCCTGGCTGCTGCTCGCCGTCTCTTCTCTCGCTCGCCCACGAGGCTTCGAGTATTTTGGACGGAAAAATCGGGTACGGGACCCCCAAAGGCACGCCGTGGCGGCGGGATTGGGCAACGGAAATAGCACAACCGGGGTATTTAGAGATGAACCGAATGGCCGGTACGGGGACTGTGTGAAGGTGGTGTCGCCCATGACGCAGATTGTGCAGGACGAGAAAAGCTTCAGCCCAGCACGCCAAGACTCCTCATCCTTCTCCTTCTGTCTCTCTCTTCCTGTCTCTTCCTGTCTGTCTGTTCCTCTCTCTCTCTATGCCTCTCTTCCTCTCTGTCCCCCCCCCTCTCTTTCTCTCTATGAATATCTCTCTCTTTCTCTCTCTCGTGTCCTTCTCTCACTGTCTCTCCCCCCCCTCGCCTCCCTTCTCTTCGTTGACCGCATGCTGCATGCGCTGCGAATAGCCGAGAATAACCCGCTCCACAGCTACAACGAGATGAGATTTTCGTGTTGGCACAGGAGGGCGGAGTGGCGTGCGGGACGCAACACACACACACACACCACACACCACACGCACGCACGCACGCAGGCGCACACACACGCTACACCCACGAAATCGGGATATGATCCCCGTCCCATCTCATGCGTGCATGTTGTGCCACGCCCGGTAGTTAGCGGATTTGCCGCGCCCGGTTATATTTTGCTGGTCTTGAAACCTCGCTTCAGCCAGTCTTGTGCTCGCCGGTTTGCCGTCTTGTAAGTGGCCTCGTCACCTTGACGGGAAAGGGATGGATGGGACGGGGCTACCCTGTCCCCAGGTACCTCGCTTCTCACCCTCTCATACCCCTGCCAAACGTACCTGCCTAATGAATCCATGTACCGAGGGCACCGAATTGAGGAGGAGGCGTACCTCCTCGATGTCATGATGGGCACTTTGAGGTACTTCTAGAGGCAGGTATCTGAGATGTACCTCATATGCCCACCAATGATCAACCTCGCACATACCTACCTGTGTGTGTGTGGATGTGTGAGGTTGACGGACGCCCGGAGGCAATGCGGGTGGGTGTATATACATACTAGGTAGGTACCCAGTACCTGCGTAAGTACCTATGTATGTATGTGCATGCACGTACCTAGAGGTAGGTATGTGTGTACATAGGTACGCACCGCCTTATGCATGGAGAGTTATGCATACATGCAAGCACCAACCGAACCTAACCTGCCCGTTCCTTATCTCGAAGAGCGCGAGGGGCGAGGCAGGAGAAGGGCGAGACCGGATCAGGACAGACGATGTCGTTATCTAACGGTGGTTGCTCCGAGGCAAATGCAACCACAGCTCCCCACAGGATGTAGGTACATATTACAATGTACAGTCAGTCCGTCTTATCCATGTGCATTAGGTCCGTATTCTAATCGTGTTTTTTTTTTCGTCTCCTCCTCGAAATGACCGATTCTCCTATCGACGATCAGGCGCCGCGATCCTCGCCTAACACGATGCTGGGACGATGACGGTCGAATTCGCTTCTTCGCTTTCTGCGTTGGCTGAGGAATCCTCCCCCCCCCCCCTCCTCGTTTCTTCCTAGGTTGCTCGATTTGTGATTCGACTACGCAACTCTCTCTCTCCCTCTCTAGTCCTGGAAGACGAAGGGAAGCCCGCATCCCTCTAAGGGGTCACATGGATCTCCTCGGTTGTCAATCAAGGTGTCGTGCAACACGCAGCAGTGGGGATTGCTGTCTTGTCAGCTGGGCGCATCGTACACGTAGCTTGACGATCAGGAAAATATAGCGTTTGTGAATGCTTCGCACAAATCCCACGGCCAAGACTCCACACAGGTATTTGCTCCCGGTCTGGCCAGGTTTCTTTCTCTCTCTCTCGCTCGCTCTTCTCGCTCCCTCGCTCTCCCCCTTAGCACTAGCACAGGCCATGGAACAAATCCGTAACGATTCTAGAAAGGAGCTGACAGGCTATTCCCTGCGAGGCCATGTGGCAAATCAAATTTCAGCACTTGAAAGACGAGCACTTATTTATAAGCGGCATCGTAAAGCGAGATGAAGCCTTTTTTCTTTCTTTTTTTCTTTCTTTTTTCTAGCCTCCCTCTCCGCCCCCTCTCACACACCCTCCCCCCCTTTTTTTTTTTTTTTTGCTTAGGCATCTCGTCCAATGTTCCGCGGCGCATGCGCGGCGTGTCGGGTAAGATCCGGTGAGCCACCAAGAAACATGCGAGGCTGCGGAGAAGCCGAGGAGGCCGTTGACTGGCTAGTTTTATATTTGCCTAGCGCGAGGTACCTGCTCTGGACTGTTCCACCCCGGGGGAAGATGAGCGAGATCTTGGTATTTATGTAAGTGCGTGTATCTAAGGTGCCCAGATACCTACCCAGGTACCTAAGATACCGCAGGTTATGGACGTAGCCGAAGCGAGGTAACTGCCTACCCACCTAAGTAGGCATGTAGGTAGGCTCTTATATAGAAGCACATACATAGAGAGACGGATTCATGTAAGGGGAGTGTGTATAGTATGTGGCACGTACAAAGTACATGATCCTCCTAAGCTTCTGCACATAATACATTAGGTACTTCTTCGCAACGCCTCCCAACGTCTTTACTCATGTGCACGTGTGATGTGTGTGTATGGGGGATTGGACCACAGGTATCGCCCAGCTTAGCTCTTTTTCGTTCTCCCCTTTTTTTCTCTGTTCTTTTCTTTTTTCTTTCTTCCTGCCGGCGCCCCGTGTTGGGAAAAGCGCACACTGCGCCAGTGGAGGGGATTCAGGGATGCCATATGGCGTAGTCTGAGGTGCAAGGATAAACCCTGGTTCCAGACGCGGTCCCAACCATTTGGCGCCCTGACGTTGACTACCGGAAGCTTGCCGTTTAGGAAAAGTTTCCTGCCCGCCCTCAACGCCAAGCCAGAAGTGCACTGCTAGTTGCTCCTTTTCGTTTTATTGTTCCCTTGAGACTATAACTCAAGTCGATCTGGTTTTTGTCGTTCCAGGGTTTGCTCTGTTCTGGAAGAGAAGAAAATAGACGCGCATGCAGATGTGATCATATGATCTATCACCTCGATCCCCTTGGATGCCCGACTAAATATCTCCGTGTTGTTAGGATCGTCGTCCTAGCGCATCTCCAAAGCTTGAGGAAAGGAGGCTGAAAAGCACCGCTCCCACGAGATTAAAATTGTGAGTAGCAAAATCGTGCATAAAGCATCACGCTCCCGTGGTCAGCACCGCAGCGGAAGGGCTAGATTTTTAGATATTTTGCATACATACATGTGGAACATGCATGTCGTGCAGCGGTGGTCCATGTTGGATGAGGCGCGTCAACATCGCGCACGACCTGATGCTCCGATCACCTGGGGCCTACGAGACGATCGATTGTTTTTTTTTTTCCCGCGAAAACCCAGGCCTGACAGAGCTGCTGCGTTGTCTCCAGTGATTAAAGGGTTATTGGGCTCTTGGAAGGGGGGGCCACTACGTCAATGGCTCACCGCCCCTTTTGGTCGACAACGGATTTGAAGATGGGATTCTGCGGCGATGCCCGATCGGAAATTCGCACGTATCAGGTGCTCGGGTCAGTAGGTGCAGCGTGCCGCCGAACTTGTTGACCTTTTTCTTTGGCGCCGTTCTGTCCCGGACAAATTTGGCATTTCCTCGTCTCCCTGTTGTTCGACTTGTGTCCGTCTTTGTTTTTCCTTTCTTTCTTTTTTTTTTCTTCTTCTCCTTCTAGGGTGTGGGCGGCGCCTATATGCAATAGGGGTCACCTTGCGCATGTATGTAGTACCTAGAGCCCCGAGGTTGCTATAATAAGCAGCGTCAGGCACGTACCCGCCGATACTGGCCGCTTCGT